AAATTAAGTAGTATCTGAAAAAAAAAAAAATTATTTCGAATTTAACAATAGCTACTAATGGGACTCTAATAGTGGATGCTCTTTGAAATAAATCAGGGATATAATGATTTTTCATAGTCATAGGATTATTCTCAATTTGACTTGTACTTCCTTCAAGATCCATCAAAATTAATTTTTCTTTTAGATTTTTAGTTTTGAATGAAATAATGAAAGAATTTTCTAGTGTTAGATGCAAGGATATTCTACAATATATAAAAATTAATAAATTTTGAAGAAAAAGTTTAATAACTATTATCCTCCTTTAGTATGCTCCAATCTTTGCCTTGTTGCTGTTCATTCTTTCCTCTTTTTTTAATTTTTCTGCAAGAAGAAAATAAAAATAAGAGTTAATTTTTGTTGTGTACTCTAAAAGAAAATAGAAAAATATAAAATATTATGTAATATGTCCCTGACAAATGGTGCCAAAATTTGGCGTAACTTAGTCATTGTATGGTAAATAACATGAATTTAAAATTTATAAAACTAGAAAATCATATTTTTTAGATATTTAGATATATTTATAAATAAATATATTAATTATAATTAAATAAAAGTTCCAAAAATAGTAAAAAAAATAAATTGATCACAAGGAGGTTAATATAATATTGAGTAATATTTTAGAATTTTTCCTTAAAGAATATAAGTTTTTATAAATTTTAAACTAAAAACTAAAATTAAAAACTTTAAAATTCACAAAAAAGAGAAATAAGAATGTAGACGTCAAGATGATATCAGTGCTCGACAAATGTGAATCAGACAAAAACAGAGTTTCGCTCGGTGATTTTTACATAAATAATTATAGACAATTTAATTGATCAAATTAAGATCTATAAAAGCTAGAAGAATTGTAATTGAATGGATAATATGTTTATAAATTTTAAATTTACGTAATTTATTATAAATGACTAAGTCACATCAAAAAAAATTAATCATACAAATTATCATTAAATCAAGTAAAAATTAAGTTGAAAGTAGGAAAATAGAGTTTTGATGATGCGGCAACAATACGTCAGCGATGTACTAGAATCTTGAGCATTTGAGAGGAGTGTCGTGTAATGTCTATGGCCTCGAAAACTCTTCTTGGAAAAAGATAATATGGACGATCTCTAGATCTTCTTACGAAGTCTAGAGATCAATAAAATGGGTCGTTGAATTGTCTCCGACAACTGTCACCTGGTAGAGTAGAAAAATAATAACTTTACAATTCTCTAACGACTATCACCTAATAGAGAAAAGCTAAATGAAGGTAGGGCAAATGTCAGAAAGCTTCATCCTCAAATTAACGCAATAAGAGGAGGCCCTTCATTGCATCCAATATACTCTTAAGAGGTGGCAACTCGTCTCTCGGTAAATCGTCATCTTTCTAATGATGGCTTGTTTGTTGATCAATCAGAGATAACTTACTCAATAGATTCACGATCCTTTTATTATGAATCATTTAGTAATTTTAGTAATAATGCTCTACAAATCATGTTGACGAGATTTTTGTCAATGATCAAATGATTTTAATAGCTTAATCCTTCATCGGTGATCTATAGGAAAGTCGTGATTTAATCAAATAAAAATATATCTTTTGGCTCTGGTAGGATTTGAACCCGTGCTGGTCGCCCACTTGCATGAGAAAGAAGGAATAAGTTCTCAAATACTCTTATACAGTGAGATCATTATGATATCTCTTGGCTATAAATACGAGATATTTTTAGTATTAAAATCATAAAATCATCTCGAAGAAGGTGTAATACAGGTTTAGTCCCACATCTATTGTACCTTGAAGTTTTAGACAAATATATAATAATATCAACTTTAGAAGCAATGAGTCCTTTTCTCACGCATGTATGACCACTCTTTGCCTCATAGTCAGCTGGCCGCCAATGACATAGAAGGGGAGGTCGCACACATACCCCTATCAGTCCATAGCTGCTCAAACTCGTTGCTCATGGTTCTACCTTTGTTGTGCCTCCAACTTGCTTGTAAGCTCAGTCAATCGATTGAGTCCCCTCTTTTTCTATTTTTTATTTTCTTTTTCTTTACTTATCTTAAAAATAAGATTATAAAATTCATATAAATTCATAAACAAATCACATAATTAGCCAAAAAATTATATTAACTAATTGAAAACTATTTTTCACAAATTAACATAAATATAAATCTATTTATAATGAGTTAACATTAAAACTATATTATTTATTAATTATTAACTCATGATAATAAAAACTTATTAGGTACACAAATTAATTAAATAATTAACTAACTAAAAGTGGGAGGTGTAAATAGAGGGTGCAAATTAAGGTAATTGTAGGAGAGCCAAGGTGTGAATACATAAGGGGGAAAAATGAGAGGGTGTTAGCAAGAGAGAGAAAATGGGGGTTTTTCGTGGTGACAGTAGAAGAGAGGAGGGGTTTTGTGACATGATGGATGGCAAGGTGGAACGGCAGCAACAAGGTGGATGGCGAGGAGGCAGAATGGCGCGATGGGATGAATAGAGAGGAGACAGAACAATGGTGATGGGGAGAATTGTGAGGAGGCAGAACAACGGTGACAAGACATACAACAAGGAGGTGGAACGATGGCGATAGTGTGAGAGAAAAGAAAGGTGGGCTTGGTGACAAGGCAGATGGTTAGGAATAGTGACGACTTCAAACAAGGATAAAAGTCTTATGTAAGAAATCAATTCACCCCCTTCTTGGTACTTCACTTAATAACATCAAACTCAGCATGAGAAAGAAAGAGTCATTCATCTTAGCCACAACCAATCAAGCGCAGAACATCTCTTCTACTCTCAACCTTCTTTATTTTTTTTATCTTTTTTACATATATTTAGATGCACTGAGGAAACCCAAAAAACTTATCACTGTAATTATTATCTTTCGTATGAAATCAACTTGAACTCACTACAATTACTTGATTCAGTATAATATGAATTTAGTTTAATGAATATTGAATTGACCTCTCTTTATACAATGACTAAGAAATGATAAAATCAATTTTGGAGATTAATTTTTTTCTCTTTCTTGCTACATTCCTCCTCCACTACCATCATTGTAGATCGAAGAGGATTGATCAAATGTTTATAACATCCAAAATCAATTTATAACTTCCATCTAACATAGTCTTGGCCACATAACCATCACAACCATATAAATTTTTAGGAACTTTCTCCTTGTATAAGTTGATGTTTTTGTGCATATTTTGACCTAACAACACTTCCCTTTGGTCCTCTCCAATCTTCATTGACAACAAATGTAATATCAAGACCTCCTAATAGGTTGTGCCAATCATACCCATGTTTTCAAGCCCAACTTTGGTAGTAATCTCTTCATAAAGATTATCATCATCTCCATGTATGCTGCATACATACTACCTAGCCTATCGAGGAAGACATCTAAGAAAACGCTCACTTGAGGTATCATCTTCTTGAACTTGATCTTAGTTGGGTACATTTAGTGGTGAGAATTGAAGGCAATGATCCCATATACTCAACTAAGATCAAGTTCTAGAGGACGATCCCTTTATTTTTAGTCATGGAGAATCAAAACACACTCACTCAAAAGTTCATCATAACTAGGTTAGTCTAAGGTTAGTCTAAGGAGGTCTTAGGACAACTCTACGAGATGCAACTCTTAGGTAATGGTGGTGTTCCCTCCAACAAAATGGTTATCACCAACATTGTCTCCACTTGTCCTACTCTAGACATAGTGGCCCATGGGAGGTGAGACCATGTCTCTTGAAGGATCATTGCTTGGGGATAGACCTCCATCTTCTTGTCTAAATAAAGAACTATGGAATATGGGTTCTCCCCAAACATCACCTCAAAGAAAGCTGCATTCCAAGTGTAGGAAGTGGTATGGTAGTGCACCCACAAGGAGCTTGCTAAAGACTCTCCCATCATCAACCTCTTCAAATAGAGTTACAAGCAATATAGTTATGACCACATTAAATAATATGGCAATAGAATATTTATTATTATTTATCTAATATCCTTTATTTCAAATTAAACTATTATATCGGTGCCAATGGGGCATATCAATTCACAACCTTGGTATTAATATGTTCAAGGGATGAGACTTAAAGTCAACTACAATTCTTATCTAGGTCAAGTCAAGACTTCCAAAGGATTTCACTTATTAACCAATGTAAAAACCTTTTTGAAAGAAAATCATAAGGAAATGAAGCAACATTGATTCTCCAATCACATGCTTTTTTTTCAAAGAAGATAATATCAAAGTGTGAATTCAACCTGAATAATATTCAATGTTTTATTCACTTAAAATATTTAGCTCGATGAAAAAAAATGGGTCAAAGTGTATAGAGTCTTCGTTTAATTTATTCATTTATAGTGAAAAAGTTTGATTATCTTATAAATTACGCTGTATAAGCCCTTATCTACTTAAATGATTTTTTAATGAGACTTCTGCTGATTGCATGAACATGAGTCACGAAGACAGGAGAACGTGTCTGCACGGAACGGAGAGGACATCCTCGGGGCGCATCAATAGGATAATAATAATAATAATAATAAGAATAATGATATATTGATATATAATAAAACGCGTACTTCAAAAAAGCTGACGCGTAGGCAAGCGCCCTCTGACTTCGGTCTTTGAGGGACCCGATAATGTCGGTGCATGGGCTCTCCACGTGGTCGTGGATCCTCTGAGACATCTGGGTCTGTAGAGGTCAGCTTACCGTGCTCTGATCTCGGGCCATTCATATTGAAACGGAAGTTGCGGTTAACTAGCGTATTTTTTACCAAGACGGAGAGTAACGGCTAGGGTGCGCAGGTAAGAAAACTCGAATCTCGAGACAATGGTCAGCGTAATAACCCGCCCGTCTTTATTTTCCTCACCGGCCGACAGACGTCACCCCTTCCTGCTGCTAAGTACCTGCCCTGGCCTCTACTGTGCAACACCCGCTTTCCTCTTCTTCTTCTTCTTCTTCTTGTCCTTCTGCTCTGCGTGCCCATGTCGGGAGGTAGGAGAGCATGGCTGGTGGTGAACCTTGCGGCGTGGCTTGTCACCGCGGCCTGGTGCGAGCCCTCCACCTACGTGGTGCAGATGTCCAGAGAGGAGATGCCGGCGTCGGGGACGGCCCTCGAGTGGTTTGCGGCAACCGTCCAGTCGGCGGCGGCAGCAGAGGCCACCGAGATGTCCCTCGAGGGCGGCGCGGAGCGGATCATCTACACATATGAGAGCGCCTTCCACGGCTTCGCGGCGAAGCTGAGCGAGGACGAGGCCTTGCGGCTGGAGCGCCGCCCCGGCGTGGTGGCCGTCTTCCCGGAGACTGTGTACCAACTGCACACGACAAGGAGCCCTGGGTTCCTGGGGCTGCAGTCGGAGGCCTTCGTCGGGTTCCGATCCAGCGCCGTCGCCAGCTACGACGTTATCGTCGGCGTGCTCGACACGGGGATATGGCCGGAGAGCGCGAGCTTCAGCGACGCCGGCATGGGGCCGGTGCCGGCGAGGTGGAAGGGAGCCTGCGAGACGGGCAGAGGCTTCCCCGCGAAGAGCTGCAACAGGAAGATCATCGGCGCGCGGGCCTTTTCCCGCGGCTACGAGGCCTTCACCGGCGGCCCCGACGGCGGGGACCTGTCCCCGCGCGACCACGACGGGCACGGCACGCACACCGCCGCCACCGCCGCTGGGTCGGCAGTAGCCAACGCCAGCCTGCAGGGCTACGCGTTGGGCACCGCCCGGGGCATGGCACCGGCGGCGAGGGTCGCCGCCTACAAGGTCTGCTGGCCCGGCGGCTGCTTCAGCTCCGACATACTCTCCGCTGTGGACCGGGCGGTGGCGGACGGGGTGGACGTGCTGTCCATCTCCCTCGGCGGCGGCGTATCGGCGTACTACAAGGACAGCCTCTCGGTGGCGGCGTTCGGCGCCATGGAGAAGGGCGTCTTCGTCTCCTGCTCGGCGGGCAACTCCGGGCCGGAGCCTGTCACCCTGGCGAACGTCTCGCCATGGATAACCACGGTGGGAGCCAGCACCATGGACAGGGACTTCCCCGCCGCCGTCGTGCTCGGGACTCGCCGGAAACTCGCCGGCGCCTCTCTCTACAAAGGTGTCCGCCACCTCTCCCCGGAGAAGCAGTACCCGCTGGTCTATTTCGGCGGCAACGCCAGCTCCCCCGATCCTGCGTCACTCTGCCTGGAGGGCACGCTGGACACCAAGCTCGCCGTTGGGAAGATCGTCCTCTGCGACCGGGGCATCACCCCGAGGGTGCAGAAGGGGCAGGTGGTGAAGCAGGCCGGTGGGCTGGGGATGATCCTCGCCAACACCGCCGCCAACGGCGAGGAGCTGGTGGCGGACAGCCACCTCCTGCCGGCTGTCGCGGTGGGGCAGGCCGCAGGGAAGGCCATCAAGCAGTACCTCAAGACTAGCCCTCGTCCCAAGGCGACCATGGCCTTCTCCGGGACGAGGGTGGGTGTCCGGCCATCGCCGGTGGTGGCGGCGTTCTCCTCCCGGGGGCCCAACCTGCTTACCCTGGAGATCCTCAAACCCGACGTGGTGGCGCCCGGAGTGAACATCCTCGCCGCCTGGAGCGGCGCCGCCGGCCCGTCGAGCCTCGCCGCCGACCGGCGGCGGGTCGCCTTCAACATACTCTCCGGAACTTCCATGTCGTGCCCCCACGTCGCCGGCGTCGCCGCCCTGCTCAAGGCTAGCCACCCGGACTGGAGTCCGGCGGCGATCAAGTCCGCTCTGATGACCACCGCCTACGTCCAAGACAACACCCGCCGCCCGCTGAGGGACGCCGCCGCCGGCGCCACAGGCAGAGCCTCCACCGCCTACGACCACGGCGCCGGCCATATCGACCCTGCCAGAGCCCTCGACCCGGGCCTCGTCTACGACATAGGCCGGCAGGACTACGTCAACTTCCTCTGCTCGCAGAAGCTGACGCCACTGGAGCTGAGGGTCTTCACGAGGTCGTCGAAAGAATCCTGCCGGCGGGCGCTGGCCTCTCCTGGTGACCTCAACTACCCGGCCATCTCGGCCGTGCTGCCGGCGCACCCGCCGGCGGCGAAGCTGACGCTCCACCGGACGGTGACGAACGTCGGCGCCGCCGCCTCCACCTACCGCGCCGTCGTGTCCTCCTTCAATGGAGCCACCGTCGTCGTCGAGCCCACCACCCTGCGCTTCACGAGGAAGTACCAGAAGCTGCAGTACACGGTGACGTTCACAAGAAGGGCCCGCCGGTCCTCGCCGGAGTTCGGAGCTCTGGTATGGAAGGACGCCGCGCACTCCGTCAGGAGCCCTGTCGTCGTCACCTACCAGTCGCCGATTTAGGGCAACCCCCCACCCGCCGTCCAGCAGAAGCAGCGTCCATGGCCACTCGCCGCCGTCGTCCCGCTGCGCGTCTGTACCTCTTTCATCTATCTGGGTTCTTGAGCTTCCCTGTTTAACCTTCGACAATATATCAAACTAATGAGTCAAAGGAGGAAGAAATCATCATAATTCGGCCTGGGCATGATCTGTTCGATCGCAGTTGATCTTCAGAAGAAACTACTGACTGGTAGGCGTTCGGGAAAACCACGAGAACATGCTGGGGATGAGAACTCCAAAGAATTCAGAAACTCTTAGAGATCCCTCTGCATCCACCAACCCACAGACGAAGAACTAGTTCAATCTGCTGCAATCAGCCGCCACCTGAGGACGAGGAAGAGAAACCACGAAGATCCCAATTATAGAGAAAAGGCTCCGGCTATTGCAGCATTACGGAAAAACCGACGAAGAAAGGCGAAGCAGAAGCAGATCTCGTCGAAAAACCTTTGAAACCCTGGGCGCAATGCGTAAGAACTGAAGAAAAACTGGACCAGGATAGTATAATCAATCTCACCGTGAGCCTCGAGCAAAGGGAGAAGAAGAGAGAACTCCGACCGTCACATTTCCGGAGCTTGAACCCTAGCTTGAGCCGACGGGCCGTTCGCCATACCGGGCTTGCGAAGAGGAGGACAGAGGTTCTTGCGAAGCACCATCAGGTCTTTCTATCTCGAGGCCGAGGGAAAGAAGAGAGAGAGAGAGAAGAATCTTTCTGCCTGGATGAAACCTAAAGCTGAACGAATATTCTTGAGAACAAACGTTGACAAACCAAAGTCAACTGAGAACCCCAAGTAACACCAACCCAAGTGGGGATTGATTCGATGACATGTACAAGAACAGCACAATTTGGTTTACATACAACAAAAACAGTCACAAGCAAAACAAAACAAAAAAAAAACCTGAAACAGGCTTTGCATTACTACAAATAGAAGCTTTCAGGCAATGACGGTTCTTTACAGAAGGGCGAGGCTCGAAGATGGGGATTTTGACTTGATGATGGTCAATTGGGGAAGAGGAAGTGGACCCTTGCAAGAGGATACTCCTTCCCAGCCACCCAGACCCCTGTCTGAGACCACCGCACTTCCTCCCACTCGAGGCTTTCCTCCAAGACCTGGTTGAGGGAAGAACGAGCACCATTACGGCGAAAACCGAAGAAAATTGCGCAACCCATCACAGTGATAGCACATACAAAAAATCAATCACGAACCGAATCTATACACTTCATTTATGTAACTAATTTACAGAAATAAATATAAATAATTCTCTAACGAATATTCAGTGATCAAGTCATTCACTCCAGGGTCTGATTGGCGGCGGGCCAGATCAGAAACTCAATCGGGGTTCAACTGGATTGACCATATTCAGTGATCCACACATTTAAGTTTTGCATGAAGAATTGATAGAAAGATGCAAAATCTCAGCACAAAGATCGAATTCTCAGCATCACACAAAATACTCTCATTGTGCATATAAATTGATGAACCAGAAAAGAAAGTTTCTAGCACCAAAATACTCTAGAGTTTGACTGGCGCCTCTAAGCGACACAAAATAGAATAATAAATATATATATATATATATTGATGCTGCCAATTAGATCAACCCTAACGTGAAATCAGGAAAAGGAAAGGTTTTTTTTAGTGAATGGCACCATCTTACTTCTGGGAATTGGCTGAAATTTTTGCGATTGCTAGTCTAAGTAACATGCAGAAGATTCAGATTCAGATTCATCATGGGGAATCAACAGATAAATGCAGAACCTTATCAATTGAAAGTAAATTCTAGACGTCACACAACACCCACAACCGGTATAAATTTATATGTAGTGATCCTATCAATTAGATTCACCGTTACTTGAAATCCCGGCATTGGGTTTTCCAAATTCCCGGCTCCAAAATGCTTCTGCCCATTGGTGCGATGTCTTCTGCCGTTGCATGTCTATGCAACGCGGAGAATATTTAACCAAGTGGGCGGGGTTACTCACCTCCAGGTGCTCAACTGGCAGGGGGATTCCGATGGAACGCATCACCTCCTGCGGGAGGGGCTTCTTGCAAAGAGACCAGCGAAATACGTCGCTGACGTTTCCTCGATCTTGATTTCTGTCGCCACTTTGACCATGAGAACCGTGATTGTGTGCCTTTTCCTGCTCTGACTCTGACGCATGAGGTGCGGCTGTGCCATTGCTCACAGCTTTCTCTCCATTGTAGCACAGCTCGTACCTGTAGCAGCATTTCAAGTTAAAGGAGTTAGCAGGGGGGAGGGGAGAGCCCAAGCAATGTTATCTAAAAGAAGAAGAGGAGAAGAGCAATGTACCTCTTGAAGTGGGTTTCCAGGTATATAACTTCGCCTTTCTTCAGGCGTGCAGATGTATAGAGGGGCTTCTTAAGCCCCTTGTCAGCAACAAAATTGATGCTGTATTTGACCCTGAAAACATTTCGAATGAACCACGATCATGCGAGCAACCATCTCAGTAGGGGGGGGGCTGAATGCAGTAAAATCATGAATAGCAAATGAAAAAAAAAACAATATTTCATGTTCTAAAACTTCCAGATATAAATGAGACGGAGCAATTCATATTAAATGAGCAATTCTCCAAGAGAATAACTCTGACATGCATACTAGTATGACAATTTATTGGGTACTAAAAGAAAGAGGAAAATTAGCATACCATGGCTCATTGCATAAGTTGTACTGAATGGTCACCTCTCGAACAAACCTTTGCTGTCGCAAGGCATTCTGCAAATCCAAATCATTGATAGAACCAGGAAGCACGGAAATTATTAGATCACATCTGGGACGTCTTTTAAAAAAATGGAAATAATGGTAACAATAAAAATTTCGTGGCGGTCCATATTCCCTAATTCCACAGCTTTGGAGTCTGAAGATTCTTAGAGAAAATTCTGTGTGCAAGATTCGGAGGGACATAACCCACGACCGTTTTTAGAAAAAGGAATGGCATCGGATCAGAAACATTTTGTCGATGTGAAGAAAATTCAGAATATCAGCATATTCCCGTTATATTACCAATAAATAAATAAATAAATAAGTAACGTAGTCACTAAAAGATATGGAAAGGTTAAGGAAGTTGAAGCAAATTTATGGAGTATTACCGAAGCTGCAGCTCTTGTAGTCATTGTCCGTTCGACAGAAACAGGAGCTAGCGTTGGCTCCACAGCCGAGATAAGCGTGAGACACGGCTCAAGATCGAGAGTCCCACCACCTTTCTGTCAGAAATAAAGTCGACCAAGGTGTGAAATAAACATCCCAGGATTGCAAACTATATTCTAATCAGCCATTGTCTTCTGTCGTAGGAGTTAAATGAAAAGTAAATGTCAGGCCCCGATGAACAGTGACATATACGCTAACACAGCATAGAAAACTTATATGAAGAAAGAACCTTGTCACCTTTAAAATGAAGCACCTTTCTACACGAAAGCTGCAACCAATGCCAGCGCCCCATGCACGGGAACGAACATTATTCCTCAACGTTGAGTAGTAGCCTACGTTGACAGAAAGCAAGAGGGTTTACCCACATAATAAGAAAAAACACAGCTAAAGAGTGTCAATCTGAACGGAACTCCAGCTGTTTATTCACAAGCAGTATATTTTGTCAACGAAGGAATATTCCACGAAAAAATGGTCATTTCGAACAAGAGTATCACTCAGATTTCTCTCACAGACTTATTATCCAGATATTCGCACGACTCACGAATTTCATAGAGATGGTATCAGGTAACATACGCATTTCCTCATTCTAATATGTTCTACTGGCCGAAAATATTTATTCTCTGCATCAAACTATTTCTCCTTTTAGAGAACAGCCAACGGGCTGTAAAGATAACAAGTGCACAAAGCACGCTTGCCACTGGTTATATAAGTCCTTTAGTATCATAACACAGGGTTGTTAGTCATATTCTCGTGTTCAAAATTAAATTCCCAAGTCATAGTTCGACACAAGTACAATTAGTACCGCCCATTTATGTATTTGAAATGGTTAAAAAGACATTCTAAAATTTTGGGTACATCTTGCAGCTTTTACCCATCTTCCAAAAATAATTATCACGGTGTCCGCAGCAGCAAGAGGATGAGAAGACACACGATGAAAGCACAAACAAGTTGTGAGTCGTCCATTGCTGACAATGCTTCTGCCAATCTGTACTGGCAGTGTTTTCTCTATTCCGCCGTCAATCCAAACCTAAATCCCACCCGTCCTCCTTTTAGCCTTGGCTAATTTTATTTTGTGGATCAGCCAGAATTCAAACATGATCTGAATCTGAAGTCACATTTACTAAAGTTCCTCCCCAAAATTCCTTCCCCTTTAGATCAATGTCATTTCCTTTCAAGAAACTCATTGGCATGGCATATTTAGCATAGAACATGAGAGGAAAAGCATATCGGTACATCCCCATCATCTTCCAAGAAGAAAGAATGGCTTAAAAAAGCAGCGAATCCCTCTGAAAACCATGGAGGTACGACAGGCGGAGTTAAAAAGAATACCCCTCGTTATATGTAATTTACAGTTGATACACCCATGCAATACGCATCATGTTTTATCCCATTAACTTGATTGATTTCAACTCGGCATTAAGATAATACGATACACGTAGGAACAGACAAGTTACGAGGCAAGAAAGTGCAAATGTCTACTGTCTTTTAGCAGAGTAAATTTAAATGTATCTCAAACGTTCCAAGATCGAATTCTTGAAAGATGAAAGGAGACGAGCAAAATTTTCAAAACTTCAAGGATGAATCCATCCTATTCACGAGCATGCAACCCCCAACAACTATAATGCATGACAGATGCAAATAGAGCACCAATAGAGCATATTGTCGACCGCCATCAAAACACTCCAATAGAGCACCAAGGAACAACGAAAATAATCCATCTTACAAGTTTGGGGTGGTAATACTCGAATTGTAGCACGCAGTTCCTGGATGGTAGGAGGAGGAAGGGACGCAGTTGGCCGGCAGTAACCAGTATGCATGAGAACTGAAAAGTTCAGCAGGTAGATTAAGGACTGTTGATCACTCAGCCCTGCAGATGATTCATGACAATACTATGAACACGCATCAAGAATTTACCAGCTACAAGATCTGAATCATCTGTATAAACATCTGTACCCCACAGCTGACCACCTCTAACCTGCAATGAAATCATTGATCAAAATTAACTTGATTGTGAAAGAATAATAGGAATGGAAATATTGTGAATAAATAATACAAAAGAATTGATCAAGTAGGCATCAAAGCAAGGGAACAAATCCAGCACATTCACGATCAGATGTGTTATAGACCCAGTTGATATTTGATCTTGTTCCTAGAAAATACACAACAAATATGGAACATCTGCTCTAAAAGTTAATAAAATCAACAAACATTGGAGACAGAACATGGATTTCAGGTCAATTTTTTGCAACCTTATCAACGGGAGACTAAGATAACATCTGTTCTTGGCAAGATGAAGAATCAAGAAGTATATAAGGAATCCTCTCCCCAAATCTTACAACAAGGAAAATTCATTCAAGCCATGAAATCAAAGATTCAACTTCGGGCAAAAGACATTCCCCAACAAGAGCTACTTCTGCGCCTTCAAGCAATGCATTCAGCTCTTGAGATCTGTCTTCATCCTTGGTCTCATCCAAAATAATTTAAAAAAGAGATGGAAGAATCATGTGCAGTGTACACAAGATTACTTGATGTCAGGGTATATCTTCAACATTCTCTTGCATGTACAGTCATATGGTTACACATATAGAAAATTATAATCCCTCTTGGCGAGAGTATATATATAGGGTGTAGGTCAGTTGATAGGGACAGATCATCGACCAACCTTAAAACTCTTCTGTCTTCTATTTTAGAACATACTAGCATGAGTCCCAGCATGCATACTTATTGCTATGAAAAATAAATGTAGAAGATGCAGTAAGAGGTCAAATGACCACCAATCTAAAAACTGAAAAAAAAAAAAAAAAAAACCTTGTTCCCTGATGACCTTTGCCCTACTCTATATAATAGAGCAACCTAGAATATCAAATCGCAAAGATCACAGGTTTACGCATGCCAATTTCTGTTGTCAACTGTCAAACTCCTTGCCTTTCATTAAAATTCATTATAAGATCGTTGATCCTTTCAACACATTCTAGAAGAGAAAGAACACTTTATTTATAAATTTTTCAGAATTCAGACCACCAGGTTCAGGTAAAGAGCTATTGAAGGTGCAGACCTGCACTGTATCCAACCTATCACTGAAATGAACTTTCCTCTCAAGGCGAGGAAGAAATTGGCATTTCCTCAGTAAAGATGTGATTCTAAGCGCTGTTGCATGCACCATTTGCTGCGCTTAACTGATTTAATGTTTAATCATTTTAAGATCTTTTCCATGATATGCTTCTTTGATTTTCACCCAATTCTCGGAATAATCATCTTACCATGTTTTCATTTTCAAAAAAAATACACAAATGACCATCAAAATCTCACATATAATGTCCATCAAAGGTTTGATTTTCAGCGTCACTCTAAAATAAATGATGTAATAAAGGAGAGAGAACCACAAGGCAAATTACAATATGTACACACATGCACACACATCCATCAGCTAAAGTAGAATATATCCAACATTCAACGTTTTCTTCAACCTGCACACGAACAATGAGAGTACATATGTATATATATATACACACACACATCAGGCATATCGTCACCTATGGCCAAAATTTTGGTGAGTGATAATATTGTTGCTCTCCTAACCCATGTAGAAAAGTCCACAAAACTCACTTGGCGATTGGTGGCCGTAACATGCTCTGCTGGTATCCGAATCTCCAGAGTGGGACCACTTTGAAGACCTTCAGTTTTACAATCCTGGGATGCTTCAAAATCTTTCCATGATTTCAGAAGCTCTTGCATACACTCACCCACCCTATAAGTGATTGTCGATCCTTCTGATTTACCTGACATCAGTAATTTACCTATTCAAAAACAATTTAAATGGGAATAACTTACGAAAAGAAACATTCATAAGAGACAAACTCATTCCAGAAATCAAATAACAATAAAAATGAACCACAATCAAATGTGAGTCTAGCTCTCTTGGCCTCAATAGTCATCAAACAATTCGCCTAACAAAGTTGAGCTTGGGGAAATAAGGCAGATTTATAGCTTAAGAAAAGGTGAGCAGCTCTGAACTACCCTGCTGACTAAGATTGCCATTGGCCAAATCAACGCCATCTGGAAAACCAAAAGTGGAAAATTGACGTACACCAGGCCAACCCCACCTGGAACTCGTGATGATCTAACTCAATTGGTCCCAAATGTTACAAGTCTATGATCAAATCTCTCACAACATGAGAAATCCTCTCCAGAAAAAACAAAAAATACACGAAGATGACTCAGCGCATGTTAGGAATTAGAATCATGCAACCCATATAGAAGCACACAAGTGGAAAACCAGTATCATAGAACCAAGACTAAGCTGTCAATATTAGAAGGCAAAGGCAAATTACATGAACTAGCTGCTCTTCCCTGGGATCTCTAACGAAAATACAGATCACACTAACAATGACAAACAAAATAAACTTAAATTGATGACAATCCATAAAAACATAACTTGCACACTAAGATCACTTCAAAACATAAACCCGAATAAGTCCCTCATAAATCATGACACTAGTGAGAATAGAAGCCAATATAAACACAAAACATAATTATACAAAAAGAAAAAAGTGGACCACCAAAACCGAAATTAAAAATTCCAGTACAAAAAGAGTTACAAAATCAACACCACTCAATAAAGAACAAAAAGATGACAGAAAATGTTTAGAACCAGCTGAAAAGAGAAACCAAACAAAATGCTTAATCTCATGGGAAAACATCATGGAATGACTGTGGTTTTTTAAGAGACGGAACAGCAAGAGTTCTAGAGGATAATAAAATGTGAACTCGTACCATGCAAAATATGAAAAGTGCCACACACAGAAATAGTTAGTAGCTGGATGACACCAGGTTCTAACAATGCTAATGGAAGCTCACACTACTTTCCACAGAAAAACATGTCTAGACGTTTCAAATAAGCCCCAGTGGAATGATGGAAGTTTTTATCTTTAAAGAGGAATACATGTGCCTAAAATACTTCAAATAAACATTGGAAGACTCCAGAGATTAATTTTATGTCATTTGTCCATCCCTGATCTGTGCTAAGCTAGAAATCCCAGGGCATGCACAGCTACTGGCAAGAATACAAGTCCCAACCCGTCTAACGACTGTCCAATGGTCAAAAAACGTGGATGATAGCATTCCTCACATTCAACAACATCTTTTACCACCAACAAAACGACGAACGGGAGCAAAACACCAAACACTACTAGACAAAAAATGTAAAAGTTGGGGTCGTATCATATCCCACAATGGTAAAAGAAACCCTCAAAAGAAGAAACAGCAAATATGGAAACTTCCATAAAGCATTCGAAGAGTCATTGAATAAAAGGAAAGACAGCCATGCAAACGCTAGACTCCAGGTACTCCAGCTAGCATTCAAACAATGGCGTCATTGAAATCTGTCATAAAAGAATTGGGTTCCTGCCTAACCTTGAGATCTGCAAGGGAGACAAAGAAAAACCATCAGAAATAGTCTAAAAAGGACAAAGGAGAAAAAACGAAGTACTAGAAAAAACTAGAAAAAAGCAGAAATAAGTATGTGCCAGAAACTTGATACTCAATCATAAGACTATTTCATAGATTGACATTTATTAGTAATAACACTAGAGTTTACGTTGCAATAAAAGAAAATATTAATATTCGGGGCAGCATATAGAAAGGAAAATTCAGTTTAGAACCCTAATGGGAGCTAATATGAACTAATATGTTTGATCTTCAGAATCATCAAAAACCTCAACAACAAGAACTAATATGAAATCGCTTCCAGAGATGAAGATTCTAACCATAAATGATAGACAATATACATAGTGTGTAGCTCTGCCAGAAAATGCAGCTCCAATAAATTGTAAATTGATTCAAAACTGACCCCGTTCCCTCCAGATGTTACAGAAAGGAAAAATGAAAAAATGATTGTTCTGAAATACTCTTGATTTCCTTGAAAATATGGTTCGTACTGAGGCTGATTAGAGGCTTCATCATTTCACCTTTCTTCGATGACGAGAAAATCAATCGGAAAAATGAGACCATACATCGTTGATTATTAAAAATGTGAATTCAGAACTATATAACATGCATCGTCAAACCAAAGTTACAACAAGAAGTTGCAAACAAAAAACATTAGTAATAGGCACCATGGATGTTGGCAATTTGAGATTTTATCAAGAATTTTAATCCTAAACCTAAATAGAAGAAAAAAGTAAAAATACTATTCTATGTCTGCAATTTTGTTATAATAGATTATACAAAAAGTTAAAATTGAAGACAAACGTAACAACGTGGGAATTGTGCCACACATGCTTACCCATCATTCTCCCTTGCTCTGGCACGAAAACGAGGTTCACGGTTAGAAGAATGAGTAGCCCTTGGTCGCAGCATCCTCCTGCGCTGTTGAAAGCCATAGCCAAACACTTCCCTTTCTCTTTCTGTAGCACCTTCTGCGAAACCATCTTCTGATTCTTTCTCATAATACCTACGTTTTTCGTTTCTATCTACCTCTGAGTCTGGATCTTTCTCCCTCTTTTTGTCTTTAACATCTCGGTCAACACCTTTCGAAACATCAAAGTCGCCAGCTTTTTTCGACTCCAATGATGTACCTTCCTGATCGGGGATTTTAGCAGACACTTCTACCGCTTCCTTCTCATTCAGCAAGATGTCCTTCTCGTTTGTATTTAACGCCTCTCTCTTCAGATTATCCTTTTCCCTGTCTTTTCTTTCCTTATCTCTGTGAGCATCCTTTCTCTCCCTTTCCCACCTCTCAGTTTCTCTATCTTCTCTCGTAAAGTCCTTGCTACTGTTTCCAGGAGGCTTCAGACTATTACGACGGTCACTTCTTTCCTTATCCTTTTCCCCCCATTCTCTGTTCTTCTCATCTTTTTTTTTTCTTTCTTTATCTTTTAATCTCTCATCTCCTTTCAAATCTACCCGATTCTCACCAACTGCTTCTTGTGCTTCTAAGGTTTCTCGTTGTTCACCAGTCAAAACCTCCTTCCTGACTTCTTCAGCACTGTGTGAACCATGCCAAGTACCATGCCATGGATCTAAACCGTCACTGGGCGCTTCAGAATATCTTCTATTTCTGTGATGTTCTTTAGACTCTTTCCAGCTTACATTTAGGGAATTGCCTCCCACTCCTTCCTTTTCCGACCTACTGTCAGTCTTAAAATCTGAAAGACTCTCACGATCAGGTTTTAATACTCTATCTTCCCCTTTATTTTCCTGTTTCAAGTCATTCTCAACTTTATTTACTGGAGGGTCTATCCTTGGATCAGCAATCAACTCCTTAGTATTTGTTTCCGTTTCTCTAGCATCATATTTAATATCCCGACTCTCTTTGGAGTCTCTCAATTCCGTCCTGCTTTCATTAGCAACTGGATGGTCTGAGGAGGAACTGTTGGCAGATGATGATATCCGGTACAATGGAAGAAGAGAGGATCGCTTGTCAGCATCACGCTGCTCAGTCCTTTGAACTTTTGCTGCTCGACCATCCAGACCAGGCTCCAAGGACAAGTTGCTATGTCCAATGGATGGTTGAGACAGCTTTCCGGTGTTATTCAAAGTTACACCGCCTCCTTCAACTGATCTCTTTGAAGTCGTAGGATGGTTTGTCTCCTCGTGTGTTCTTTTAGGAGCACCACTCATGATGTTTCAGATATAGGTATCAGTGACCTTCCACAAAAGTTAGAAGAGATGTATCACAAATTTCATAGGCCCAATAAGCATATCCAAAGCAACTCCTGCAGCGAGGTTTTTTGAATTATTCAGTTATTTAAACTACAATCAGAAGTTGATGGCAACTCACGAAATAAGAAATGGCAGCATAAGAAGCCATCAGAAACAAGATTTGAAAAAATCTATATCAGCACTTGGAGGAAATTTTGATGATGCCAACGTCCTTTGAATAAACAAGAGATTGACATCATGCATGAGAACTATTAAGTTTTGACATAAGTGAACAACACAAACACATAAAACAGTATACAAATCAAGCCTTACAATATTCAATTTAAAGGTAAGAAAAGCATTCGAATTCATTCAGAGGACATTCCAGGAGTTATCATATTATCAATTATAAATGACCAATCACATTTAGGACTGTTAAATGACATTGAAAATTCTACTCTGAAACCACGTTGCAATATTGACAATCGAAAATTATAAATAACCAATAGATTTCTGTGTCAGAGGATCTGATGCGGTATACCCTAAATACACCTTCGCTAAAATTCTAAGATTTAAAAAGATGCAATATCAGTAGTTTTCTATTTACTGATCCCATCTTTTACAGAATCGGTTCCCCTTTTTGACTGTACAAGAATATGAGGAGCTCAGCACGCTACGGCACAGCTCTAGGGTCTACAATGTTACTTGTGACAGAATATCTGAAGAATCACGACTGAGTCGTTATCTCTGGGGATGCACATGGAAAAAGTGGATACTGTGAGTTAGATTTTGCCTGATCTGCTCAATACAGCAACTGACTTCAGGATGAAACTCAACCCAAAACTGGTGAATGTCATCCGATTATTTTGATCAGCTGTAAAAATTGGGTCGATGTCATATTAATTTGATATGGTGTTTAAAGCATGGTCTTTAATTAAGATCCCGATGCCAATAAATACAAATGGTCCAATGGGAACAATAATTTCCAGGAACATTTGGAACATTTCGTTCTGAACAGGGGAACAGTTTTCAAATAATTTTTGATCGACTATGTACTAATCAATATTCGATTGATTGGTCCAGGGCTATCAAGAAACAAGATCTGTCTAAGTCACCTCGTTTGAGCACCAAAAGACGAGAGCTTTCTTACAAATTTCACCTAGGGTCATATGCCTTGGTCAGTCTTCTTATAGCAAAATTGGGGTCAGTTTACGATACCATACCTTTTTAGCTGATCACAATATTATCCTGTTGGATAGCAAAAGTGGGGCTGATTATATCCCTCGACAGGCGTTCGAATCAGCCATCAATTTCCCAACTTATGTCAAATGGACTTAACACCCTCCCCCTTCAACTGTTTCCAACGAACCATCGTGTGATTGAGTCATTTGATGTGACATACAACCTTATTCACCCACCCAAATAAAGTATTCTGATTTCTGGTGCTCCCATTTTTCAATTATACATTTTCAATACCGACCCAAACGTTCTCAAACAACATAGTTAGCCTGCACACCATTTTATACATTCTTTCCTTCATTTTTCCACCAGAATCACACTCATTTAATTGAAAACAATGAAAACATTTTCAATTCCATACATAAAATGTCTGGGGTGCCGTGGCCTCCCTTTGCTTTGGAAAGATCATGCTTTGGAAAGGAAAAATATACAACATTGTCAATTCCATACATAAAATGTCTGGGGTATTTTCTCTTCCTGCGCAAGTAAAACTCGCATGCAAGTCGGCTCATTGACAAAGAATGACTCAAGTGTTTGAACAGTGTAAAAATTGAAATTCCACGAATGGATAGGAATTTATTGCACATATCTACAAAGAAATGCAAACGAAAACGTGTGATCAAGTGATGTGGGCCACATTGAGATTGAATGATTCATGTGACGAGAACAATATGCATGTGAAAGGCCACTAAAACCACTAATTGATGAGTGGGATTTCGATAAGTATATTTTCTGCTAAAAGAGGCTGCAGTGCGTGTTTATTAAATACAAGAAGATATATCTTATCAAAGAATATGACCAATGAGCCCTCAGAAACGCCATCGGTTTAGATCAAAACGGTTAGACTATTCTAGGGTCCCACCGACCAAAAGATGAGGAGAAAACATTTGCTCGTTATCAAATTTAAAGGGCCATTCTTCATTCTATAGTCAGAGAAATGATGAGCCACTCTGTCGAACAACACTATTCAAGGATACGGCTCACCCAGTTCTAATAAGTTTTCCACTCTGTCAAGTCTGAAGATTGCTAATACAGGTATTTTTTATTGACAATACAGCGTTATGATGGCTAGAACAACAAGATCGCCATAAGCCTAGAATGACAGTAAGATGTCAAAGGGGATTCTGTCTAGTTATGTGACGTTTTTTATTTTATTTGCAAATAACTGCTAATTTGGGTGATTTTTCATTGGCTTAACTGCTGCTAATTCAGGTAATTCTGATATTCAAAGTTTCCTAATTTTCAGTGCAGCTAATTTACATAATGTTGACTTGGTAGCTTTATTTAAGCACTGGATTCTTAAACTGAGAGGTGTTTTTAATAGCGATTCTAATTCAGTTCCTTTCAGCTCTCTTAGATACTGCAAACAACAAGATCCGTTCCATCTCCTAATGGACTCAATACTAGTCACTTTGCCTCAATATTTCGGGACCACACCAAAAAGTGGCTCCCCTTCTGCATATATTGCTTTTAATAAATGCAATAAGATTCAGGTTCCACTAATTCACTCATAAAATGGAGAAAAAATAAAAAAATCCTTTAATGATTGATGGATTCCCCCTAACGTGATTCAGGCCTGGAGATCAGGCCTTTTGAATGCTTAAGTCATGTGGCCATTCAATTAGCATGGTCTCCTCGTAAAGCCGTGTATCCTTGTAAAGTGGAAGGGAAAATGTCTTGATACATCAAAAAAAAATTGAGTAGCAATTTAGGGCTTCTCAGAATTTCACAACATTTCAAATGGGTAAACCTCACACACTATGAAAACAAAAAAAAATATATCCTTTATCCGAGAAACATCGAATTAATGAACAAGGAGTTACTAGTGATGAAGATAACTAGAAACATCATCAAAAAGGGGCATTTACGAAGCAGAACTCGATAAATGCTGCTACAAATGTATAACGTGGAAGAAAATGTAACCCTGAACTAAGTGCACACGAGATTAGATATTCTTGAGAACAATTTAGAAAAAATCAAAAAATGTTAAAAACGTAAAAGAAGTCACGACATAGAAAACTGTAAACTGCAAGCATGTAATCCAAAAGAGACGAGCGGCGCAGGGGACGCCGGGGGCGCCGGGGGATCGATAACAGGACGAACCTAGGTAAGCTCTAGTTTTGGTACGCATTCAATACGGAAAGGCGGCGTAACGCGGAGGCGGCCGCGGCCACAGGGGTCCAGACAAAGTTTTTCTTCCTAGGATTTCTCTCGAATAACAACAGCAGGTCAAATTTGAGGTATCTCACAAGTGTCTACTATTCCCCCGCCACCTTCCACATCTCCCTCTCCAACCCCTGCACAACAGGAGGTCATCGCAAACGTCGAATAAAGGTGGCCTCCTACTGAAGCTCCCAGTCCACAGATGAACACTCAACCTAACCAGCCTCTTTCCCACCGCCGTGAATCAGACCTCGAAGGCGCGAGCGAGAAACACCTTACCGGTTCCCCAGCGGCGCCGTCCAAAGACGCAAGGAAGACGACGACCCGGTCGGGCGGCGTCGAGACTCCGGTGGCGCGCACAAGTGCCGTCGACGGCGGCTGCGGAGGCTCTAAACTCCGGATCGCCTCGGGGGGAACCGCAGCCCGTACACAGCCGCAGAGAGCCGAGGAAGAAAACCACAGAGGAGCCCAATAAGCCGCTGAAGCCTAAACGGTGAGACCGTTCCTGCTTTTCTCAGTGCCGGTGCCAACCCCGGTCGTGTCATTCGCACGTGCGCCGATCCAAATCCATCTCACCAGTGAAATAAATGTATTTAAATATTTATAAACTTCATGGGGCTCCCTCGGGAGCACGTATAGGACCGGACTAGACGGATCTGGGCCTTCAGACAGATTACCGATTTCGGGCCCACATGACGATGATCCCCGGCCCGGCCCATTGAACCGTGATAATTTTACCACTTTTATATAATCAAATCATGAATATTTTTAAGACAGTAAATTTTAAAATGCGACATAAAATTTTATTTTTATGATTATTTTTCAACGCCCTGCATAAAATTACCTGGGAAAAAATATAATAAAATACTCAGAAGACGAAATTGGGAAATTAAAGACATATTAGGAAAAAAAACTAAAAGTAAATAAATTTACTAACATATCCAATTATTTTATTTAGATTTTTTTTTGGTCTACCTAATTTTGCCCTATTATCAGGTTTCAAACGTCGTTCGCGTTTTTGTTAACAGGTTTATCTACGTAATATCTCGAAATATTAGCAACAATTGATTATTGCTGCGACCACAACGGTGTTGGGCTGATTTTTCTCGCAAAATCATTACATAAATATATAAATATTATGCATACGTGTATATATTATAATATATATTAGACTTGAGAAAGGATGGATCAAGACCCACTGCCCAAGTGTAGGTCGATCCAATTGAAAAAAGTCTGACTGACGTGCTTGACGGCGCTATATTATCAGGTGGTCAACGCCGTCATAATAAAAACATTGTTAGCTAGTTATAATATTACTAAAAGTAGTAGCAAAACGTATTTAATGAATTATATAATTCAGCATAATTATATTATTATAATATTATAAAACTGATAGTCTTACGCCGTTTTAAATTCATGAAATATAGTGAGTATATAGATAAAGTGGGGAGGGTTTATAATATCAAAAAGGGGATTATTTGGTACAACTGTCTCACGGAAATTCTCAGTAATTATAGGACAAATAAAATTACATGAAAAAAAAAAAACGTCACAGCCAACATTTTTCACCGCCTAGGGGACCTGTCAACGGTTTCCTCTTCGCTCTTGCGAAGGACAACGCCGGCATGGGCACCGACGATCTTCCTCCGCTCGCCGGCGGAGGAGCAGATCACCTGGCACTTGACCGCGCCGTTGCGCACGTAGAACCCCGGCGCCACCATCATCCTCACCGTCGCCGCCGCCCGCCGCCCTCCTTCTCCGTCCTCCGCTAGCGCCTCCATATACTCGCCGTCGAAGAGCTCTCCCTTCTCCACGCGCAAGATGGGCACCGGCGGGTGGCTGCACCATGCCAGCAGGTGCACCAGCCACACTCCCTTCGCCGCCCCGAAGAAGGCCCGCAAGAGCGGTTCCGGCCACGAGCCGCCGCTACCACCGCCACCGCCGAGCAGAGCACCGCCCACTTCCCCCATCTTCGCGTCACAGAACCTGCTGAACCCCTCGCTGTAGTGCCTGGTCCCCCGGGTGAGCACGTCCTCCCACGAGACCTCCCGGAGGGCCTCGTAGGCGACCATGTTGGCCTCCGCCCGCCGGGTCGGGTTGAGCACGCGGGCGGCGCCGCCGCGCTTGAATCCGGCGGACTCGAAGTCCCCGTAGAAAGCCCGGCTGAGCTGCGCTTCCAGGTAGGCGCCGCCGGCGGAGCGGTTCCCCGACTGGCCGATTTGGGTGGAGAGGGAGCGGCTCAGAAGGCGGACGGCGGCGCGGGAGTCGGAGACGGCGCGTAGGAAGGCCTTCAGAGGGAACTCTTTGCTCATGGCGGGGCCGGCGACTGGCGGGCGGTGGCGGTGGTTGTGCTGTTCGAGGGTGGACTTGAGATCGTGGCTGTAGTTTTCGAGCCTGGTAAGCTTCTTCTCCAACTCGGAGACGGAGTGCTTCAGGCGGGAGGCCTCCGAGATGGCCTCGTCCCGCTTGCGGATGGCCTGGAGGAGCTTGTAAGAGAGCTGGGTGGCGGCGAGCTTCCACTCCTCTTCCCTGGCGGAGGATGCGTAGGAGCTGGCGGCGGAGCAGGAGGAGAAGTGCGGGCTCCCCCAGGTGAAGGAGGAGAAGACGGACTTCAAGATACCCCCACGGGCGGCGGCGCCAGCGTCGTCGCCAGCCGCCGTCGCGGCGGAGATCTTCTTCTCCCGTGGGAAGGGGCGGCACCGGTTGTAGGAGACGACCTCCTGGATGACCTTCTTGGTGGGCGTCGGCTGGTGGGCTTCGTCGGGGTCCGGCGCCGGGGGTGGCGGCGCCGCCGTGGGTTCTGCTTGGTCTTCCTCCTCCTGCTCCCTCTCCGGAATCTGAGAGCATCATCCACAGAGATCAAACCCGGCAAGGATATCAGATTCAACATGCTTTCCACGGAGGTAACGATGATAATACTCACACTTTTGAGGAGAGGAGGGCGAGCGAGAGGGAGAGGAGCCGCCGCCGCCATGGGAGGTCGAATGAAGTCCCGGATCGGCAAACTGTGGTGACAGGTAGGTGCAGAGTTAAAACGTATATATTGTCTTCTTAGCCCTGCCAGTTTCTTGTTTTAAACTAAATACCAATAACAATAAAATTTTTAAATCAAGCCCCTGATAAGTTTTTCTTTTATATCCTCGTCTCACGGCCGAGCAAAGGTGGTGGCCGCCTCGCATGGGATGCCAACGGGCCGGGCTTTTCCCAACTTTACCTGGACTCCGGTCATTTTTGTAAAGCCCGGAAATGGGAGAGAAGGAGAGGGACGGAAAGGTCGGAGTCTAGATGTGAGGAGTGAGAAAGAGGAGAAATAGAGAGAGAGAGAGAGAGAGAGAGAGAGCTTTGTAAAAACGCGCTTCGGAAACGGACCGGCCCGAATGTAAATTGGGCCGGCTTCGGGCTTTAGAACGTATATGCTCCCCAGAGAAGGCCCGGGGGAAACCAACCTTCAAAGTAATATAATATATACCCTCAAAATACAAGTTATTGTGGTTACGCTCGCCAGATTGTGACACAACGAGGCACGCACTGCCCGGTGATGGCAGTATGCCACGTGGTCTCGCAGGGCCCTTCCAATTGGAGGAGGGGCCTTCCCTCATGCAGCTGTTTTCCTCCTATTGGTGGGCCCGCTGACAAGTTAATGCTGGTCGCTGAACGGCCATTAACCCCATCTTCACTCCCTAATTTTTTTAACTTCAAATGGTATATTTAAAAATGAATATAATATATTTAATGACAATATATTTACATCAATTATTCATTGATATAACGCAATAAAGGACAAATTCCCGACAAAAAAACCGTATAACTCGAGCTCAAAGTCAAACGCCGAACATGGTTAAACAACGACGAGACATGAATTTATGTGACGGTCAACGACTACAGTCCATAATAGTAAACGAAAATATTTGTGGCAAGATGCTAATCGCCCTTGTTTTCTACGAATTTAAATAATTCGGGAAATACATATTATTTATTTATTAATTTATTAAGATAAATGTGTGTTTGAAATTAATTTGTCGAGATGTACACGTCACGTGGACTTTATTATAACTTGTACAGATTGGTGCCCGGAGAAATAGGACGTAAACATAATAAAACTCGGGGACGAGGCAGTTGTGTGAGACGTCCTCTTCGGGGCATTAAATTCCACGCCTTCTCGTCATCCTCCCGGTGGCGCTTAATAAATATGCCGTGTGCAGGAGGCAAAACCGGCTCGTGCGGTACGGTCACCGCAGAGTGTAGGATGTGGTCACTATATCGAGCCTTATTTGCGAGTACGGTGAGCTTATCCTCCGCAAGTAGGAGGAAGGGGGGGCGCAGGCCTGTTGTTAGTCAGGGCAGGAGAGCTACCCGTTGGTGGTCCGGGTCATAATGCACGCGTGACGGCGGTCACGTCGCGCACGTGACGTTACCTTTATTAATGAGTTCGGGGCATCCACGTCACCTGGGGGGGGTCAAGATTTGGCAGAGGCCGCCGCGTTGACTCCGCCCCTTGGAAAGAGAAGAAGGTGGAGAGAGAGAGACGGAGAGACGAGAGAAGGGGAGATGTTTGAGGAGAGAGAGAGGGAGGGAAAGAGGAAATGAACGTAGGAAGGGGGTGGGTAGAGAGGGGGAGACGGGAAGAAAAGAAGAGATAGAAACTGAGTGCTGTGGTAGAGAGAGAGAGAGAGACGGAGAGACGAGAGAAGGGGAGATGTTGGAGGAGAGAGAGGGGGAGGGAGAAGAGGAAGTGAACGTAGGAAGGGGGGTGGGTAGAGAGGGGGAACGGGAAGAAAAGAAGTGAGAGAAACTTAGTGTTGTAGAGAGAGAGAGAGAGAGAGAGAGAATAGCTTGGTGGCAGAAAGAGAACGAGACGTAAATAGTGTGGTGGTAGAGAGAGGAGTAAATAGGGAAAGTTGCCAACAGAGGTGTGATGGTAGAGAGAGAAAGAGAGAAGGTGAGCAGAAGAGGAATGGTAGTACAGACAAGAGTAGATAGAGAAGCTGAGCAGAAGTATGGTGGTGTTCACAGAGTAAAAAGAGAAAGGAGAGAGAAGAGAGAGGAGATAGAGAATAATCTGTGGCGTCCGGTGATGGGCTTTTTTTACGGACCTGTTCAGACCATTTTTATGAAGCATAGGCTTATAAAAATGGCCCATTTGTCCCCTGAGCGGCGACCGACTGGACAACAAGCATTATCGGCCCAGTTGAGCTCAACAGACGGGACTTAAATCTTATGACCCGATAGGCCCACTACATTATTGGGTTGGCCAAATCGTTTTTTTAATGAGCTCGTTTCGGCAAATGGGCTAGGCCAAGGGAATGATAGGAGTCCCATTTAGAGCCCACTTAGCAGGATTTCCAGTGGGTGGGTTCGGGCAATGTTTGTGGTCTACGGTAAATATATATGGAAAATTTTAATTTAATATTTTATTATTATTAATAATAAAATTTAAAATCAATTTTCTTATTTTAATTCATCGAATTAGGTTTTTGTGGAAAATAGGTTTTTTTAAAAATTAATTATAATTTTTACGGGTACTTCATTGTAAATTGGTCAGTAGAATTAGAGCTGCGTGTAGACCTCCCTCGGTCTGTTCCTCTTTCTTGGTCTCTGGGCGGGGGCTTACCAGGTCCCCCCTCGACGGAGGGGAATTCCTCGCCCGCCCCCTGTTTTGTTACCCTTCCTTTGCTACATCCTGTCTTCCTCCGTCTACGCCGTAGAACCCTAGAATTTGATGCTCGTGGGTCAACGAAATCAGGTGCGGAGGAACGATAACTGGGCACAAATTCGACCTCTTTATTCGTTTGTTGTTGCTGTTTCGCCTCGTGTTCTTCTGCTGCATAGCCGGTCGCGAGGGACTGGTGGTTCGACCGTCGGGTTGTGCCGTCCGCCGCTGGGGGAAGGATGTACAGATCGGGGACAGTGATGGCGTGGAATGTGTTCAGGTTCTGTGCGGCCCTGCGGGGGCTGGGTTCCATCATGATTCTCCTGGTCCTCGGTGTGGTCGGTGTCACATACTACGCCGTTGTAATCACGATTTACTGTCCCACGATTTACAACGGAGGTCTACAAGAGGCTGCGATTGCCCTCTCCGTCGTGATTCTCTTCCATTTCTTGGTACGCGCTTCTCCTTTCCTTCCTGCTTCATGCGGAAAACCAGCATCATCTTGTCTGTTCGCGAGGTGAATCGATATACAATCCCTCGGATTCGTGGCCTGATACGCGATTGTTTTTCCATTGTCTTCGGGGAAATGAATGGTACGGCATTTCCATATCAAGCTGCAAATGCCCCATAATAGCATACGCAAAAAATGGCCATAATAACATATGCAAAATGCAGATGTTGTTATGGGAAATTGCAATTTTATTCCGGTGTTAGTATTCCATCCTCTATTTCACTGATCTTATGTTGGTGTGCTCGCCATTGTGTCGCTTAGACTTCAAGATGTGAGAAGTTCGCCAGGTTGTATTTTTTTTCCTTGCTTTCATGTGGCTGAGATATCCCGATCAATGTATTTGTTCCATAAATTACACGCGCTTCATTTGTGATTATTTGGGACCTCTCTATGTTTGTGACCTTTGAGCTTTCAAATTCTTAAGGTGGAATTTCTTACCTCCTAGACAATAGGATCTTGTTGTTTATGTTCCCTTCTAATTACATTAATCTACGGGTGAATAAGCAGGGAAAAGGTTCCTGAAGCATTTTCTACTCTTTAAGTTGCACCATACATTAGCCATTTCTGATGAAGATAATTATTCTGTTTATGCAGTTGATCATGCTATTGTGGAGCTACTTTTCCGTTGTACTAACTGACCCTGGCACTGTTCCTCCGAATTGGAGGCCCAGTATGGACGAGGAGAGGGCCGAGGTCATCCCCTTGAAAAAATCAGAGTATGGCAGCCCGATTTTGACTCTACAGCAGTCGGGACCTCTTTCTGATTCAGTTAATCCAAGGTATAGGTACTGCAGGAAATGCAACCAATTAAAGCCACCTCGTTGTCACCACTGTTCAGTTTGTGAGTATCGTATATTTTCTTTTTTGATATGCTTTAGTAAATTTTGCTTTTTCTCTCCATCAACGGTCATCCTGAGCATGTGCTTTTTGGTTTAGGTGGGAGATGCGTGCTGAAAATGGACCATCATTGTGTCTGGGTTGTCAACTGTGTTGGAGCTTTGAACTACAAGTTTTTTCTTCTTTTCCTGGTATGGCCATTTTGTTGACTTTTCATATATCCTATATGCCTCATATGCTTGATAAATTAGGCTTTGGAATCATCTAGCTGTCTCTAGCTGTCATATCCAGAGTCGTGCTGGGGTTGAACTGGGATTCTGTGTATTATATTCGCAGATAACTTATGTTCATGGAAGCTTATTCAATGACACTCGGAACAAATATCTGCCTTTGTAACACTTTTCTGTAGCTTCTGTTTTTTCCTGGATTGGTGGTTGACTAATAATTACTGCTCTAGGAAGTGTCAGGACCCCAAAAGTCCATTCTTCAGGTGCCCACTTACTAGAAAAAGGTGTTTTAGAAAACATTATACTTGAGATTATACCTGGGAATCTTTCACAGAGATCATGTGTCTCACATCACGATGTCAATGCTCCGTCATTCCTCATATTTGTGATCTCTTAGGATTATCCTGGTCAACATCATTATTGTTGTATTAAACGCTTGGCTTAATCCTCCTCTTGCAGAAGGGAGATGGCTTGCAATGCCTACCATACGTCTGCCCTGTGTAGTAGCGTAGTGGTATATATGTCCTATGGTTTAAACCACATACAATAGGTGGGTAATGGCCTTTGTATTGATTGCCCTCAGAGCATTGGTTGATGTGATCGAAAGTTGTACCCTGTGATAGCAAGTTTCAAGCTTGATTATTGGCTCATGAGATCAATTGCTTATGGTGGTGGTATGACTTATCTGACAGTCTGTTCTAGACAAAAGCCCCAAACTAGTAAGGGGCTTTTTTAGGTCATTGGAACTGCCCCTCTCGTTCTTTCTTTTTAAAACTTTTGGTATCAAGGGCTCCAAATTGCCGTTGGGCACCGGAACACAGTTTCAAAAATATATTAGCAATCTGTTCCTTTGGCCCTTTCAAACTCAGACATGTGGCAGTGCCCACTGGGGGGCCACACATCCTTCAACCATTCGTTTGCAGTCACAGAAGCTAGACAGAGTACGTGCAGAGTGATTTCTCTGATGAAGAGTTGTAATTAGACTTATATTCGGTCAGCATTTCACTCCTAATTAAGGAGTTTTGTCTTCTCATCTGGTGTTTGTCTGCCTCATGCCTTTTCCCGGCAGCGGAATTATCTCAATTTGACAAATGGATTTCTATTGAGAGGAAGAACAGTGTTTGGTTATTAAGAAGAGAGTTGGTGTGTTGAGATGTTATATTCATTGTTCACTCAATGTTGATTTAATGCTGCTGTTGATGGGCGTTTCTGGGAATGAATGTATGAGAGAGTTCTACTGGTAACTATTAAAGGTGTTAACCATGGTGGGGCGAGACAGACCCACAATTTCAAATGGGCAAAAGCGGATAGAATTGGCTCCACCAAGGCAATTTGCAGGCTATAGATTCGACAGGAGCATGTAAAAATATGCTTTGAACCACTTTGACCGTGACTGCTTCCAGAGGGCCGGTAGCTGATTTTGTCTGTGATGTGCAAGGGAAGAAGGTTTGAGGGGGGATGATATAGACATTTTACTATCTACCTAGTAAATAGTAATTAAATTAATATCATCTATTAATTGATCAATTGCAGAGTGACCATACATATTTAATGAAATTAGTTTGTTAAACAAGGGATTGGCAGATAAAGTAAATGACAATATCCATTAATGATGGAACAACGACATAGGGTCTCTAAGGTTTTGGAACGCAACAGAAAATCCAAATTCGTAATACAGTTGCATGATGGTGAAAAAACTATCTACAAAGCCTCCAGAGGGGTATAAATATCTGGCTTCGGAAGTCACTCAAGATCACATAAGTTGAGGCATTCTTTGTTGCTTAATGACATGACCACCCAATGATTATGTTACGTGTTAATTATTAGGCTACTTAAAATACTAGACAGGATAGAGGACTTGACCCATATAAAGAACATGTCTCTAGTCTAGCTCACTATTTGGCTTCAGCGAGAGACACAGAGAGAGGAGAGAGAGAGAGAGAGAGAGAGAGAGAGAGAGAGAGAGAGAGAGAGAGAGAGAATATGGTATTACTTTCTTCTTTGGCATGGTTTTGACTTTCATATGAACGTTCATGTTTTTTTGGCAGACGTCTCCAGGTCAGTTTCTACTTCTGTAGCATCCCTTTTAAAAATCTCTACGTGTGTCATTTTTTTGTTATTAGTTTTTGATCCATGTGACATAACCTCTTTACAAGAATTCAGAGAGACTTGAATGACATCTACCCATCCCGTTTCTGCAGCTCTATACCTTCCTTGAGACGACTCTGGTAACCTTGTCACTTCTACCTCAGTTCATCGGGTTCTTCAATGATGGGGAGCTTCCTGGATCACCAGGAACACTCGCCACTACTTTCCTTGCATTTGGTTAGCATCTTAAAATCTATTCTTTATATGGATTAATTTTGTCAATGTGGTAATTGTCGTTTCTTGAATTTATAGTCTTGAACATGGCCTTTGCGGTGAGCGTCCTTGGGTTTCTAATTATGCATATCTCCCTGGTGTCTGGCAATACGACGACCATTGAGGCAAGCATGCTCATCCAATTGTGCTTGTCGTATGCATCTAAGGTGCCTGTAACCTGACGTTGAAACTCGTATTCTTGTTGGATTTTAGGCGTACGAGAAGAAAACGACCCCAAAGTGGCGCTACGATCTTGGTAGAAGGAAGAATTTTGAGCAGGTTTGTGCATCTTCAGCTTCCATAAAAGGTTTTCTGCTCTTAGGCCCAAGCAGAAGGCTACAATAGGTTTTCTGCTCATTGTCATGCTTCATTTTGTCGTCATAGTTTGATCAGCCCGTTCTCAAGGCCAAACCTTCACTTATCCTTGGGCTTGCCCTCTGGAATTCAGGTGTTTGGGACTGATAGGGCGTACTGGTTCATCCCCAAATACTCAGAAGAAGATCTTAGAAGGATGCCAGCCCTGCAGGGCCTTGACTACCCGTCCAAACCTGACCTGGATGCTCAGGAGCTCTGAACGCATGCGGAGAAGTCAGGTTAGTTGGATCAGATCTTCTTCATACATGCCTGAGCCAGCCGCCACCAATTTTCCTGGCTTGGGCCGGCCTTCAGAGGGCCACTCTCTGCTTGGCTGCTGCTGGAAAATATGCGGCCGCCCTTGATGAGAGACTGTTTTGTGTGCGGGAAGTGGAGATGGTTCTACACACTGCAGCTGGCTCCACCTGCCCTGCCTGACCTGACCTGACCGCTTACTCTAAAGAATGAGCTTTGCTAGTGCAAATCCTATGTTTGATTTCTTTTACCAGGAGTAGAAAAGGGTCTATTGGAGGATGAAAGAAAAAAAGTTTCTCGGGATGTCTCCACGCCTCTTTTCACCTCTGTTGCATCCCTTTTAAGCCTCTCTCTCTCTCTCTCTCTCTCTCTCTCTCTCTCTCTCTCTCTCTCTCTTTCTCTCTCTAACATTTGTGAAAGCTACTAATGACTGCGGAAGCTGGAAAGGGTGCCTTTTTTTTTCTTTTTTTTTTTCTGGACCTCGGCGTCATAATCAAACCCATCAAAATAGGCTCGACTTAACATGGGTTCTCTCTCTTCTCGCCCCCTCTGCTGGGCATTCATCAAGGCTACTGATGAGTGCAAAGCTGGAAAAAGCTAGATTTTTTTTTTTTTGAGCTTTGGCTCTACAATCATACCCGTCAAAATGTAGCCTTGCCGTAATTTTGGTTCTCTCTCTCTCTCTCTCTCTCTCTCTCTCTCTCTCTCTCTCTCTCTCTCTCTCTCTCTCTCTCTCTCTCTCTCTCGGTCGGGGCGGATTAAACTTTGTTGGGTTGAACCTGAAACCCAGCTTCTGATGACCCCATGGCTGGCCCATTGTCCCCTTAGTTAAGTTTTGGCGTTATAATGAACAAAGAACACTTATTATATCAGAAAATTGCCAGTTTGCAATTCTTTGGGGAAATTGGAGGCACTGATAAGTCTTAAAACAAGCCTGAGATGAAAAATTGGCTTGAATCAAGCAATAAATGAATATCGATTTAGTTAGGGTCTGAAAAAGTTATTACATTAATTTTCTGGAAATCGATTTGAGTTTTTATGCAGTTTGACTAAAACTCACGAAATATAGTGTGACTTTCTTCATGCTTGGGATTTTGGAGGGAGGATGTAGAACAAGATTACATGAAAGGCTCAAAAGATGTAGTTTAGAAGGCTTAGATAGGTAAAATACGGAAGACTCATAATACATAATCTAGGTGGCCCATAAGATTCGAAATAGTTAACATTTTCTTTGGATTTTTTATTTTTTTTTGGAGGAGGTATTTTATATTACCAGGTTTCTATTTTTTTCAATTAAGGGATCAATAACTACCTTTTTTTACCTATTTAATGAGGCGCTGTACTTTAAATATGTCAAGTAATATGAAAGTGAGGTTGTGAGTTACATATTTGTTTGTGCGAAGATGTTCTATGGGCAAGATAAATCCAACTATGCTCAATATGTCAGTATGTGATGTGAAGATTCTTTTGAGAGTCAATTTTATAAGATTTTGAAATTGTGTAGATCAAAAAATTTTAAGATGTCTTTCATACTTACAAGGGTGATGGCATCGGAGCTCAAATCAGATTTATGGGCATCAAGGACAACGACTTGAGGTGGCTTATTTATGATTGCAACCTCAATTATTGTGCATGAAGTTGGCTTTGAAAAAAAAAAATCACACTTATGAATAATCGTTATTTAATTATACCTAAAATTAACAAATATATTCTATCAAGAGTCATTGAGAAACTTTTGAATGAAGATGGGCATATCTTGATTTTAGTGTTATTTTTTATATCTAGGAGCTTTTAGATGGGCTCTTAGAGGTAGAATAATTTTATCATCTTACTATTGATGCTCTTGATTTTGATATTATAAAAAAAATGTATTTATTAAATATTGATTGTTGTTTATACATGTCTCAAAGTTATATCAAGTACTCGATATGTTTAATATGATTACCATATGTATTGCACTTAATAATTTCATTATTTAATCACCAAAAAAATAATTTAAGTTATTATTACTTGATATCCAAATATTCTTCATGATAGAAACATTTAATCATTGATCAATATCAAAGAATCATCCTTTGATAAAATGATATATATCGTTAAATTGGTGTAAGTAACTCAATCACGATATTATTTATATTTATATATTTAAATTAATATTAGAATATAACATCTAGTCTTCTTAAATGGACTTAGATAATCTTCTTTATTCTCATATAGATAAATCATCGAGTCTGAAAAATAAAAGACATGAATAAGTCTCAAACTCAATATCTAGATAGTGACACACCAGCAGCTTACGTGCATGAATGTGATTACTTGGATCAGTCCTCAACAAGAACGTTGTTTGTGGTCAAGTAAGAAGGTACAGTTAGATTCTTAAATCACATGGATGAGAGAATAAAAAGATTTGAATCACGAAAGGCTTAAATATTAAATATTAATACCGTAAATTCTGAAAAATGAAAAAATTTCAAATGAGTTTCCTAAATGTTAGAGATCTCGTCAAAGTGAGAAACTATTAAAGGATGTTGATTAATAAATAAGAAGAGGCCTGAGAATTAGAGGAAGCCTCTCAACACAAAAAATTGCATCAATGGTGTACAAAAAATTGCATTATAATCCTCATCCGACTTTGGCAAATCAAATGATATTTGATTTAAAGTGAAATACTCTCCATCACGTCCTAAGGTAGTTAAGTGGTGAGAGAAGAGATAATTGGACGAAAGTACAAAGTGTTTATAGCCCTTCTTGGTCCTAGAAGGGCGGAGTCTCTAAGGAGACAAACATATGTGGTTGGGTGGTTGAAGTGGCTGAGGCCATGAACGTCAACCTATATTTCTTGAAGAAAATAGTGAAACATCGATAAAAAAAACTCCTCTAGGACTGAACGTAGTTGGGTGAAAGGTGAACTAATGTAAAAATATTAGTGTATTTAATGAGTTACACATACATACATGTTGGCACATCTAATGATAATCCACGTAGATGATAGACAAAATGAAAAATAGTCAAAACCTTTATAAACTCAATTCAACCCCCCCCCCCCCCCTCTTAGAGTTAAATTGAAGAGTATGAATCAATTTGGTATGATATGTTGTACACCATATGTGCAAGAGTGCTCACACAACTAGTGTGCATATGAATGAACATGAATACTTTTTGAATTTTAATTCTTTTCCTTGATTATCAATGTATGTATCAACAAAATCAAGATTAACAACAAGGTAATATATCGATTAAAAAATGTGTAAAATAATTTGATTAATTATCATATTATAGCTATGTTTCATAATCAAAATCTCACATGATTTTTTGCATCACCTAAAAAATGTATTGAAAAGATCTAGCATAATAACTTACAGTATTCACGGTAGTTGACTTTCAAAACTTTATATGCTTGTTGGTCACAACAGATGGTTCAAATGTAATGAAGAATGTCACAATTTTAAGCCAAATGAGACAATGAAATTTACACAACTCATAAATAAAAGAAATGAGGTTGAGGATGATGAAGAATATTCAACTAACTTTTAAGATAATTAAATGGCCTGTAATGATAAAAAATTGTTGTCATCTCCTATATTTTTTAGGAGGCTTATGTTCATGATGAAGGAAAAAGAACACTCTTAAGAATACAATTTTTTTCCATGTGATACATAGTAAAAAAATGCATACAATTTTAGAATTAATAGTGGAAGTCATGAGAACTATTTCCTATCATATGGTTTGAAAATTAGAGTTGAAAATCGAATGACATCCATATCTTTATCAAATGGGGTGAAATAAAAAAAAATCTTTGAAATAGAGGTAACGAAAATATACTTTATGAAATAATCAATTGAAAAAAACATATCTAAATGAGTTATACGAAAGTGTTGCAAGATTTTGGAAAACTTTTCACCATTTGACATTGACTTCACTCATTGTGATAAATCTTGATTATCATAAGACATCATGAATAACTAAGGAAAGGGGAGGGGGGTGAATTAGTATTTTTGTAGCCGTTGAAAACTTCTTAATCCTTTTTTGTATTTACTTATGCATAAAATTTACTTTCAATGGTTCAATCTACTTGACTTATTTCAATCTTTAAGGACTGCATCCATAAGTTTCCATTATTACTTAATGAATTACATTGAAACGTAAAATTTTTAATAAGATTATCATAAGAGTTAATAACTCTAACCAACTCAAACATTTCACACTAAAGTCTTCTAATTTGGCTTCAATACTATAAAAACTAAAATACAAACAATAACATGTTACCACTCTTGCACATTTTAGCACATAGTTTATGAAAGCATGAGTACTTGTTTGAAGGTGTGGGCGATACTATTGGTTGAGGAATGACTTTGTGCCATACATTGGAGTTTGATTTTGTGGCTTGCATGAATTTTCTTCACAATTTTGATTTGTTGCTTCATTTGGTGTGTGGACTTTGTATTATGGAAGTTTATTTAGGGTAGGAACCACTTGAATGCTTGGTGAAATATGTCAGTATGATTTTAGAGAGTATAGTTCTCATTTAGGGAGGTTAATCCTTTTAGGAGGAAAATTTCTACACAATCTTTGAAATTTTAAGAGTTAAAAAATAATCTCCCAAATTTGTATGTTCTATGGTTAATTGCACGTAATTTAGTAGTTTGTTTAGGCAAATATTTTCTAATGTAAAATTATTATTTTACCTTTATATGAACTTTTATCACACTATTGATACTTATTCTTATCAAAGGTGACATTTCACTTAGTATCTCTTTCTACTATGCAAGTAGATCTAGTTAGTTGGTCATTGATACTGTCATGAAGACTCAAGCCTGAGTTCTTCTCAAGAAGTAGAGATTAATGCAAAGTAAAATTGTGATAATAGTAGAAGGCCTAAAGGTGAAACCCAAAAGGACAAGGAATGCAAAAAAGACTCATATAAAGTCAACTAGGAAACCTAATATGTTGAAGACACATTTCTTTTTATGTGGTTATAATTGTGTTATTTCTTCAACATGTACTATATGCTAATAGATTTTGTGTCATGCATATTTATTTCAGTTAAATAATTGCATTTTTACTTATTTAATGAATCACATAATGAAATAATATAACTTGTTATTATATACATAATGATATATATATATATATATATATATATAGAGAGAGAGAGAGAGAGAGAGAGAGAGAGATAGATCGAGAGAGGGAGAGAGGGGAGGGAGCACTGGGACTTTGATAGGTTCTTGGCGAATAAAGAGCTTTAGCAAAAAAAAAAAAGAAGAGGGAATTTAAAAGGAAATAATTAATATGAATAATTTTATGGGCACAATCCATGCGTCAGTTGACAGGCTTTCTGCAAGCCACAGAACTATCAGGCTTTATGCGGAGCTCTTCCATGATGCGCTTGTGGCCACCTCTCTCTCGCTCGCTCGCCCGCTTGCTCTGTGCCTCCATCCCCCCGTCGCTTGTTCGATTCTAGGGTTTGGAAATGGCGGGAATGGCGACCTTAAGGGGTTGTCAGTTGCTTAGGAAATTCTTTGGCGTTACCCCGTTGCTAAGACTGGGGCAGAGAGTCTCCTCGCCGTTGGTGCACGTTCCGGTTAGTGTTGCCCGGGTCCGGTGCGCGGCCACGAACCCTGGCGATGGCGGGCAAAAGGTTTCTGCTCGGCTTGCGGAAATGCGACAGATTCTCCAGGAAGCCGAGGAGCGGGCGCTCTCTGCTGGGTCAGAACCCACACCTAAAATCACCATAGGTAACTCCGGTGGAGAGGATTTGTGGAAGAAGGTCATCTGATCCCTCCTCATCTCTTTTGCATTTCTTTTAGTTGAATTATTCGTCGCCATATTTTTTGAAAAGGGCTTTGGTATTGGACAATTTTCTTGACGATGGGTGTGAGTGGAATTCATTCGTCTTTTCTCTCCCCTGAAAAAGTGATGCTTGTTACAGGTTACCGTTTACTATATTGTTGTGTGGACTTGCGGCCCTCTAATTGAATGATATAGCCTAAAATTTTATTTTACTAAACAAGGGAAGGAGGATTAGTCGGTTGACAGTTGTAGAAGGCGAGGAAGATTTGTAATTAAGTTCGATTGAGTTTGATGAGGAAACATAATCACAATTAGAAAAATATTATTTCAGTTGCACGACCAGTTTCCATACTCATATAACAGGGATTTTCTTTCCGTTCTAGTTTGGTCTGGAAGACCAATGGGAAAATCAGCTGGCTATTTTCTTGTAGATTTTTTTATGCCACGCTGGTGTTTTATGACTGGTGAGAGTGAGGGAGAGGGAGAGAGAGAGAGAGAGAGAGAGAGAGAGAGAGAGAGAGAGAGAGAGAGAGGCAAATATTGGGTTTTTCTATTTTTTTAATCCATTTTTTTCTTCCAATGCTAGAGTTAAATTTTCTCTGGACTCTTTATGATATATATTCACTTGAGGCTGTCAAATGAGCTTAGAATATCATGCATTTCATTTCTGTTTATCCTCAACTTGTGCCCAACAAGTCATGATGTCCACGTTGTGGCATTTTGACGTGACAAGTAATTTAAACTTTCTCTTTCACAGATCATGTCACTGTTGGTTTTGCGAGGAGCGGTGGCCCAGGTGGCCAGAATGTAAACAAAGGTTTGCTGAAGCTTTTTCTTCCACTATTGTTGGATCGTCACTGTCTGGAGTGTACATCCTTCTAAGTGATATCTGCTGTCTATAATGAAAATCCAGTTGTTTCGCCATTTATTCTTTGGGCTCCCTTCTCATGGTATTTTATCTACGAAGACAGTTTTTATTTACTTTAGAGTACACCCTGATGATCACGGAAACTCTCTGTTTATTGACTAGTTCAATTTCTTTGAAATCTAAACTGCTGCTCTTCATTTGCCCTGCATGAGATGAAGTCTTTTTTCTTCCTTTGCAAACATGGTGTTTCCTTCTGTACACCAAGTTAGTTGCCTCACATGTGCAGTGCTGATATGATCACTTTCTTCATATTTCCTTCAATGCCAGGTTTCTGTTTTTAAGCTGTATGTTAGGAGGGATCAATCAATCACACAGTTAAATTGCGCATACAGATTAGATGTAGAATACCCAATCACGCAGTCATGATGTACGAATGGAGATGAAAATAGAAAAAAACGGTAGAAGATGGGGAGAACACTTTCTAACATTTCAGCATCGTTTCTTATGCATTTTTTGAGTGGATAAATGGCCAGGGTAGCGTAGCAAAGTAGCTAAATTTCATTGGGGCCTTGATGGAGGGGGAGGATGACAGGATTACAAACAGTTGTGATACCTTTGGTGGGAATAAAAAGAGGGGCTTATTCTGCTCATGTTTCAGTGTTTGATTGGGGTGTCCTCTCTATCAGGTTTGTTTACTATTCTTCGGCATAAAAAGATGCAGGACCTTTAAATGATAGAGAAATGACTTAAATTCTGTGGATCTACAGAATCACTGATCAAGTTATCACACTGAAAGTTATGCTGAAACCATTTGGCATCAAACTAACAGTTTGAAACAGCTAAGTTGAAAATGAGTGTCTATCACTCTGTCTAAGTGCATGGTGAGGAAGCAGTATTTCAAGAAGCCAAGGAAACCATTCTTTTAGTTGCCAAGTGTAAGATGGTTATCAACATGGAAAATCTTGATGGCAGAATGGGAGAGAATAATTCAATAGGTTATTCCTATGTTTTTCTGCTCCTGTAAATTAGCTCAGCACGTAGTTCTTTATCTTTCTATTTTGTCATTTTTCTGAAATATTTTTATTGCTGCAGTGAACACTAAGGTAGATATGCGCTTCAATGTGAAGAATGCGTATTGGTTGAGCGACAGAATCAGGGAAAGAATCTTGCAAATGGTTTGGCTCTGGCACCATCATCCTTTCTCCTTATAGGCACACGCACACATGCGTGCAATACAAACACTGCTTAAAAATTCTCATCTGCCCCTTCTCTTTTCACGTCCCCTCCTTGGCTGTGCTCAATCAGTGGTGTGAAATGTCTTTTCCTGTTAACTCCTTAATGCATGTCTCCTATTGAGTATTTAATTCAGCTAATAGTTATCTTGTAGACTCCCATTTATTGTGCTCCACTAGTGCCTCTCATATGCGATTTTAATTTGTGATTTGAATTCTTTTTTATTGGAAACTTGATTCTAAGGTAATCATAATTAAATACGGGCAATCAACTATGACTTGCTATTGCTCTGTAAAAACAGCTCAAAGCAACCTAATAAAAGAGCATTGGCTTGTTATAATTATCAGTGTTCTATGTCGGGGCTAATTGGCTTTCTCAACTGAAACCTGACTCTTAACTTAGTAACATAGACATTGGACTGCCGAGTTCTTTATCACCCTTTTTTCTTTGGACCTCTGAAAATGATCAATTATTTGCTTCTGGTATGAAGATGTTTTTATATTTACAGGAAAAAAACCGGATTAACAAAGATGGGGAGATAGTGATATCCTCAACGAAAACCAGAACGCAGAAGTAAGCTCTATTTGCATCTTTATTTATGGATTAACATCTGTAGTGCATGCAGTTCCTCATTATTGTATTTTTCTTCAGGGGGAACATTGAAGATGCTCTGGAGAAACTCCAGGTATGACAACCATTGGTGCATCGTACTGAACAAAAATTGTCTGTAATGATGATTAACTACATATATTCTGAAGTAAATATTGATTTTTTTTATGGTTTTATGTCCCCTTCATGTGGTACTATTGACAGGCCATCATAGATGCTGCTGCATACGTCCCACCTCCTCCTTCAGAAGAACAAAAGAAAAGGATCACAAAACTGTACCCACCTCATTCCCTTTTAATTATTTATTTATTTATCCATTCATTCATTTTCCTGCTGCAAACTTCTCTCCGAGTGCCTTGAGTCACTTCCTTCCGAAGAACACCATGCATACCCTTAATTATCAGAAAACCCATGTAAACATGGTTGTGGTCTGATTTCGAACCTTATTATTGCATCGTTTACAGCTTTGACTTAACTGTGGTCAAGGTCTAAGGAGACGCAAGAATAATATTTTCGGCTTGATTACCAGATGGCCCCCTACCAACATGTTTATGATCTGATCTAGAACCTTATCATTACATTCCTTTGTACAGCTGTGACTTAACCATGGTTAAGGCCTAACTAGACTTGAGAACAGCATTTGTACCTTTCTTTCATTTTTCATAACCGTTGACCAAACCGTGCATTAAAATCAAGGATGAAGTAGACATCTGTTTTCATAATCTTCTTCTAATATCCTTTCTATTTGAATGACAAAGTGCTCAAGAACAGTAATCATGGTTTATGTTTTTACAATGCCATCCAAAGCTTTGTGTGAATATTCGAGCTGAAAAAACTGAATTTTCGTTTGTTAGGTGGCTGAATGTGTGCTGTTTCATTGTATAAACGATATCATGCTGGTTAAACAAATACTTAAATGACATTAATTAGCCACATTGCTGCTTCAAACTTTATCAATGAAGGGCTAATGCGGCAGAGCAGAAAAGGCTGCAGAACAAGAAAGCTCTCTCTCAGAAGAAGGCAATAAGGCGCACCAAAGATAGTTGGGATTGAATATCAGGTAATTGCCTTTTGATAATTTTTTAAAAAAAGGATGCATAATTCATTTGTTGCAACTATTTATCAATATATATTTTCAATAAAATTCAGGCAGAGTTAACCTGTCAGATCTTATATGAGATACCATAACCAGTATCATAGGGATTGATTTCATTATGAGGTTAAATTACAGTAAAACCCAAGAAAATGTTAATTTTTAAAAAAAAAACTACGAAAAGCACTCACATTAGCAGATTCCCAGCAATTCTCAGCTGGGAATCGATCATCTGCTACAAACCTGTGTTGCTCTTTCTGATATTTCTGCCCTTTTTTTTCATAGATTAATTTTCCAGCAAAATGACTCGGCAAGGTACAGGAAGTGGGAAGCTCCTTGAGTGTGCTTCTGTGGCCAGGGTTAGTTTCTTAGTAAAACACTCATTTTTTCTTTATAATCCCGCCATTAATGAATACCGGTGGAGGAAATTAGCCCCAAAACCACTCGCTCTCTCTCTCTCTCTCTCTCTCTCTCTCTCAGGTGCTGAAGATGGGCTAGGTGTAAATGCCCGGGCCCGGCCCATATCATCATCATTATCATATCTTTCATTTTCTCTCTTTTGATCATGGAATTTCGCTGCAATCCTGACCAGAGATCGAAGAATCTACGGTACCAGAGCAAGGGGACCATCGAAGTGATCACTGTTCTTGGAGCTGTTCCTGCCAGTTCGCCAACTTCATTGATCACTTCTTTGAAGAAAATAGTGCAATTATTGCCGAATAGAATACCATTTCCTCTTCGGTGTGATGTTCCTGGGCTTCATGGCGAATCCAGGATTGTATCAGGATTCTTTCAGATCGACTGCTCCATAAGAAAGCTCGGGTATAAGAAATATTTTGAGCTATTTACATGGTTAATCTAAGTTTGACGACTATATAAATATGAACTTTATTCAGCAATTTATTTAATGAAAACTCTAATAAATTATAATCTGAGGTGCATAAATGTCTACGATTTTACCCAGATGAATTTCAGGTGAGATTAAGAGGGGCCTGTGTTTTCCTCTCATGTATATGTAGAGAGAGAGAGAGAGAGAGACTTAGAGATGGAGATAGAGAGAGATTTATGTCTTTAACAAGGTTAAACCCATCTTAGGCTTTATATATACATATATATATATAGAGAGAGAGAGAGATTTATGCCTTTAAAAAGATTTAACCCATCTTAGGCTTTTTTGAATTTCTCTTATTTGTTCTTCACAGTTTTTTTTGTTTGCGAGCTGTCAAGTATAAAGTTAGCGATCATATTTTTTTAATTATTAAAAAATATGGGAAAATGATTATATAAGAATTAAAATATTTAATGATCGGATAATAATTTGGATAATAATTTCCAGAGTTTTTGGCCAGCAAACCACACTAAACTCGGATGAGGGAACTGGGTCCGCATTTGTCGTGTTGCACACGTGCCGTGAGTGGCATCCTTTATTTACATAAAAGTCCCTTGTCTACCTATTATTACGAATGGAGCCTCGTGTTGCAATACGTTTGCTCAACTTGTTTTCTTCGACAGCTCCATTTCTCTCCCATCTGCCGGTCATCGTTCTCGCTCCTCTGCGAGCGAGGGGGAAGCTTCGGGTCCGGCGCCGCCATCGCTTCCACGCCCAGAAGAATCGTCGCTATTATTGGCTGATCCGGCCCCGTCGCCGTCGCCGGAGTTGTCGCTCCCCTTCGTCTTCTCTGGTTTCTCCCAGAGCGAGGGAGTACTGTTCGAAGGGGAGCCGGCCGTGGGAGGGAAGGATTGGGGTCAGCGTCATTGTCGGCGTCAGCGGAAATCTCAGCGTGGGTTAATACGGGAAAGGAGGGATGAAAAGCGCCGCTTCGGCGCCCGGGGATTACGTCTACTTCAGATCTCAGGTTCCGCTCCACAGGATTTCGGTAAGTTCTTTCTTCTCTCACTTGCATTAGCCGAAGCAGCGGTTGGGTTTTGGGAATTCATGTGATACGGTGTGTGGGCCGAACTTCCAACGCGGAGCTGATCTCTCTGCGTCGTGATCTGAGTTCATCGTTGCATCTTTCTACAATTTGCCGGAGGTCTTCTTGCCGCCGTCGATCGTTGATCCAAGAGTGCGAGTTCAGAGGGGGGGGATTTTTGTCTCAGTAAGAGTAAGTTGGAATTGCAGATAGCGTACATAGTTGTGATAAGCTGCTGGGAGGGAGAGCATTTTCTTTTCTCTCACTGACCAGTTATAAATGCTACCACCTACTGGTCCTCTCACGGACCAGTTGAGAATTCTTGCGTCTTTTACCCATGGATTGTTTTCTGCGTCTTGATTAAATCTAGTGATTGAGCCGAAGCAGTTTCATGTGACCGCCTGGTAGTTGATACTAGCTCACGATCTTATCTGTATCTGTTACATGTGGATCGTGAATAAAATTCTACAAGAGGTTCGAGTGAATCCTGAGCATCATGGAGAAGATGTTTGATGTTGATTACTACATGTTGTGGAGTTGACATACTGATGAGTGTAGCATTCTCTTTTTTTGATGACGGTTCTGTGTATTAAATGTCAGAATCTTTGGGTTAGTGGGGCTCTCAACATGGCACATTGCAGACGTTCGGTGTCCTGCTATTCTTCCTATGAGTGCTATGATTTTAAACAATCTTAGGCACAACTACGGAACCTAATCAACATACTATGTTGTAGACAGGCACCATCAGAGTTGGCTTTGTCAGCCCCTAATCATCTGCTAACTGAGACTATAACAATTAAAAATTTGAGAGTAATTTTGGAAAAAATATTGCGAAATACTGACCTAATCATAACCAAATCAATAGAAAGACCATCCAGTATAACACATCTGCAAAATGTGTAATACTATTATTGAGCATAAAGTGTTTAAGATATTCTAATCAGTATGCCATACTACGTTACAATCATGCAACGGAAAATTTCGGTTGATGTGGGTCCATAAATGCATTAAATACCATAAAAGGAATGCTCGTGGATAGCTCTGGTCCGGACTAAAGTTACCCTTTTTGTCGTTAGGTCCAGCCAGCAGCCAACAATAGTATTGTACTCTGGATTTAGACTTATTTCTTTTCTCTATGTTGATGTGGAGTCATCCTGCATATGTGGGATCTTCTTGGTTGTATTTTTGATAAAAAAAAAACTAAAGGGACATGGATCATCCGTTGAATTAAACTGTCAGAAAATTTCCAAGATGCCATTCAGGTATCTGTCCTACGAGTTACAAATATTTGAGGACAGTAGTGTGTCATTGCCAGATACATTAAAGCAGGAAGATCTTTGGCATTGACATGGTCCAACTATTTTTGCCCCACAGAAAGGGCTGACAGACGCAAAATGATCGAATTATGGTCAAGGAATGCTGTGATGAGGACCAGTTAATGGAGATAAAACATTGAAATGGGTTATGGTAGTATGACATCTCTTGGCATGATGTTTTGAAAGAGCATTTCATGTGCTTCTTTATGTTCACTGTATCTCTGTGGGCTACTAGGTGTATGAACGTTGATGTGCATGTTGAAGAATAAATAGCTGATACTTTTGAGTGCCTTTCAACTGCTTAAACTTATTTTATCGAATTATCGTGATGTCACTGTCATTGTCAGTATTTGTCATATCATAGTTGATCACACCGAGATTTGGCTTATGAAGTCTGTATGAATGTTTCGGGTTGGCCTGGTCTATGATTATCTTCCGGTGCTTCCAGCTCTCATTCGGCCTGTATTTCAGATATAGGCATTCTGTCCTACTTCCATGTATTTCATGTATCTGGCAATGGTTCCAGATATTTCATTATCGTTCCATTTCTTTTGCATGATTCGTCTATTCTCTGCGGTGGCTCCATAATTTTTGAGGTGTAACTGCATCAGTTAGCTATGTGGGTTGTGTTTTCAGATCATAAATTATTAACGAAAAGATTATTTCTTACTTATCAGGTCGGATCAAGACAATGGCGGTATTATGATTTTGGTCCAAAGTCGGTGCCTCCACTCATTTGTATCCCTGGGATAGCAGGAACCGCTGATGTTTACTACAAACAGATTATGTCACTCTCCATGAAGGTGGTTATCTGATGACTACATGTGATTGATTACCTCTTCAGATGTGCTTCATCGTCAGTGCATACTTGTCTTATGAAATGTATGGTAACAAATAGTTCTGGAAAGTTAATGAAGAATGTTATTTTTATTAAAGCATTCCTTGCAAAAAAAAATTGGATTCAGGGGGACATGGTACGGGACTGACTGATCTTGATTTGAAGCACCTGATTCGATTTTTTTGTCTTTTAAGAGGGGGTATCCAGTCCCTTCCCGAGCACGGAAGAAACAGCAAAATCTGGTTTAACCGACAATGGTTCATCTTAACTGATCTAAAGTTGACCAATTCCAGAGATATTGGATATTTTCCAGTGGATCTGATGCTATCAGTGAGTTTTCAACAACTCTGCTGATTGGAGGAAGATAAAGAAGAGGAATTTGTCTGTGTTTTGACATTTTCAGATGAAAAGTGTCTATTCTACTGCAAAAAAAAAAAGATTTGTAGAAGCTGTTCCTAGAGAAAAAGTTCGAAGCAAAAAAGATTTATTTAATAAGAGGATTAACAAAAAGGGTGATGATGACAGGCCTGTCTTTATCTTGTGATTTTTTTTATACTGAAATGTCTTATTTCCCATTTCTGGCTAATGAATGAATTTACATCCTGAAATCCTTTTCAGGGTTATCGAGTCGTTTCAGTTGACATTCCTCGTGTCTGGAATCATCACGAATGGATTCAAGCATTTGAGAAGTTTTTGGATGCAATTAACGTACATCATGTAAGAAATCTGCTCATCTTATATTGTCTCTTTTATGGAATATACTCATATGAGATCATTTGAAGTTTTCATATCTTTTTTTTTAGGTGATAAACCTACGATTATTATATTTACGAATATAATCTTCATGTTTTGACTTCTTGGAGATCGGCATGTCTCATATAAGTTCCTTTTGCAGGTACATCTCTATGGCACTTCTCTTGGAGGCTTCCTAGCACAGATTTTTGCTCAACATCGTCCTAGACGTGTTAAATCATTAGTTCTCTCAAATTCTTTCTTGGACTCAAACAACTTTTCAGCTGCGATGCCATGGTCACCCATGTACGAATGATCCTTTTTATTATTGTGTCATTTATATGCATGGAACTATGATTGGAAAACCTTCTACCACGACAATTCCTGTTCCAATTTGTTATAGATATTGGAGATTGGTCACATATTTTTGCCTGTCTGTGACTTTGAAACCATGTCAATTTTCATAGTTATGGTTACTTAAGAGAGTTGTTCTTACAACCTTTATTTATATGCATTAGTCATGCATTTCAGTGATTCCAGAGTATGCGTCTTCATTTACTATATCCTTACCTTCCAGAATTCATTATATCCTTTCAGTGATGACTGGATGACTTATTCTTTCCCCTTGCCATTTCATCTTCAATCTATTCGGTGGTAAAACACTTTAAATAATGTCACGGCGATTTGTGTGGATTCTTGGGGGTCTGGCTTCACGAAAACAGAGTTATGTGAGGAATAATCTAAGCATAATTTGAATGAATGCAGTTTTCCTTAGCTCCTGACATCAGATGAGTTTTGCAACCGGAGGCTGGCATAGAGAAAAGAGTAACCCATAAAAAAATTCTTTCAACTTCCGAGTGGATCTGTTGACTCTAATTTTGTGGTCAGTTATTTTTAGATTTTTTTGTCCTCCTACATATTTGCTTCATAATGGTGAAAGAAATCATATTGACTATCCTTAGCATTACTGCAAGGACAGTCATAAGTGTCCAATTTCAGAAAGAAGTGCTCGCGATCTACTACTTTTGTGCGAACTAAAGTACATAAAAAAGCCTCAAATAATATGTGCTGAATACAGAGGCTCCCAATGATGTATAGATAGCCCTTATTATTAAATGCTATTGACCATTCCCGTTATGTATATGCTTATTGAATAGCTTTTGCTCTTGATATGTGCCTGAAGTTATTTTCCAACGCTTTTTTGCCTGTGTTGCAGTGTTAGTTGGACCCCGTCCTTTCTGCTGAAGCGGTATATCTTGTCAGGGATTCATGATGGTCCACACGAACCATTTATTGCTGACGCTGTAGACTTCGTTGTTGGCCAGGTTGGGACAAAGCTTATGCTTATAATATCTTTATTGGTGTTTTTATGGCACTGATAGCCAAAAATTTATGGATAATCCCACGTTTTTTGGCTGTTTTTCTTGCTTATCCGGTCAATGCGTCTTTCAAGCAGTGAAAAGTGTACCTGACTTCATTTCTTAAGATTTTATGCGTAATTTTCAAATTTATGCGGTTTTAATGACTAGAGAGCATTATTGTCCATATATTTTCATAAAGTTTATATAATATTAGTTTTTATTTCTATTAGTATGAACCCTAAAACAAATCAGAAATTTGTGCACTGCCATAAGATTGCGTCATAGTTGGTTCAGTCTTTACCATATTGGTACTCTGAAAAATCAATTCCCACATTTATGTCATTAGGAGTAATCATACTAGTCTGATCAGTTGTCAAAATATTAAAAGTTAGATACATTTTAAAAAAATTAAATTATCTATATATATTTAAATACATCGTATCAATGAAAGACATTTATTTAAAGGCTGAGTTTCATACAATTTTTTAAAGGCTTACTCATGTTCTTCTTAACTGCTCCTACAAACTCGAAGTGTAAAAGTAGCATTCATCGACTACTGCAACTTGTACAATATTTCGTGAGTTCATGCAAATCGTGTTTATCGGCTTGAAACATTCTCAATATATTCTGTCTCTCATATGCATCCAATGATGGGATGGCTGCTTAAAATCATATGGGTGGGGAACAAGAGGCAGATTGACTGAAGATAGAGAGTTGTACAGGTTAGGACCGAGCTTGTCAAATCAACAGTTTGTATACGAGATGGAAGATCAATATTGTCTGACCAGGGATTTCATATTGATTTGTTTTTCTGTGCTGGTATTAATAATCTACGAGATTGTATTGACCTCTCTAACTGACCCCACTTGGTGATCTGATCTAGATAGTCCACTATGTGAATTGGCTTCATCATCGCATCCCGTCTCAACTCCTGGCTGATTTTTCTGTTATTGGTTTGATAAAGGTCAACTTGTCTACCACCTCATGAATGAAACCTTGGCGAATCAATCCAAGTATACATATATTTTACTGACTACTTTTTTTTTTTGCAATCGTTTTATACTACATCTGCGGAGTATATATAGCTCAAACTCATGAGCTTTGGCTTCCCAGAGCAAGTCTAGCATGCGATTTCTCCCTGATTGAAGAATTCTTCCCTTCTCTGCTTCAATTAACAAAGCATACCCTCTTTACATTGCCATCAAGCAAGCCTTCAGATTTTAACTGCTCTTCAGCTCCTTTGAAACAGATTGAGACGCTGTCAAGGGATGATCTGTCCTCGAGGTTGACTTTGAACGCAGCCCCTGCATCAGTTGGCTCTCTCTTACTCTCGGATTCTTTCGTCACATTAATGGATGTAAGTAGAACATACTGACTGTCGATAAATTATTTTTTCTTGTGCGCACAATGGATAAATCTTACATAACCGGCATCTCTAAATCTCTAAACCCTGAAGATCACGGTTCAACACTTTCAACCCATAATTGGGCTCATTCTTCTTGTGCCGGACATTACAACCCATACCACTTTCAGCATCATCGCTCTAAATGTTTTGATTGCCCGTTTTTCTTCCATTTTTTATCAAATCATGTAAAGAATATATGGTATCTGAAATTCCCCGGTTCCATATCCCTTTCCACTACCGTGCTGCTAGAATAGCTATGGATCATCAAGTACTCTACAGACCTCCCCTTATCAAGGAACCTTGTTAAGTATTTTAGCACGATATATTTGCCTTCATGATCTACTAGACCAAGGAGAAAAATAGCTCATATGCGCATTCATTAATTTAAGGGGATACCATAAGAAACATAATTATTTTGGTATGATTTACATGCTCTTATGGTCTACTTTTCTACATAGAAAATTGCTTATGACTTCATTAATATGAAGGAAAGTCATGTGGAACATCAATATTTTATCATGAGTGGCGGCGCATTCATTGTTCATAAGTTGCATTAATTTCGTGGCATATCGTATGAAACATAAAATAAATTACAGCATTTAACTTATTAATCTGAGGGGATTCCATATGAAATATACATGTTATATAGCACAATATGTCAGTCTACGTGGTCTGCTTGAATAAGTAGAAATTTCTTCTTGAATGCATGATTTTGAGGGAAAACATTCCACCTTCAGAATTAAGCTTCATACATTCCATTTTTTTATGAACTTTCCATTTATATTCTGGGAGAGCCTTGCTTCTCGCAGACGAACGACTACTGCGCCGTGCCGCAGCCGCTGAAAGATCAAGTCGGCGAGCGCTACCCGGGGGCCAGACGGGCGATTCTCAAGTCTGGCGGTGACTTCCCCTTCCTCTCGCGGCCAGACGAGGTCAATCTATACCTCCAGGTACCATGAATTCCTCCCAAAAGGGGAAATTCTCACCCCACCTCAGAGCCTCCTAGCAATTCACGACGAGAAACTCGCAGCTGCATCTGAGGCGGGTCGGAGTCGAGCCCAAGCCAGACTTGCTCCAAGGCGCCGCCCCCCACGGTGACGCCGCTGGCAGCTCCGACAATGGGAAGAAGAGCAGGGACGACTCCGGCGGCCCTTCATCAGACAGTGGAGGACCCAGAACTCGCCAGGAAGGCTCAGGCTCACACCAGCTGCCGCTGTCGGAGGGAAGTAGTTCTGGTGATCACCTCCTCCACCATGTCCAGGCCGCGGCGATCACCGCCGTTCTGTCGCTGCAGCTCTGGGCCTTGTCCCTGTTCATAATTCGGGTAGCAGCCCCGCTGAAGATCTAGATCTTGATCTCTTTGAGCAATTTGTGCGGTTTGCTTGGAGGTGGGGGTTTTCAGGGATGCCCAGAAGAAGAATGTCTGTTGATCCATTACTCATCGCCATGGATCTCCCATTCCTTCTTCTGGTCAGCCTCCCATCTCCATGGGCTCTCTCCTCTGTATCTCTCTGAACATGGATGGGACCCTGGAAATTTTTTTGTATATAAATCCATAGTTGATTGGGCATGATTTTATTTCATTTCATTCCATTCCATCTTTCTCTCTCTCTCTCTCTCTCTCTCCCTCTCTCTCTCCCTCTCTCTCTCTCTCTCTCTCTCCCTCTCTCTCTCCCTCTCTCTCTCCCTCTCTCTCTCCCTCTCTCTCTCTCTCTCTCTCTCTCTCTCTCTCTCTCTCTCTCTCCTCTCCTCTCTCTCTCTCTCTCTCTCTCTCTATCTCTCTCTCTCTCTCTCTCTCTCTCTCTCTCTCTCTCTCTCTCTCTCTCTCTCTCTCTCTCTCTCTCTCTCTCTCTCTCTCTCTCTCTCTCTCTCTCTCTCTCTATGGGGGGACGCTTTCGCCCCCAAGTTTATCTCCGAGGATCCCAATGATCATCCACGGTCGAATCCTCACCACTGAAGTGGCGTCTCCTCTGGGGCCAAAGACCGTTGACTACGCTATAAACGTATATATTTAAATATAAATATGAAAGGGTTCAAAATATAATAACATCGACTACGATTGTGGTGTCTTCTTGAAGAAAGGAAGCCCGCAGATCGGACTAGGTTGCTGTGGATCCGATAAAGTGATCATATCGGTTATCCAGGGGCGAACCGATTGCGAGATCGTTATCGAATACCTAGTTCAGCCAAGATATTCTTCTTCTTATTCCTAAAAAAAAGGTATTTTTCATCATTCGGCGATTGTGCAGGCGCCTGCGGTGGCGGATCGTCATGGGCACGCCGGAGACCTCCCGGGAACCTTGCCCCGATCGCATCCTGGACGACGTCGGGGGGGCCTTCGCGATGGGGGCGATAGGCGGGTCGGCCTTCCACTTCATCAAGGGCATGTCCAACTCCCCCAACGGGGAGCGCCTCGCCGGCGGCGCTCAGGGCGTGAGGATGAACGCCCCACGAGTCGGCGGAAGCTTCGCGGTGTGGGGAGGCCTCTTCTCCGCCTTCGACTGCACGATGGTCTACGTCCGCCAGAAGGAAGATCCCTGGAACTCCATCGTGGCCGGCGCCGCCGCCGCAGGGTTCCTCCAGATGCGGCAGGGCCTCGGCCCCGCCTCCAGGTCCGCCGTATTTGGTGCCGCCCTCTTGGCATTGATCGAGGGCGCCGGGATCATGCTCAATAGATTCCTCAGCGTCCCCCAGAACCTACCCCCAATGGAAGACCCCATGGCCGGGATGCCATCGAGCTTGCCTGGGATGCCCGGAGCCGGCGCCGGATACACCCCCCAGACCATGCCCGGTGGGTCATCCTCTTCTTCCTCGTGGTTCGGCGGGCTCTTCGGAGGGAAGAAAAACGAGGAGGCCCCCGCCGGCGACAGCAGCAAGACGAGGGTTCTGGAGAGTTTTGACGCCCCGAGCACCCCAGTGCCGACCTTTGATTACAAGTAGAAATTTTTCCGGGATTTCGCTTGACGAGGGAAACCATAGTACAAGGGAGAGGCGGAGCTCGTCTCCCTCTGTTTTCGCGTTTATATGTTTATTTGTTGCTTGCATACGTATGAGCTTGTGATGTGTATGAGTTTGTGAACTGGAACTCTTACTATGGAAGCTGATCATTTAATCATGCTATGATCTGCAGTTCATCCGTGTTCATCAGGGAACTTCGTGCCCAAGATTACTCCCTGGCCTACTCCACATATAGAACCTTCATTTTGCTGTTCTCTTGTTCTATCTCTGCTAAATAAGGGAAAGATTCTTCTGTTTATTATTTTTCTGGGTCTCCATGCAATCTGATCTTAGGCTGCGAGCTCATGTGGGTTCTACTTGTTCTATCAAGTTCTTCCTGAAAATTCTCATCCAGAACTAACCCATTCCCCGCAGATCAATTTTTCGGCTCATTTGAGAACTCTTAGGGTTTTTTTGGCGGAATGAAGGGAGGAAGGAGCTCTGGGCTGTCGAGAAGGAAGAACAATTCCTCTTCTAGAGAGAGAAAAGGGATATGATTGTGGATTCCGAGGATTTAGTGGGATTCTTTCAGTTAAATGCAGGTTACATAGCAACCCACAGTGATGAAATCAAGCATACCTCATGGGTCCCCTTCATCTCCACGGATCCGCTTTCACTGTTTTAGGTATTTGTGCTCCATATCATGCCATGAGAGAGGCCATGGCAGGGAGGATATGGAAGAGTGAAGAGTACCCAGCGGTCATGCCGGGGGGGATATCAGATGAGCGAGCACCCAGGGCGAGGGGGGCATGTGGGTGAGGTCATCGACTGTGGGGAGCAGCCATGCATGCGTCAGAGGGTTTGCTGTTCTAGAAGGTCCCTAAACCCTAACCCTAAAGGGTGGGGTCTTGGAGTATAGTGTGAAAGTGAAGGTTTTTCAAGATGCTCATGGATGATAATGAAGAGGGAATGCTCAGGGGTTACTGCTTTGACTTTTTATGGGCATGAGGTGTGGGAACCCACCCTCAATTCATCATCTTCTATCGATTAAGAGAGAGTTCCCAAGAATGGGAATGAATAGGTAGCTGATTGATTTCGTCCTCTGGTGAGTGACGTTGACTTTTGAAACCCAGCAGGAGAAGGTATCTTCAGGGATTTCCCGAGAATCGGGAAGACATAGATCAAAGATTATAGTTGACTTGGGTCCAGCCAATGGGAAAGATGCTCGCTTTTGGTTGTGTTGTATTTTTAGGGAGAGTAAGTAACTCATGTAGTGCAAAAGAGATGGGGGTTTTATTTTTAGAGAGAGAGAGGGGTGAAGAATAAAAGAAACCCAATCATTACAATTGGAAATGCAAATAGGGGTGCCTAGATGACGATGATATTTCATAAAGTCAAACCAAAACAATCATCACCTAGAGGAGCTAATGGGAGGGGGGAATCGTTCACAACTTTCAGCCCAAGAGGAACAACCGCTCACGGCCCTCGCCCACGGCATCGAGGGTCAGTTCATCTGCTGCTGGGCCCTGCGAGCGCACTCATTGAACGATTTAACCGCACGGGCACACCGCAGCGGGTCCTTGGCGTGCTCCCGGTAGCACTCCAAGCAGGCGTCCTTCTCTTCAAGGCACGGCATGGGCTTCTGCCGGGGCAATTTGAACTCCTTTTCGTGCAGCTCCTTTGCCCGCTCGGTCAGCTCCTGAATCATCTCCGCCTCCTTCTTCTGCAGCCTCTCAACAGCCTGCTCACTCTCTTGGACGACGGCCCGGATGGCTTCGAGCTCAGCATTTGCGGCTGGTGGCGGAGGGAGGGGGATCGGGAGGAAGAGAGGTTGGCGGTGCTGCTGTTGCAGCGGCGGTGGCGGCGGCAGTCCGATGCTGGCACTGGGCTTGCTTGGACCGTCGGACGCCTGGGGAGCCCTAGCCTGGGCTTCTTGTGGGCTCTTGGGTTTCGGTTTCTTTGTTTTCCTCTTCTGCTTGTCTTCATCGCCGGCAAGCCGGCTGATCAGCTTGGAGCTTATGGAGATGGTGTAGTCCCCCATGGCCGATTGGCCTCTTCAGAGCGCTGTTGCAGACTGAGAGTCATCAGAAATTCATGAACTCGGAAAATAAAAGCATGCATGCAGAACAGCACTTGTGGTGCCTGATGAAAACCATAAGATATTAGGTAAGGAAATGAGAACAGAGTCGTCCCAGAGCTATGAAGTTTGGGGTGGGTGGGCATGCTGATAGAGAGAGAAAGTACAGAGACTTCCCATTACGATGGAGACAGTACACCTAGTGGGGATACTGGGCCCATCAGAACAAAACAACTGGCTATTCTAAAATCAACAAATCGGCATACAGATCACACCAGAAATCTGTTGATGAGAATATATTTTATGTGTGTGTGCGCAGATGAAGTAGTGGTGACAAAGTTTCATCTTTTATGTTTTCACATCACAGAGTTAAAGACTGTTTGCCTGAGTTCCTCGAATTCTTCATAGAAGCTTCATAATTAACCAAAAATATGCATAAAAGCGAACTCATTAATCTCACCAAATACCGGAAAAGGAATGGGTAGTAGGACTACAGATTGTTAATCTTCAGATCATGATTCCTAGATAATGCACTTTCATAGAAACATGTTAGCTATGAACTAGAGCAGCCACCACCTCAATATCTTTCTCTTGGAGAAGTGGAACCCATAAATCCCTTCAATCAGCAGCCTATCCGCTTCAAATGAATTCTGCTCAATCATTCCCACATCCCTAGATCACTACCAGCAGTCATTAGCGGATCCTCCAGGGCCTTGTGATTGAATCTCACTTTTATCTCGGGCATGATGCAAACTATTCACCCTGATTGAAGAAGCATCTCTTTAGTTTCTATGAATGTGATCCTTCTCACTACCTTACTCCATCCATAGCGCTACCATATGTTCTAAACACCAACTTCTATTGCTACTTACATAAATATCATAAGTGACATCCTCGGGCAGGATGACCGTGGTGCACAACCATGATACAAACTGAACTACCAGGCGAAGGTAGCATCCATTGGCTCAACCTATAGTATCAACTGCGTTCAGATATTGACCGTCTGATAGGATAAGAGCCCGTCACTGTCCGCAGGATGAGGAGGCGAGAACTCCCTGTTCTAGTTTAAGTCAGGTTATAAAATGCTATCACCACGAAACCCTAAATCTGGAAACAAGAATTCTCGCAAATGCCTGGCCAAGCATGAGTATTCCATGCATGTTTCCTGATTGGCAATCAATTCGTTAAGTGATCCTAAAATAAATTATGCATTCGAAACTTAAGCGCATATGAGAAAGATTTAGAAACATTACTTGAAGCTTAAATTTGATGTGTACAGAGATTCGACTCGATTCTTTGAATCGTATGAAATAATAATGACTTAAAATAAAAGATTATAAGTCAACTTGAACATTGGGATGATCACTCGAATGCATTCTTGGCATAAAAGTGAGGAGTACGATAATATTGAAAACTCCATCTACTCTGTTTTTGCGAGAAATCCAGCAGATCATAAAAATAAAGCATTACATGAAGCCATTAGCTTATTTCGATTTCCACAGCCCAAAAAACTGAGATGTGTCAGGAAATCCACCCCGGCCGACACCGCGACCGATCCACAGTTGACGGATTAACACAAGGATCCACGATTAACCCGATAGTGCTATTTCTAGACTAACTTGTAATTACGTTATGGGAGGAAAATGGCAATCCAGAACGCGGACAGGGCAATAAAATGAGCGGGCAAAGAGAAGAGGGAGCACCCAAATGGGTCCGAGAAGAACAAGGGAAAACCACCCACCGCGGACGGCCAATAACCGCGAGAAAATGGGATGCGAATGGTAGGTACCTGGAAGACTAGAGTTCCGACCGTCTTCAACCGATCGGAAACCGCAGAAAGTCGAGATGAAGAACAGCCGCCGGTGGAAATCGGCAGGAAAGGTGGTCGGCGGCGCGAAGAACCAACCCACTTGCTGCTGCAGAAGAAGAAAGGGAGGGGATGCTCTGCAAGACGGCGACTAAGAATGTAGATCTCTTTTCTCAGAAAAACCCATAAAATATTAAATTAAAAAAACTCATATTATATAGAAAATTAGTAAAATAAAAATACTAATAATATAAGAAAGTCGGGTTTTCCGTCGAAGCAAAAAAATATTAAACTGAATTTAATGTTTTAAATACTTATGATCCTGAGAAATTATCGGAACACGGATTTTTCTCCTTTTTTTTGTTATGGGTCGATTTTCTGAAGTTTATTAACGGGCCGGGTTCTGAAATCGTTCGGCCCACTTGAAACCCAACAACTTGGCTGTAAGAAAAACATTTGATCAAATCCCCTTGTTCGATTTAATTATATCTTTGCCCCTCCGAGAAGTTTGACTTTTCATTTTTGAATAGATTCGGGTGCCCACATGAGCAACTATTGGTTGGTGACTTTCATTTTCTCAAGATCAGGGGCCCTTCTATACCTGTAGCTTCTCTCTCCCTCACAACGACGACGATGGCGATATGCTGATGTGGATGCTGACGTGGAGTGAAATGAGGGGGGGTCATTTGGATATCTTGGCAGCGAGTTCCCGCACGAGCTTGGCCGCCACCATGGCGGTCATGCCGTCCACGGTGTCCCGCTGGGGGTTGAACTCCACCACGTCGGCCGCCACGACGTCGCCACGTAGATTGTGCAGGATGTTGAGCACGTCACGGAAGGACAGCCCCCCCGGCTCGATGTGCGACACCCCCGGCGCGAACGCCGGGTCCAGACAGTCCACGTCGACCGACACGTAGACCCCCTTCACGCCCTCCCCGAGACTCTGCCCACCACCCAACAACAACACAAAAGAGCTCCCCCCATTAACCTCATCACAGTAGAGAGAGAGAAAGATAAAGAGAGAGAAAGAGGGAGAGAAACCAGATTCTCCAGCATGGGGCGATCTCTGGAGAAGGTCCTCATCTCGTACTGCTCCACGCCAAATCTCTTCCCTTGCTCGCGCCCTTCTTTCGTGATCGATCTGATGCCGACCTGGTAAAATAATAGATTATTTAAAAATAAAATTAAAATTTTATTATTTAAATAAATCATAGGTTTTTCTTTTTCTTTTATTTTTTTATTTTTTGTTGGTGAAATGAGGAGGAAGGGGGCCGGGGCCGTACCTGAAGAAGTCGCCTGGCATAGCCGCCTTCCATTATACGGGCAAATGAGGAAGCGTGAGAGTAGATGTTCCCTTCGAAAGCATCGTATATATCAGGGTGGGCGTCCAGGTGGAGGACGTCGACTGGCCCACCGAGCTTCTCCGACACCGCTCGCACAACCGGGAAAGATATCGAGTGGTCACCGCCGAGGACCAGCGGGCGGAGAGGATCCTGCAGAGCAGTGAGAAGAGTTGACTTTCTAATAGAAGGAGGAAATGAGGAAGAGACCGAAAGGCTGCTCTTTTTTCTCTGGGCATGGCGACAGTGGGGGGGATAGTGCTGACCTGTTCCATCACCAACTTAACTGACTCGCTGACTATATTCATCAACTTGTCATCGTCTACGCCGCAATCACGAAGCTCTTGGATGGGCACATCTCCAACATCGGTTAGTACTCGTGGGTCGTTTAGTTCTTTGCCTGCAGCATCACCAGGTCTTAGAAACATGGAGAGCATAAAGAGTGACAAGATGTGAAGAGAATTTTTCCTTGTATAGCTATGAATAAGTTTGCAGTAGATTCTAGGCAACTATTTAGGTCTGTTTAGGCAAAACATAAGCAAGGAGATGATCGACGTTGTGCTCTATCTCAATCAATGGAAATCAAGCAGAGCCTCTTCATGCACAGAATCCGAGGTAGATGTTGCTGAAGGATGTAGCCAAGTAATCACGTTTCAATGATGAAGGCCAGAAGTTACTCAAATAAATAGGGTTTGGACCATAGACAACTATATATATATATATATATATATATATATATATATATATATATCTGGAAGACTATACTTTCTCTTTCTTTACCACCTATTTCGATTTATTTGTACGCTGGGAGAAATTGAGTAAGGCTGCAGGAGATAAGGTTGACAGAAGATTTCCCCAATCCCTTTCATTTTTCGTTTCTAAGAAATCCAGATCGAGAATGGCCCCAGAATGATTAAGAGAAATTAGAAAGTTGGCACTGATGATAGCAGTGGAATTACTCAAAACATCTTGATGCCATTAGTTTTACACATAAAATGGAGAACTGATGCGTTGGTTCATGTGCATCTCTCTCAAAACTTGTTTTCGCATAAATAATCAGAATGCGGTATACATTGAATACTGATGAGACAACTCCCGCTAAAAGAATCGGACTTGGAGCCAGTGAAAATCGATTAGAAGATGAACATACTGCATTAAGAAGATTACTGTTTAATAAAAAATACCTTCTTCACTGCTCGAGTTTGTGCTACCGCACCAAATAGCCTCCCTAATGCGAGGAGGAGCAAAAGCAGGGCCCTGAAGGAAGGACGAATTATGTCCTAGAGGAACTCCAAGAAGTGATGCCGAAGCTGTGACTCCTCCTAAAGCTCGTAGAAGTTCTGCCTGAATGAGCAAAGAGATGATGAAACCGCATCAGTCACACGCGCACGTCTCCAAAATTATGAGGCTTATAGGCCATGGAAGACCACAGTGATTCATGGAAGCAAAATTTCCTGAGATAGGACTAAAAGAAACGACCTTAAGTTTTGCCCTCTCGCGTATAAGAGTAAGCGAGGCATCTATAACACGTTTTTGCCCATTTTCTATCAAATCTGGAGGGACGTTGGCAGCATGCAATTTCTTCAAATAATGGATTCCCCTCGTAAAGTTGGGCATACCTGAAAAGTTGGCAATAATATTAACAAGAAAACCAATAAACTACATTGTCCAAATTGCATGGGCGAAACTGAAACTAAGCGTACATCATTTCGCAAGAATTGTTCCAAAAGAGACTAATATAGTGGGGACGAAGGTAACACGATATCTTCATATCTGTCAAAACCTTCACCCGTGCATCATACTGGAAGCTTTCTTTTCCATTGAAACGAAATTTTATGGATTAATAACTTAACGTAGGCGGTGTAATCAATCCAGAAACAGGAAATGTCAGAAAGAACAAGATAATTGTCGAAGAAGGTAGATGGTGATCTAAAATTAAGTTCTGAAATTAGCTTCGGTCGAAACAACACTAGCTCCTCGTTACTAAGATCCTAAGACTCGTCTTTTTAACACCCTGAGACAACCAGTAGAGGCGTCGAAAATATGACAATCATCTATTGAGAACTGTCTCAGGCCACCACAACACGCAAGCGGCGGAAATTCCTGCTCTCACTCTTTATGGCCTCCTCTAGATGAAGGCTTGTCACCATTGCACTCCAAGCAGCCATACCAATCACCAGTAAGGATTGCACAAGCAGAAAGAAGCGCAGCGCAGAGACAATATGCATCATAATCAGGAGAGAAAAAAAACTACGCTCGCAGACGAAAAACAGAAAACGAAAGGTCACCTTACCTCCACGCTTCTCCTCCAAATGACGCCGCTACTCCCCCTCGAGATCGCTGTAAGAACCTCCCCAGCGGCCGCCGGTGCCGCGGCGATCACTAAGGAACGCCAGAGAATGAAGCGATCGAGAAGAAGGTAGGAGACGGACCAGAATGGACGGACACTGACCGGCGCGCTGATGGTATTCGGATCACGGAGAGCGGAAGACGACGACGGTTAGAGTCCCACGCTCGCCGACGTATCGTGTTGGGATTCCTCGGCTCTCAACTCGCGCGCCGAGACTTATCGCATCCCTTTTTCTCATATTGTACAGTCACCTCATACCCATCGACAGCTTACCGAAATATAATAAAAATTCCGTTTAAAATTCAGATTTCCATATTTAAAATACCTAAAAAAATTAATGTGTAATTACTTCTAATAAGCTTATCTTTAACGTGAAAACACGAAATTACCATCACAATCAGTCCTGAACGGGAAAGGCGTAGGGCTTTGCTATAACAAGAAATGGGGTGGAGCTAGTAGAGAGAGAGAGAGAGAGAGAGAGAGAATATGGATGGATATCAAGGTATTTTAATCATATTTACGTTCGGTTGAATATATATATATATATATTAAAGCATAAAAGGACTTGAATTTTTTTTATAGCTTTGAACCACCTAAAAGATAAACTAAGAAAAAGGGTTCTCAATAAATTAATTTATTTTTGCATAGATCAAATCAAATGTTTATAATCTGAAATTTCCCATGGTACAAATGATAATTCCCACATTTTTTGGCAATACATGAGGTCGACTTTTTTGGGAAATTATATAATTTTCTACGATACATAAAATAACAGTTGTTGATATTATGGCTACAACTTTTCAGATTTGTAATTATTTTTTTTACTTATTAATTTAGTGAGGTACGTCTCCATAAAAATTATTAATTTACTTATTAAAATCTCGCACTTTTGTTGGCAGACGTAAACATGATTTTTCAGTTTTTTTAAAAAATATATAGAGTTAAGATTCACAAATTTCGTAAAAAAATTAATCTCTACTCTTTTTTTTGCCAGGGTATAAAGTTAAGAAAAACACTAATTCCATACTATGGCAATACTAGTTATCTTTATAGTTATCCCCCCCAATTCCAAAAATAATGTTAGTTTCATCCTAATTCTTTACATGTTTCCAAAGGAGAGGAGGGCATGCCAACAAATATGTGCAGGGTTTATTGCTCTTAATATTTTTTAGTCAGATACCAAAGCTCACAACCTTTTTAATCTCTCTCTCTCTCTCGCTCTCTCTCTCGCCATATATATGTAGAGAGAGAGAGAGAGAGACATAACTCTCTACCTTGACAACTGGGGGCGTGTCTATTATGATTTTTTTGTCGGGGTAAAAAGAAAAAAATAATTACACAGGATGGTAATATGAGTTGTTGTTATGTCCAAGAACAAGGTAAATCTCTGCATACCCTTGTAAATCACAAAAATACGTTTAACTACCTGTAAAAAATACGAAGGCAATATCCAGTCACTTTAAAAAAAGTGACCAACTTATCACACTCTCTCGTGCATGTATTTCACATAAATGTCAATCTAACATTCATAATTATTGATATACCCACAAAAAACTATGCGTCTCCACATTTACAAAAAAAAAAGGTTTACGTGGCTGACTTTTATTTTAAAAAATCAAGAAAATTAATGTGGTAACGTGGCATTTAATGATATCAGCTGGGGATACTGTGCCAACAACCCGGTGGGTCCCAGAGAGGGAAGGAGGATGGTTGGTGAGGCACTGACTTAACTGCAAAGCACAGCCTGAAGACCGCGGAATCGGTTTGACTTCATTAATATATTAACCCGCGGGACCATCGTACAGCGAACCATCACAAGACCAAATATCGTCATTAATGGGAGTTCTATCACATATCATGCAAAGAGAAAAGATCGAAAAATGAAAAGAGGAAGGAGAAGGAAGATAAGCAATGACCATGGAAGGGCTTTGAAAGGACGTCGTCGTCGTGCTAAGCCATGGCGGCGATGGCCCACCAGAGCAGCAGTAGACCCATCAGGCCGGGGCCGTCTGTGTGAACCAGGGATGGGGCGCCATTGCCACCGCCGGGGGTAGCTGCAGCATTAAGAGTGCGGGTCATTAATGGAGATGGATGGAAAGCAGGTCATGAAATGATCAAGAAACTACGGTAGTTCATTTATGGAACTCCGACCGACGAGAATTCGACCGGCAGGTGACGGTATTTTCGTAGGTTTCTTGTTCTACGGCGTCGGACACTGGATCGAAGACTGGTCGACGGCCAGAAGGAGGTCGCAATCAGAGAGTCGGAACGCTAAGGTGAGAGATGGGGATTTCACCCCCGAGAAGTCTACCAAAACGGCTACGACCAAGAACAGGCGGAGATGGAGAATTTTACGGAGCCTCGAGAGACATGAACGGCGACAGGCATGCTAATCGCGATGGATTCATTCACGGATACAAATTCCAAGGGGAAGCCGGCGCTGAAATGGAAAATGAGGGCGGGAGTCGTTACCTGGAGGAGGTTTAGATGGAGAGTCCGCACCTAATCAGAAGAGGATAAAATTATGTTCAGTTGAAAGCGAAGTGAGTAGAAATATCGTTCGTGACTTGAAAAAATAAGAAGAAGAAGGAACACCATTCACATATATGAGGATCACTTCTCTCTCTCTCTCTCTCTCTATTCGAAAACATTTCCCGTGAAGAAGGACACAATAGCAAGGAGAATCGATGATTTCGATCTGTTTCCTCGAGCGATTCCCCGCCCATATGAGTCCGATCTCTAGAAGACGGTCTCAAAACGTAACTCCCCCCCCCCCGGAGGAAGATAAGGCAAGCATATCTCGCCATTTTCGTGAATCCCGGGGCTGATGTACCCAAGGGGTTGGTTCACCTATGTTGAGATCTAAGAGAGAGGATCACCAAAAACATAGAGATCGGGCACGCACTGGATCTGCACCATTCTCCACGATAAAATCACTTCACGGAGAGCAACGACAAGTAACGAAGGGATTCCCGTTTTCTTTCCATTCCTTACCGGTCGTGGTGGATTTGCAGACACTCTCATTGGAGGTGATGCCGCAATTCTTGGGGAGCTCGAGCGCCTGGGTGATGTTGATGTTTAAGCTCTTGAACACCTCCGTGTCGTTGAGGAGCGAGCACAGGCAGGTCAGATCATTCTTCACGGACTCACTCAGCTGGTCGCAGCACTTCTGCGACGGCTTAGCCACCCCTAAATCATTCTGGCAGGGAATCAGCGCCTGCGCACACTCCGCCCCCTGCGCTTCTACGGCCGGCGGCACCATCAACACCATCATCAGCAGCATTGCCGCTGACATCATCATCCCCATCGGGCCTCTGCAACTTCTCCCCATCTCTCTCTATCTCTCTCTCCCTCCCCCCACCTCCTGTTTATACTGCTTCGAACGAGCTCTCTGTCAGGACCTCGGATGTAGATACCGTCACCGTCCTGTAAGCCGCAGTCTATAACGGCGTCAGACTCTAGGCACGCAGATCAAGAATACGTGAACGTAATTTCCGTCATGACACGTTTCGTCTCCGGAATGTTCTCTACCGCTGAGATGATGCCACGCTTCCGATCGGACGGTTAACACCCTCCTCCTGAAACCTCCAGGGGGGCGGGTTTGCATTAAATTATAAAATAGGATATTTTCTCAATTCCATATCGAAATAATTTTCCAGAACTTTCCATTCCACCGAGATATTCCGCGATTCTCATCCTTTCTGAATAATTTTCAATCCCGAAAGGTACAATAGCAAAACGGGGCATATCTACAATTTTGCGACTCTTCTCTTACCTACGCCGTCCGATCATCTATGGACGGCAGACACGATTACCCGTTGGGAACCGTGACCTGCCAGGGTAGGGGTCATTTTATGTATCTTAATAAAATTATCACCAGGGAAAATATTTATTATTCCGGGTTTATTACCCAGTTTAGAATATCAGATAATTATTAAAGTTATTGGGTCGTAAATGCTTATTTAAATATATTACGCGAAAAAAAAAGATATTTGAATTATTATATAGGGGACTAGAGTCGTAAATATGAGTTAAATGAAATTAATAAATGGGATCCCGAGGAGCCCATGCATCTAACGGCTCGCAATCAAAGGCTGAGTCCTCTGATGAGACGGCTCTAGGTCCTCGTGAGTCGCCTTTAAGATCGTCCATCTCGCAATATGGACAGTCAAGATCGCATAGGCTTGGCGTTGGGGTGGTTCCCCTCCGGTATTCTAGTCCTTTCCTCGGAGGAATTCCGCCCTCTTCCCTTCGAAACGACAAGAAATGTCACGGTTTGGTGGACATCTTAAAAGAGTCATTAAGTTGCCTCGCCGGAACAGGGCACCGAGGGACGGGTGAGGGGACAAGAACGAGTCTGATGTACCGCGGATAAGCTGTTCGTCACGCAGTTCGTTGGGTAGGGGACAGAAAATATCTATAAAAAGGCCGTCTTAGGCTGCACCAGCGGGATAAGAGATCGTTGTTTATCGTTCCGACTCTGGTCGTCGGATCGCGTCAGACGTCTTCAAATTTTAGCCGTTGGATTGAGATCATGCCGTCCTCGTGAGGGAAGGGAAGACTGAGTGGCCACTTATCCTGTCTCCCATTTCTCCATAAACCCTAATCTTCTGTTCTCTTCCTCCTCACCCTACGCGACCTGCGATCTACGGCGGCCGCCGCCGCCGCTGCTCGAACAAACGTCTTATCCGAGGAACGATATCCAGGGGAGGAGCCCGTCTCTTTCTATCGGGGCCGAAGGCCGTGGGCGAAGAGAAAAATCCATACTTTTGTGATCCCTGCTGATTCGTTGCGCCATCAGAGTCCGAGTGGTCCAAACTCCGAATGTCTGTATCTGCTCCCGTGGGATGCATCTGGTATTTGTCTCCGGCTGGTGTGGCGATCGGTGAGGGGGGACGCGCTGCTCGATGGCGGGACTCGGTGGTGTGTCCCCGTGGATGATGCTCCCCGGCGATGAGAGAGCATGTAAGATCTGAAGACCAGGAGGCCGCACAGGAGCTCGGCGATCCGGAGTCCGAGAAGATTGGGTCCAGGGTTTTCCCCCTCCGGGGAACGCCGGCAACGATGCCTTCGGTGGGTACGAGGAGGTCGACCCGAGTTTTCGTGCGTAAGAATGTCACGAAGGTGACCCCGGATGGGGACCCGGCGGCAAGGGTACTCAGGTCGGGGAAGCGCCTCTCACTGTACAAACCCGTCGGAAATCAGGTCGTTGGCGATGGAGATGGATCTTCATACGAATGGATGGAGCTTTTTGGGAGTTCCGGCGAGTCGGAGGATGCCGATTGGTGGAGAGGGAGGAGATCAGGATACATGTCGCGGAAAGGGAGCAAGGAAGGACTGAAGAAGTGTAGATATCATGCAGAAGAGGGGCTCGAGCGGGGGGACGTTTCTCTGGAGGACATGCCGTCAAAGTTTCTTCTACAGGAAGATTCTGGGATTTCCTTCCCGAATGGCAAGCTGTTTGGGATTTTTTACAGTCGGAAGCGGAGAAGATCACATTCAGGTCCTCATTCGAGGACCAATAGCTCCAAAAATGTTTGGAACTCTCTCTTTGACGGTCTGGGTTCATTATCTTCTGTGTCCGGAGACAATGTGAGACAGGATCGGCGCTATGGCATTGCTTTTGTTCGGAACAACTGTAAGAAGCTAAGGTTGTCCTTCTCAGATGAAGGAAAGCCTACAAGTTCCGAGTTTTTGAGCAATGGGCTCGAGATCACTGGAGCAGTGCGAGAATTTGCAGAAAAGTTTCTCATTCCAGAGAGTGATCTGTGGTTCGGTTCGACCAGACCTGCGGCGCTGGTTTTGCTAATCAATTCTGCGAGAATCTCGAGTTCGGATCGTTTTTCTTCCCTTCTTGCTTCCATTTTGACTGGAATGATCACCATGGGGGTTAGCTTAGCTGAATGCGCTTCCTTTCTATCGTCTAGATCAGCTGTCAACTTGTTCTCCTTGAATGGCATCCACTTCTTACCATTGCAGAGCTGGAAACCTGTGAGTTCTCCTTCCATCTCCGCAGTTATCTCACAGTTTTTTTATGCTTCTTACTACCTGTAATGTCTCCCAGTTGATTTCTCATTGTGGGCAATGGGTAACTCTGTTTATTTTTTTCTACAGGAATTTTCTCACAGGATGTCAAGATCTGATCCTAGATTTTGTGTCATTTTCGCTTCACAGATGTTGGCTCCTCTGCTTTCTGTAAATTTTTCTGCTCTTCCTTATCTCTTCAAGAGTTGGCATTTCAGTATCTTCCTCCGTCTGCTCTATATACCCAGCAGCTCTGCAAGACATCACAGCGAGCTGTGCTCGTGTGGAACTGCAGAAAATAGTGTCGAGGAGTATCGGTTCTATGAGTCACGGTTACGTGCAGACACCTCCACTTCTGAAAGGAAGATGGCGTCCCTTGGAACCCCTGTTGCCATGGATAGTGCTGCTATTCCTGTTACTAGAGAGGGGAGGAGTCGTTCTACTGCAGTGTCCGAGCCGGCACCCAGAACTGGTTCAGGGATCAACGCCATGAAGCTCCGGAAACGTGGGAGAAAGAGGAGTTTCTTGAGGACTGGTAGAGTTCCCGGCGTCTCCAGCCGTTCATTAATGAAATCTAGACGAAGTAAGTTTTTTGATATGCAGAATGGCATGCTGAAAGTAGATGTAAGGGTCAAAGTGCACCCAATTCACGAGTCTCGGGAGTTTGAGGCGCTCTCCGATAAGGCGCTTGATTCCCCGTTGACGGAGAGCGGTGCTGAAGAGTATGCCTCGCCGGTTAGTCAGAAGAGGAGAAGGTTTGATGCGAAGAACTCTATCAAAAGGATGAAGGAACCCAAGACGGCTTTCGCGGAGGCTAAGCAGAACGTTGATGGGTTGAGCTGCTCTACAAATATTCTAGTCATTGAAGCTGACCGTTGTTGGAGGGAGGATGGGGCTAAAGTCGTGTTGGAGTTATCGAGCTCAAGCGAGTGGTGCATCGTGGTGAAGTTGGGCGACTCCACAAGGTTCATGCACAAAGCCCAGGAGATGAAACCGAGCTCTTCCAATCGATTCACACATGCCACGATTTGGACTGGTGAGAATGGCTGGAAGCTGGAGTTCTACGACAAGAACGACTGGAATGTGTTCAAGGAGCTGCACAAAGAGTGCATTGAGAGGAATCTGCAGGGGATTCCCACAAGGATAGTGCCTGTTCCAGGAGTGCGGGAGGTTCCGGGCTATGAGGAGAGTTGCCCATCTCATTTTGCGCGCCCAGATTCTTACATCCACGTGGAAAATGATGAAGTGGATAGGGTGCTGATGAGTGAGAGTGCGTCCTATGATATGGACTCTGGGGACGAAGAATGGCTGGAAAGGCTGAACACCAGCCTCTCATGTGGCGATGTGGACCGCTCTTCTCTTATTTCGAAGGACGACTTCGAGAAGATTATCTCTGCCTTTGAGAAGGCTGCTTATAGCCACCCAGATGATGTATCTGATCAGGGAGCAGCAGCTGCTCTCTGCTCGCAATTTGGGAATTTGAGAACAGTCGGAGATGTCTATGATTATTGGATGAAGAAAAGGAGGCAGAAACATTCAGCACTGATCAGAGTTTTTCAGGTGCAATTCAGACTTCTTCATATGCGTGTGCCTATTTGGTTTGCTTCAACATCTCCCGCGTTTGATTCATGTCTAGCTTTTTGTTTACTTAACTACTAATGCGTTGTAAATATCTTATATAGGCCACATATTAATCGGTAGCCTTTGTTCTTTCTATTTATTTATTTTTACTATTTTTGAGTTATATAGGCGAATATAGTTTCACACCTTGCCCTATATCATATCATTGAAAACTATGCTCTTTCCACTATAGCCCAGGTGTTACTTACGTAAATTATAAGCATGAGCTTCCTTCGTGTGATGCTCATGGCTGAACAATTCTTTGTAACAGGGGCAGCCACCGAGGAAAAGGCAGCCGACCCAGAAGCCACTTCTGAGGAAGAAAAGATCCTTTAAGAGGCAGGGGAGCCATGCGGGAAGGGGGAACCTGGACATCTTCTTCGAAGGTGCTTTTTCCATTCATGAACATATCACTTTTATCCATCTATTTCTTATAAAACGTTCCCATCTATGAAAACACAGAGACATCAGAACTCGAATAGCTGATATGAATTAATGCAACTATGAAAGCAGCACAAATCATGCTACGTCTTATTTTTTCATAATTTATAATCGTACGGTGAGATACTAATTATTCGTATATATATAGTCGGATCAACATAAAAAATATCAATTTTTTCTCTTCACAAGGTACCTTTGACTTCTGCTGTAATTAGAACCCCGGGATGATGAACTTGAAAGGGTGAAGACTGAAAAGGGAAGAATTGGGTCTTTTTGAAATTTTCTTACTCAGATTATTTATCAGGGTTTCTCCCTGTTTATCAGAAGCTCTTGATTAACTGGTTAAACGTATGGTTGTCTGACCTGATCCGTTGTCCGATCCCATGCAGCCGCCGCAAAGCAAGAGGCAGTCCAGAGGTTTCAGGCGGCCGAAGCAGCAACTGGGAGGTATGTGGATGCTGCTGTCCGACTCCGCAGCAGGGCCCAGGAGCTCATGATGAACGCCGACTTGGCCATCTACAAGGCCGCCATGGCTCTGAGGATCGCAGAAGAAATCAAGGAATCCGCTTCCCCTGATCTCTCCATTCTGAGCTCACCAGAAGCTTCTCAGGGGCAGTAATCAATATTCAAGGCCTTCCCCCATTTTGTTGGACGAAGCTCTCATGGCTCCAAAGTGCTCCAGAAGCTCTACCCAGGAGTTGGCCTCTCTGCCTCCACACTCCAGGCTGATTACAGGGCTCGAGAGGAGGGCGATGGCCATGTCTCACAGGGTCTCAGACTCAGGGAAGCTAGCTCTCTTTTCATCCTCCAATTCTGGACTGGTATGAATGCTATAAATGGCAGGAGAGAGTCATGGCAGGAGGGCGATGGGCCTCCTCAGTGTGATTCCGAGGCTTGATCTGAGCATCTCTGCATCTGGGTTTCAGCAGGCAAGACTGTGATATCAAGGGATGAAGGAAGCTGTAATTTTTGTAAAGGTAGATGATGAGTAGCTGTAGATTTGGAGGGCCACCTTTGTAACAGGGGTTACCTGTTGATTCTCTCAATACCGACTGGAGAAAGAGGTCAGGTTCTTGTGGGTGAGGGGTTGAAGAAGCCTGAATTCTAACGTGCGGTTTTCTTAAGCTTATCAATATAATGTTTGCACACAGAAAAAAAGCTGGTCTCCCTGAAGATATGTGATTTTGATATTATGCATATATGGATGCTTCTGTTGGTGAAGGGAGGAGAGAGAGAGAGAGAGAGAGAGAGAGATGGATCTGGTGGTTGATACTTGGTTCCCACAACTGCATTAAATTTGTATTGGGGCATTTCAATGGGTGCTAAGTTCGGAGTCAACTCTCCCTCTCTGCCGTCAATACGTCTGAACCTAGAAGTTAACTCTCCCTCTCTCCCTCTCTGTCTCTGCGCTCCGACCAGACACAGACTGGAAGATCATACGCAGGCGTGAGAATCATGAGACCCATTTATTCAAGTCAAATGCAGGGGGCCACACGAGCATCATTCCATTTCCTCAAATACACAATTCACATGGAAACATTTTGAATGAAAATGCTTTACACAAATCAATCTTGCCTTGGGAGATCACCTCGCGGAGATTCCCCGTTTATTTCCACCTCGAGATCTTCTTTGGTATGCACAGAAGCTGCTAAAACAGCTACCTAAACAGGCAAAGGCCGAAGACTAGTTACAGCTGAACTCATCAAAGGTCAACGATTTCAAAGCCGATGAATAAACACAGCCCAAGAAAGCAAAAAAAAAAAAAGGAAGAGTGGGTCCTCCAGGGTAGTGTGAATCGGTGAAAACCAGGGGAAATCAAAGGCATTGAGGGTGGCCTAGTGGGCAGTTCCAATGTCTCAAAGTACCCATCAAGGTAAGGAGTATGGGAGCGTCCATGCCTTAGTGTTTCTATATTCGGCATAGAAGCTGTAAACAAGAAGTAGAATAAAAAGTAATGTTAATGGTTTCATCTCAGTCGGCAGCACCGTTCACAAAGAGGGTGAGAAGTTATTTTTCATTGAATAAATGAAAGTTGAGGCTTATTTTAAAAAAAAGGAAAAAAAAAAGAGAAAAAAAACTGTCAATGTATGCTAAATGCAACCCTGGTGGAAATTTATATAAACTTAAACCACGGAGGGACTCGGCACTCACCAGTTATGCTACTATCAGTTGCTAAATCGTCAAGACCAGCTTCAGCTATGGTATCATATTTTTCTTTCTCCTGTTAGCCGCAAGTGAAGATTTTTCAATGAATGTGGGAGGGTAACGGGAAAAGAAAAATAAAATAAAATATGAAGGCATCAGGAGATGAAAACTCACCCAGACCTCCCCTCCCAGTAGAGGTTGACAGGGCAGATTCACGTCCGAGGAAGGGTGACCGGCCATAACCCTCCAGTATGTCTTCAGTGAAATTATACAGTCAGTCAGATTCGATTTCTCATAAGGCAGAAGAAATTAAGTTTAGATGAGGCATGCAGGGCGCACCGGTACTGTGGGTGAAGTCCTCTGTCAGATCTGAAAAGCTGAAATTCCGTGGAATCTGGCCTAAAATGCCAAAAGAGGAAGTGTCGATGTCCACAAGCTGCTCGTTCAATGGCTGCACATGCAACTCGGCGCCACTGAAGGGTGGAATGGGCACATCTCCAGTTCCGGAGTGGCAATCAGAGAAGCTATTATCTGTGCAGAAAGTGAACTCTGAATTGCTCGAGTAGGCAGGCTCCATCTTAATTTTTTCACCTTTCATTCCATGCAGCATTGCCATTTGGGGATTATGAGCAGAGAGCAAGCTCGTTGCCATGCCCATCCTCCCCGCATCTAGAGTGGCATCATCCATTGAAATGTTCTCAATTGGCGGCATCCCACTGGAAGGTCCGGCAACGCTGGGGATGTTGCCAGGTCTGTGAGGGGCTGACGAGTAGCATAGATTCTGTTGCACTGGCACAAGGGTTTTTCTCTTGTTCATGTATCCCATATGGTGAAAATTATACCATAAAAACAGGAAGCATGAGGCTAGGAAACTAACGTAAAATCTTTTTCTATTTCAAGTCTTTCATTAAGAAATACAGCTTATATTGCGACTTCCCCTCTCAAATAGTTCTGCCATCTGCTATGGACCATCCTTCCATATGAAACCTATGGCCCCTACCTTCTCCCTCCCATATCTTTTCCCAGTTATCTCCCCTAACCAGTTTTTTTTTTGACTATGTATAACATGGAGAAACTGCTAGATATGTCTCATGCAAATAATAACGCCGAATTGTTTCCATGAGTTGACTTTCGTATTGCAATGTCTAGTGTCTTCAAGTTTCATGTGCTTTCCTGAGTGGAAAATACTCTCAGCCACTCAACATGGCTAGACCTCAAAAGCACCTCATACTCACCAAGTGCCGAACCACTGTCCAGGAAGCATACAGATTCCTAAAGCATGCTTTAGGCTATTTTACATTATAGTATACTTATATGATTTGATCAACCACACAACCTGGCTGGCCCAGCAAATAATATCTGAACAGGTTTGACCTTAAAGCACCTAGCCACTGTCCAAGAAACATTTAGGAACACCCAGCAGTTGATCAGAAACCCTAGTGATGACTCAGGATATTTTAATTATGATATATGATCAAGTTAGGATAAAAAATCTACCATCATAATTTATTCAGTTCACGGTGGAGTGTTTCTGTGTTTGAGGTTCTTGGGGGTGTGGGGGGTGTGGTTTTTGTTTTTTATTTTTTATTTTTTATTTTTACATGATTAAAAGTGGTTTTGATACAATCTTTGAAAAAAGCATTCACAAAAGTCTAGTATTTATTTTTAAACCGAACAAAGCAATCATTAAAGATGCACATGCGCACGACTCACACATACTGGTGGGGAAATAAATCCGGGAAGTCATAAGGAAAACAAGAGGAAGAGAAATCTAATCATATGAAACTAAGCAATGGAAAGCAGGAAATCAGATTAGCCATACATGAAGCATTAGAGTCACGGTGCAGAGATACAGGAGCAGACCCTGAAGGGTGCATCCCATGCATGAGATCAACCTGCTTCTGAAGCAGCTGGTTGAAGACGAGTATCTGGTTCTTCAACATCAGTCTTACGTGATATGCCTTGAAAAATTCTCTGTTCTCTTCTTCAAGCTTTTGCCAAACTGGAAGTGCGGTAAAGTCAGGCAACAAGACAGAAAAGATAAATCGGGTACAAAAACCTAATAAATACAATAACTATAAAGGTACAATTCACTGCAGAACGTTTTTGTGATCAGTAATTGGTAACCTACTCTTGATAAAGGTGAGATCGACTAGTTATAAAAATGTTCTAAGCCAAATTTCTCTCTTTTTTTTGCTTAGTTTGCCGTTCAAGTTTAAAGAGTGCGAACAGTGAACTGTACAAAATTGAGGCGTAGAATGGCGTTCAAGATTAAATTATGAAGCTCTCTAAATGTTAGTAAATGACATTTCACGATTTTGAAAACACTGAAGTTTAAAGTATGAAATGTAAGACTCATATATTTAGCCTATTATGTTATTGTTATCGTAGTGGAAATATAAAGAGAAAAATGACATGAATCAAACATTTACCATTTGAGCGTGGAAAATGTGACAATTTTATGGTCCAAAGGAATGTCTATGAGGAAATGTTTATGATTAAGGGAATTTAAACTTTTGGGCCTACCTAAATTAGAAATGAATGAGTATTTCTGAACATGGTACGATGACCACAATGACATCAGAGGTGGAGTGAGTGTTGAAAACGGGCCAGCTCAGGAGTATTGAATGATGTGATTAGCATGTCAGGAAAGAAGTGAAGATCGGATGTGGCGGGGTGGGAGATGAAAAGAGTCAGAACAAGTACAAAATGACTCAACAGAGGGGTGACAAAAGAATGGGAAGAGGAACATCATCAAGAGAGGGGAAATATAAACACATTGTGACGTAGACAATTTAAAGAAATGAAAACAGACCCAATTACATCGGGAAAAAATATTTAAAACAAGAGAAAGCGTGCAAAAAAATACGAGAAGAATCTACACGTTGAAGAAGAGAACAACATTTAACATGCTAGAAGAGAAATGATTCTAGGAAATACGTTGAAGGATTACCAAGTTCAGTAAAACCAGGCTCGATTCTTGCATTATGCTCAAGAGTCTCCACAACCTCTTTCTGATTCATGTACAATTGCAAACATCGTTCTATAAGGTTTTGTACCTAACAGTCACATTTAGAAACATTAGGACAGCTCGAAAAATGCAAAAAGTAAATATTGCATTTTATAATTATTTTTTAAATTAAAAAAGAAACGCCAGTGATTTATGCCATCTGTAGCTATAGAACCAAAGCTCCTAAATATGCATTACGCAGGAAATTTGAAACCAGAATAGGAAAAATGTAGAAACAAGCTATATGTCTTCTAAGTGACATTTACAGGGACAAAAAAAAGGTTATATGGTCATTTATAATATTTATAAATTGACCCAAACGGACTTTTGAAAACGGCCAAAAGCAGTCAGATTTTACTGTTGGAGGACTAAATTATCACATAGAAAAATAAATCAAAAGAAGTTAATTTCACTGGAGAAAAATAGAATAAGAAAGAGGGAAGGTTTTAAGACTTGTCCTGAAGGATCATGAGATTTGTATCATAAAATGACCACCATTATCCTCAACTATTCGATGATGGAATAGTTGGATGGTTCCATCGCAGAAAGATTTGACAGAGTCGAACTGCCTTCTTGGTGTCAATCACTCTGTCAGTACCTTAAGGTACGTTGAAACGTTGTAGTTATGACAAAAGTCCGCTGAGGAACTGTAGAAAGCTAGAACACAAGTTATGTAGTTTTGAAGATTGCCCTCCGGAACAGCCCTGGGGCAATCCCACAGACTGTGAAAAAAGCCTAAAAGAAGAGGGAAGGAGGAAAGTTTGATACACTAACATGTGATCTTTTGTGGTTGATTAAACTAGCATAAAAAATATTCATAGTTTCTTCATTCTCTTAAAGTTTATATTTTTCCGTGTTCAGCATGTTTTGAAGATTCCTAAAGCAGCCATATATATAGGACAGAAGAGAAGCTAGATAGAATTAAGAAAGAAAAAGGTCACAAAAGAATTGATGGTTGTGTTGAATGGGTCCTGTTTGAGTGTAATTATCTACGAAATTAAAATAGTTAATGAGTATGCCAATGTCCCGGGCTGGATTTAAGAGATGAACGTTTAAATTTCCGGATTTTGAATTAAGAGAATATTGAGAAAAGAAATGGCTATTTCTTTTGCCAGTCGGCTAAAGTAAGTACACTGTTTCATTGGGACTCCATCAAGTGGAATCTTCAAAGGGCAATGGGCCTGGCTGAGGGTCAAATGAGTGGTCTGGGCAAGGTATAGACAATATAGGTGTTAAAAGAAAAAAAGAAGGGAAAATAGGTCTATCAGTTTCAGAGGAAATAGAGAAATTAAAGAGCCATCGATTTCTTATTTTTCTCAATGAGAACAGGACCGGAAAATGAAAACAATACAGGAGCTAATATTAAAAACAAGCTGGCAGCAGGGCAGGTGGAGTTTGGATGAGATGGTGACTCGAACACCCTCTCCTATGTGTACTAGGAGTGATTAGGTTCTCTGGCACAAAAACTCCTGCCTCCTTAGTAACAGGAGAGTGTCCTATATCTGATTCCTCGTGGGGAGTCTGATCTCCCTTCAAAGTAGTTAAAAAAAAAAAAAAAAAAAAAAAAAAAACTACTGATTGACTTATCTCGCTGAATGTATAGTTGTCTCGTCAACATATAAAAACATTATTGTTACAGGCCTTCTACCCCAGATAATACTTGTGATACCTATATAAATTAGCCTCACAGGCCATCTGAAATTGTGTTAGGAGGAGGCAGAATCTAGAGATAAGTGTGTGCGTATGACAAGACGTTGATCATAAAAATAAAAGCTATACAAATTGGCTGGAGAGAGAATTATTCGGTAGTCTTTTATCAAAAATATGAGAGGAAAAAATATACCAACTGGATATCCCGGCGTGAGACCTTTCTGACCTCTCCGTCAGACATTTTTTGCTTTTGAAGGTTTGAAAAAGCTCCTAAATGAGTAGTTTAACTGTATTGTGGAGCTGAAACATTGAAAGACAATTATCAGATCACAGATCGACAAAGAAATAGAAATATTCGTGGTGAAATCTTCAAATTATTTAAGGCCAGCTCTTAGAAAACTTAGGGACCAAAAATATGGCGTTAATGTTAAAAGCTTGTAAAAAATTTGACGCTGAAATGGTACACAAGGCTAATGAAAATCATTAGCAGAAGTGATTACACACAAAAAAAACAAGCGTACCAAAAAGAATACTAGGTTCACAACCATGAAGAAATATGTGTATTACATAGAGTAGTCATGAAAACATAAATAAAGATAATTTTCTTGTGAAGGGAGAAACGCCATTTTTCGCTCTATAAGAACTATCGCATAAAAGAAAAAAGTAAAGAGAATTATCTGCTAATTATTCACTAAAAAAACAGTAAAACCTCAAAATTTCTTCTTAAGGACTTGCCAACGCGATGGAGAACCTTTTTGCATTTTTAGTACCTCCTTTGAGTATGTATGCAAATACATAGTCAGATTTCTTATGAGCGTTTATTACACACACTTGCACACATAAAAAAAACGTCTAAAATTAAAATTTCAAAAAAGAAAAGAAAAGAATATAAATGCAACATTACTTTCTAATACTGAGACAATCAATGACCGATATCCTGGGTGAGGAGTACAACCTTGATTGTGATCACATATGATCTTTCTAAAGGTACATCAAATCCAAATACAAGCAAATATGATCTTCACAGATGTATAAATCATCTTATATGAACGAATAGAATACTCAACAAAAGATTCGCGTTTTCACAGGTTCAAAGATAAGTTCTCAATGGATATGTAGATATTGAATCTGTAAGGTAAGTGGCGGATATTTTCAGATAAAATTGCTCAGACACTTCTAAATATTAATTCTAAGAAATCCGATTTCGTTAGAATCCATATCGAAAATATTTACCCAGAACCTCATGGGTTAAAGATCACCCAACTTGCATGGTATTTGGTATTTTGAACTAAATTGAAAACTTGAAATGAGTCTTGTTGATATTGAAACTCGATGCTCTGAAATTTTTCCCTGAGTCTCGATATTGAAACTAGTTTGCTAATCTTGTAGTCAATACAATTATAGCTGAAAAAGAACTAGGATATTGCCGTCTGTGGCAAATCACTCTCTGTCTATATACCAAAATTTAAGCGTGCCACCTTTTGCCCACATCATGTACTTCAATAATTGCCAAAGTAGTAATACCTAGATATCAGAAATCGGGGTACAGCGAGAGCACCCAAAGGCAGTTCAGACTAGTGTTCTTCCTTTCTTGTCAGCACATTACTCCTTAAATTTCCCAGGCATGATCAGAAACCTGATTGTTATGAATCTTCATTCCCTAAGTCTACTACAGTGTCTCCAGTTGAAACGCTCAACGAAAATTTGTATAAAACGGATCTCTGCGATCTCTCCAGACATCATAATCGTGAAAGTAAACATATGAGAAATTGAGATGAAAGCTGTTTCTGTCTATAAAATCTCACACCATTTTATCAAATGATCCAACTGCCCCGATCAACCTCTATGTTACACTAAATTTTGAAAACAACGATTAACAAAACAAAGTGGGGTTGTCCATATTTCCCATGATCAAATCCTCACGGCAGGTGGAAGGCGAACGAGTCACCAGTAAATGATCTCCTGATGTTCGAACGAGTCACTAGTAAACGATTACAGGAAACCCTGCCCACATACACCAAAAGAAAGCACAAACTCTACACCCAACACAAAAATGACACAGGGATCACCTACCGTGTTCCAGGGTGAGAAGACAGGGTTGACAGCATGCACGATCCGCTATCTCTGGACGATCAAACCTTGCTTCCCACACACCCATCTCACCCCATGGAGACGAGGCTCCCTTTAGCAGGAATTGACCCAACGTAGATCACTCTAATTCATGGGAAGAAGCATGCCCACTTCCCAGAAGCCCTCCGGTTCCGACGTGCACAACGAAGATGGAAGGGCGGGAGGGGAGAGAGAGAGAGAGAGAGAGAGAGAGAGAGAGAGAGAGAGAGAGAGAGAGAGAGAGAGAGAGAGAGGGAGGGAAGCTGAATCCGTGGGATGCCGGAGACCAGGAAGGACCACCACAGCTTGTCGTTATAAGCAACGTTTAGTTATTGAAGAAAATGTGGGTAAAATAGGGGCCCTGTGAGGACGGATGTCACTCCTCCATTCGTCCACGTCACCGCTTCAGGACCCGAAATCAGCCCCAGCGATTATTCCGTCCGAATCCGAGATAAAGTGGCACAGCTGCGTCTCGGGCCCCACCTTGATTGGGCCCAAGCAGGGGCAGTTACGTCTTTTTATCCATCGCAAGGGGAGGAGTCACGCCACCCTGGCAAGCGCTCAGCTCGGATGCGTGTCACTCTCGTCTCATCACGTGGGAAAGGTAGTGGCGCCAGGGTTCTATAAAATTTCCGCTAGAGATAATTTCAGCCATTATTAAATAATTTTGAAAACATCTCCCTAATTATTACATCATGAATGAGAGTGAGAGAGAGAGAGAGAGAGTTCCCAGGGCCCAGCCTCGTTCCACTTGCACTCGAAATAAATGGGCTCTTACTTGGGCCCAATAAAATTCTTCATGGCCCTATAATCCCCGTACCAGCGAGAAAGTGGGCCCGGGGTTGAAGCCCATCCCCCTCGGATGACACGTCATATATATTTTTTTATAAAATTATATACGTTTGGCAAAAACATTTCCCAAGAAGTCATGCCGCTTTGAGCAGTATTGCCGACCTCGGTGATCGGCGCGAGGTCCAGTTAGGCCAAGAAATAGCTGGCTTTCGAAACTTTTTCGGCCGGATCGGTTGAAAACTGGGCCGGCCTTTGTAAGTGAAGGGTAAGGGGGGGGGGGGGGCGAGAATAATGAGCCGACTTTTATGCTTCAGCCCAATTAGTTTAGGTGGCTGGCCCATTCCGCGCGTCGACGAGGGCCGAGTGATTGCTTCCTTGTTGGACAGCTTCGGGGCCAATCGATTCCCGACGTGGGGCCCAACGGAGCGACGGCATGTGGTGGGCTTTTCACTGTGGGACCCATCTGCCCTCTTCCACTCCCCACGTTTGAGGATAGGAGAACGGGAGACGTGTACGCCCACCCGCCGTCGCTTCAAATTACCCAAATTACCCCTTTACCAATTTTGGGCAATAAATATGCCACTATTCTCTTTCATGAAGAGGGAGGAGGGTAGTTTAGATATTTTTTCGAACATGGAGGATCATCTTTAGTAATATTCATTTTTAAATATAACCCTTCCTGTTATTTTTATTATATCATTACTCACTCCCTCGTCGATTAAGTGTGAGGATCGGAGCACGGAGCTCTTTATCCGTTATCAGCAGCTCCGCAGGGGAGTTGGAGAGGAAGAGGAAGAGGATGGCGGAAGCGGCGTTGAGGATTGCGGCTGCGGGGAGTCCCTGTTCCTCATCGAGGCTTATCGGGGGCCGCTCCCGGAGGCAGCGAGGGCACCCGCTCTCACTGCCATCATGTCGACGCCTCCTCGCGCTGAACAGCTCCGCTCTCCGTCCCTCCTCGTCATTGTCCTCGGAGTTCTTCGGCATCGTTCGACTGGTCTCCAGGTCGGCGGTGCCGACGTCTCCGGGACGCAAGGGGAGGGTTTCTGTTGTCGCCATGGCTGGTGATGGTGAGACTCCTGCTCCAGTTTGGTCTTTGATTCTTCCACCCGCTCCCGCCCTCCCTCCGTCTTGCTGCTGGAGATATTGTTGAAGTCTGAGATTTTAATTCATGCTTACCATTTGAGTGATCCTGGCTCTTCTTCCGATAGTCTGTGGCGGTAGCGTCTTAGCCATGGCCATCGAAATTGGTCGAAGCTGATTGCAAGATTCTTTTTTGAGAAGTTTTTATCGTTGTTTTTAGTTATCTCATGAAGAAAATTTCAATATTTTTTATCTTATTAAGGATTGTTAAATTGTCTTCTTATTGAGATAGCAGAGCATATGTTCTGTTTAATAGACCAATGCACATTTATATTAAAATTATGTATCACAAGTTTTATTTTACTGATACAAATTTGGTTTTTCTATTGGTAGGCAGATGCTTGACTACTTTTTTCCATAATTTCTCTCTATGGCATGTCCCACATACTGACGATTCCTATGGCTAATAATAAATGAAGCTTCATTCCGTGATTTCCTACATTTTGTTCTGGTGCAAAAGTATGATGCATACTGCCTATCGTTTAATTTTTATAGGAAGAAAAATAGTGTTGAAGCTGAAAAGGCAAAACATGAGATTACTGACATACTTGACGGAGAATCTTCTGCAAGTTTCATTTTCGTTTTTGTTTGGCATGATACTAAAAAAAAATGCATGCATTTAGCGTAATTCTATGCATTCTCTTTCTTCTTGGATCTTCTAGTAGTAGAAAAATTCTCTTATATGGCAGCAAATCGTCTATGATTTAGATGTATAAGTTTCTTATCGATTTTTGCCTGATTTGGCTCACAGATTCAAAAAGACAAGTGCCACTTAAGGATTATCGGAATATTGGAATTATGGCCCATATTGATGCGGGGAAAACTACCACTACAGAACGAATTCTGTACTACACTGGAAGGAACTATAAAATTGGGGAGGTGCACGAAGGAACAGCTACCATGGATTGGATGGAACAAGAGCAAGAAAGAGGAATCACAATAACATCTGCTGCAACGACCACTTTTTGGAACAATCACAGGATTAACATTATTGACACGCCCGGTCATGTTGATTTTACTCTTGAAGTTGAACGTGCTCTCAGGGTCCTTGACGGTGCAATCTGCTTGTTTGATAGCGTTGCAGGCGTAGAACCACAATCCGAAACTGTATGGAGACAAGCTGATAAATATGGAGTCCCCAGGATATGCTTTGTCAATAAGATGGATAGACTAGGAGCCAACTTTTTCAGAACAAGAGACATGATTGTGAAAAACTTGGGAGCTAATCCCCTCGTGCTACAATTACCTATTGGTGCCGAAGATAGATTCCAAGGAGTAATTGACCTTGTGAAAATGAAAGCTGTGGTCTGGTCAGGTGAGGAGTTGGGTGCGAAGTATGCATATGAGGATATACCATCTGATCTCGAAGATTTGGCTCTGGAATATAGAAATCTGATGATTGAAAACGTGGTAGAACTTGATGATGAAGCAATGGAAAACTATCTCGAAGGAGTAGAACCTGATGAAGAAACCCTTAAAAAACTAATTAGGATGGGAACAATATCTAGTAAGTTTGTTCCAGTTATGTGTGGCTCAGCATTCAAGAACAAAGGTGTGCAGCCATTACTGGATTCTGTTGTCGATTATTTGCCGTCACCACTTGACTTGCCGTCAATGAAGGGTACTGACCCTGAGAACCCAGAGTTGACACTTGAAAGAGTTGCCAATGACAATGAACCATTTTCTGGGCTTGCTTTCAAGATTATGAGTGATCCTTTTGTGGGATCCCTAACATTTGTGAGAGTGTACTCTGGCAAGTTAACTGCCGGCTCTTATGTTCTCAATGCAAACAAAGGGAAGAAGGAGAGAATTGGAAGACTCCTTGAGATGCATGCTAACAGTAGAGAGGATGTAAAATCAGCTTTAACAGGTGATATTGTTGCTCTCGCTGGTCTTAAAGATACAATCACAGGCGAGACATTATGTGATCCAGAGAAGCCTGTTGTACTGGAACGGATGGATTTCCCGGATCCTGTTATCAAGGTCGCCATAGAGCCCAAGACCAAGGCTGATGTTGATAAGATGGCACTTGGACTCATTAAGCTTGCTCAAGAAGACCCATCATTCCACTTTTCTCGGGATGAAGAAACCAATCAAACCGTCATTGAAGGCATGGGAGAGCTGCACCTTGAAATCATTGTTGATCGATTGAAGAGAGAATTCAAGGTGCGTTACTTTGGGTTGTCGTCTGTTCACTGGTTATTGCTTCATTCCCTCTGCTATTTAGTTCTTTTTTCCTACCCAGACATTCTTTCCCATTATATACGAAGAAATGGATCTAATCCAGTAAGAAAATCTTTTAATCACCCAATTCTCCTGGTTAGAGAGGATTATGATTACGTAGTCATTGTAAAACCTTTTTTTCTTTTTTCCTCTACATCCTCCACATCCCAGATACCATATGTGTCTGTTCATTAACTCCATTGAGCCCCAAATCTCTGTACAATCCCATGAATTGATAAGAGCATCCCCCCTCTCCCCCACCAAGCATCAAGCAAATCATCTGGGATGATGCTAACTTGAAAACTTCTGTCGTCCTCTCGTTCTGCTGAATGCGCAGGTCGAAGCAAATGTCGGCGCACCTCAGGTCAACTACCGGGAGAGCATTTCAAGAATCTCAGAAGTGAAGTATGTTCATAAGAAGCAGTCTGGCGGGCAAGGTCAGTTCGCCGACATCACTGTCAGGTTTGAGCCCATGGAAGCAGGCAGTGGGTATGAGTTCAAGAGCGAGATAAAGGGTGGCGCCGTGCCCAAGGAGTACATACCGGGAGTTATGAAGGGGTTGGAGGAGTGCATGAGCAACGGGGTCCTGGCGGGGTATCCCGTTGTTGATGTCCGAGCTGTGTTGGTCGACGGGTCCTATCACGATGTAGACTCCAGCGTATTGGCGTTCCAGTTGGCAGCCAGGGGAGCCTTCCGAGAGGGTGTGAGAAAGGCTGCCCCCAGAATGCTGGAGCCCGTCATGAAGGTCGAAGTTGTTACTCCTGAGGAGCACCTGGGTGATGTGATTGGCGATCTCAACTCGAGAAGAGGCGTTATCAACAGCTTCGATGATAAGCCTGGTGGCTTGAAGGTACGTTGAACCTTCACAAAGTTTAATCCTTTCGTGAAAAAGAAAAAAAAATAAATTCTTCTGATCATCACTCCTGGAAACCCATTAAACCCATATTATTCATGGAACCTTGCCTGAAACTCTGGCGTTGACCTTCTCAATCTTACTGGATATTAAATTAAATATAAGATCTTCCAATCATTGCTACATGAAAATCCATTAGACCCAGATTCATGAACCCGTTTTTCCCCTCAAAACGCAGTTAATTACTCTTGGTTTGCCTTTAAAAAAAAAGAAAAAAGTTTCTCGTGATCATCACTTCTGGAAAGCCATTAAACCCAAATTCATGGAAACTCTGCCATTGATCTTCTCAAGCCTTCCGGATCTTGAATCATCCAACCACAACTTTGCATGAAATTAAATGAAATATAAGATCTTCCAGTCGTCGCTACATGAAAACCCATCGGATCCAAACCCGTTTTTTTTTTTTTTAAACCAAAAACGGAGTTCATTACACTTGGTGCCTGCCTGTATTTGATGGGGGGACTTATGCAGGTTGTGGATGCATTGGTGCCCTTGGCTGAGATGTTCCAGTACGTGAGCACCCTCCGGGGAATGACCAAAGGCCGGGCCTCCTACACAATGCAGCTGGCCAAGTTCGACGTCGTCCCAGAGTACATTCAGACCCAGCTCTCTTCTAAGCAGGAACCTGTCACCGCTTAGCTTCTGAAGCCTTTCCGAAGGGAGAATCTCTCCAATCAGCCGCTTCCTCAATTGTTTGTAGGTCCAGGGCTTTAGATCATGGGATTCTGCCATTACTTGTCCCTGTATTTATGAGAAACTTTCCTTTCTTTGTCAGCCGATCTGCTGCAACCCTCTGCGTTTTCTTCGCCCATCCAATCCCCTGCACGGTTGGCGAACTCCCTTTTCTTTCCTGTAATATTATTACCTTCGATCGCTTTGGGTCAATGGAAAAGCCCAGAAGAATAAAAGTCAACGCTTGAATCATCGCCACCCACTCAAAATATAAGTCTTTGAATTTCTTCTGATGAAGCACAAAAAAAAAAAAACATGAAAACTACGTATCTTTGTTCTTAATAATGCACCGCAATGGACATACGGAATAAGAAAAATAAATAAATTTCCGTCGTCTTATTATGATTACAGTAGAAGAAAAGCGGTGAAAATGGAATATAAGCATGAACAAATCATTGCCCCGGGACGGCCATCAAGAGTCATCCATCCGGTAGCCAGCTGATCCTCAAAGTCAACGCCTGAAAGGCAAGCCAAATCACTGACTAACAGGGCTACTGATCCAACTTATTTCTTCAACCAGGGATAAACATCAGGGGAAGAGGGCAGCCGTGCAGTCAGGACCTCAACGCCCGTCTCAGTAACCTGCATTGGGGAGATCAGATTATTGCATTTCGTGGGAAAATAAATGCATAAACTGATGTTATATGGATATACTCTTAGAAAAAAAGGACCGGGCTTTGAGTTTCTCTGACAAGACTTTTATAGTTTGATCTAGAGAGAGAAAGGGTGGGCTCCAGAATGTGGTTCACACCATGTTTCAAACCATATTCTCATTGGCAAGCAAGGCCATTGACACCCACCACTGCTCTATTTTCTCAGAGAAAGAATGCAGATCACATCAAGACAACAATGACAACGTCCCCATTGATTGATTTGGGCAATAGATGATCATTCGCCTAACCCCCCTGTTCGTGGGCATTCCTTCCCTGATGATCACATCCGGGGTTGGGGGAAAATAAACTAAAGCTTCTGGGCTCTCTTCTGTTGTGTCCCTATTTCTTTAACTAATGATAGAAAAACCATTAAGAAAAAAAAAAAGAGAAAAAAACCCCAACTTCCCGATTTAAAAAATATACCAGGTCAAGAAAAAAAAGGAAAAAGAAAAAAAGAAGAACAAATGGCAGGAAGATGATTGAAGCAAATGAACAGGAAACTATAGTTACCAAAAGAGTGTGCTCAAATTGAGCACTTCGTTTGCCATCAGCAGTGACTGCGGTCCACCCATCAGGCCATAACCGATCTCTCCAAACACCTACATTAATCATTCTCAGAGAAAAGAACGAGAGGGGAAAAGAATTGCTCCACAGAATCCTGTGATAAGATTGATTCTCAATGTAACCTGCATTTATCATGGGCTCAATTGTAAAGATCTGTCCAGCTTTCATCACACCAACTGCTTTATTTTCTGATGCGTGTTTAGGAAAAATGTAGACAATATGTGAAAAACAGGCAAGCTTTTTCTTAGGCTAATCTCTCCAAAGAAGGTTGCTCGTAACATCAATAAATTGCCATGGAAAAATGGTTCTTATACTCTAAAGCATCAGAAATTATTATATCTTTAGGATACTTCCATAATGTGGGATGTTGGGGGCGCAATGGAAGAGTTCTCCAATACCATGGCCACAGTAGGATTTCACCTACAGATGAACATGATGAGTAAAATTAGATTGACTAGAAAAAAAAAAAAAACTGAATATCCAGAATATTAATGAGGAACAGTTACCACGGAGAAACCAGACATAGATGCATGGCGGCTAATAACATCGCCAACTTCTCGGAAACGTACTCCAGGCTTAACTGCTCTCAAAATGAGGGAGAAGAATCGTAAATGAGCTTCCAATGCATTTCCAATGGGGGAGAGATCCATAACTAGTCATTTGATAAAAAAAAAAGAAAAGCAAACCACTTCTGTTCCAAGAGAACGAGGAGGAAACATCTTATTATCGAAGGAGACATCTAGACTCAAGGATCTAAAAGAGCAGACGCTGAAGCTGAAACTGCTCTATAAGGCATGGAACAAGGAGACCTTTGACCAGAATTTCCTCACAATGTAAAAAAACAGCCTTTTAAGTTGCAAGTACGGAAATAAACTTATTATTGGAGGCAGAACGATCGCACCACTTGATATCAGTTGACAACAATAGAACTCCAATATAGATCAAATGATTTGGACTAGTGAGCTTTGAATTGACAACCAGGTAAGGACTGAACTAAATAATGTGCTTTATAGATATATGCAGTACCCGCTGTCATTAGAGCTCGGAGATGCAAGATTGAAATTACGTTGAATCCTAGATCAAATAATTGCCATAAACTCAAAAAGTGTCATGCTCAGGACCAACATCAAAAGTCATATCCCGTCAATCAGGCATCAATCAAATTCAAATCCAACAGGATCAAGGATTCAACAATTTTTTTAATTGGCTATGTGATGTGTCTGATCAAAATTTGGATATGGACTCCGTGAAACAGTCTTATAGAAACACAAATTGGTGGATGCACTGGGTAGTGGGCCAACTATAGCCATTCAGTAGAACAAGGAAGACCCAGGATGTCAGGATAAAACTAAGAAAAACATAATCAAAACTCTTTTGGATTCAGCACTGTCTAGGTAGTTACTGTAATATGCGAAATCCCAGAAAGAACATTTAGATTGGGAACTTCCAAAAAGAAATGCCCTTGAAATATTTAAATTTATCATTTGTATCATTTCAATTAATTAGGTACATAGAAACACTATTAGTTTTTATCCTCAATTAGTTTGCTCTTTAATGATTGAAAATAAATCAACCAAAAGCAAATCAGAAAGGTTTACTAAGGTTTATTATTGCTTTAGTTATTTTTCCAAGAAGACATCGTGTATAACATCTCTTCTCTGGACCTACTAGAGGACCGTTTCATGAGGATAAAAGGAACCAGACACATTTAAATAAAGTGGCTGTTACATGCCTATAGAAATAGCTTTCTCCAAACATTCATATGTACATCGAACCAGCTGCTTGGTTGCTTCATCAACTTCCCCCACGAAATAAGTCTCATTAAGATCGCCTGCACATTAGATGAGATCACTGTAATTTTTTCTCCTCAAGTACGCGACAAAATTACCACGGCAGACACACTAAAGCGCTTACCATGGACACCTTTATAATAGACAGTAACATCAACGTTAACAATGTCACCTTCCTCCAATTTTCTGTTAAAAGATATCAGGTACCAGTAAATGGCAATCATCTAGAAGATAGAGTGATATTCAAGCTGTAAAGAAAATGTTGATGCTAGAAAAATGCTATCAAAAAAACATAAAGAGGTGCAGAATTTTCTCTTGAAGAATCACCAAATTTGGATTTTTTATGCACGTAGAAATACTACCCATTTCGTTATCTCGTAAATCTGTTCCTTTGGCCCTATTAGCAGTACACCACAGGTATAAGTAAAATGTTACCTGCTCAGAAAGCTTACATATTTCAAGAAACTCATCCGTTTTAAGAAAACCTTCGACTTAAGATGAATCTTTGTGTAGCAAATAAAGTGCAGTACCAACGAAATTAAAAACTGTAGTCGATGCATGTCGTGGATATAAATATGATAATGAATACATGGTAAGATGAAATTGTGAAACAAGATCTTTGTCCCGACCACAGTCACAAATATTTAGAGAAGAATGACGATGAAAGAAAATGCAAAACGAATAGTAAGCGTACATTATCGCTAGTAAGATAATTCTTCTCATGTTTTTCAATATGAGATCCACCGAGATACTATATCAATCTTATGATACAAAAAAGAGAGCGCTGCTTAGTATCCGAGCAAAAGCTGTTGACATCACAAAAGTACATACTCCAGCACATCCTACGTTGAATCTAAGACTAGGAAGTGGTAAAGAGTACATGTTACAGTTAGCAAGAGAAGAGAGCAAGAGAGGATGGGGAAGCAGAGGCAGCTGATAGCAAGTGACAAAGACGATTCAGGCAACTTTGGGTGCGATGTAAAATATTTTGCGTTTTTCCCGGTTTTTTTTGTCCTGGTTTGTGGGCGTCACCTTGATCTGGATGTCTTTAGAGACGCACCATAATATCACAGTTTGAATTCAGATCCTACCTGGTGATCGCAGACGTTTCATCTTACAATAAATGGAACTCTTGATCATCTGTCTGCAAAAGAAGACAAAAAAGGGATGGAGGGACCTTCAACATCTGAATGGGGCTTCCTAGTGGACTGCCAAAAAGGCCACCAAAGGCCAGTTGGGGGCCCGTCTTCTTTCCTTTGAAGGAACCCTTTAGGACTTAATGGGCTCTCCTTAAGGAAATCATTATTCTTTCTTTATAAGGGATTTTTTTCTCCAAATGTTCTAACAGGGTGGAAAGTATTTTTCATCTTTTACTCAGTCCCGTGTTGGTCCCCTCCCCACTATCGAAGGTTGGAAGGCAAGAGGTTATAGTCGACATTGATTGTTGAAAAACCTTACGGACAACCTAATAAAGTTTTAGATATTTGCACCCTGTCTAAGTAAGGAGCCGTGGCATACGTCTGGAACAGGTAATGGAATTAAAAAAAAAAAAAGGATCGACGGGTTTCTGAAGCAGGAAAGTCATCAATCAAAGGAAAACATTAATGGCAGACCAAGAGGAGGAATCTCACTGGAAGCATACGGAACAGAGCATAGCACTAAACAGCAAGCAGAAGTCTCCTTTTGAGAGGATACATACATAAAAATGTCAAATCAATCAAGCACCATTTTGCATGTAATTGTGAAAACCACAAAAATAAAAGATATCTTTCCGAAAATTTAAATAGTCTCCGCATCCAAAATAAAGAAAAAAACGGAGGATACATAATGAAAAAACATAATTGTAAAAAAGTTGCAAAACAGGCAAGTTAGGCTAAAACGTGGTGAGTACCTGGCGTCTGGAATTCCATGACAAATGACCTCATTGACTGACCTGCATTAAGAATCAATAACCAACATATTAGGATATATTTATCAACCGTGTAGTAAACCATGGACCGAAATTACAGATGAGGGATACATACGTGCAGCAAGATTTAGGGAAGAAATGGTAATTTAAGGTAGACGGGTATCCTCCTGAAAGGGTGCAGACATGTGCATGAACTTAGTATTATGTGATTAATAGGGACATAATTAATCATACGCATTCCAAAATGTGCATCCGAGTTCATTTTTTGTCGTCACGAAAATGTAGCTCTTGAAATTATGAATTAGGTTATCATAAAAACGGTAAAGAGGAATTGACTTACCTACCGGATATTTCATTAGGTAAGAACTAAAACAAATAAACAATATTGACAAGGATTGAGAAAATATTTCTCTAAAAATTACACTGTCACAGATGAAAATAATCGCACATGGCTGCAGAATTTAAAGTTAACAATGGAAAATACATTCTCCGAGGACAAAGACCACTATTACTGATGTAATAAGTTTTTAATATGTATATTCTGTCTATTAGGGTAAAGTCAGAACACAATGCACTATGAAATTAGAATATATAAAGCATGTAATTCAATGAGGAGTATGCGGGGAAGATAAAAGATTTACATATTTTTTTAATCTGCTTATTATAAGCAGGCAAGTACAACTCTTTGCAGACTCTAATTCTAAATCGACCAATAGATATTGAGTGCATGGCTTCAAAATCTTAACAAAGTATAATGATTAAAGATAAGTATGATGGGAACAACATGGAGATTGAGAAATTATGGTAATCCTCCATTTGTTCCTGTCATCATCATAAAACCTATCCCAGCAACAAGGGTTCTTGGGGAAGACAATTCTTCATGTTGCATTTCATCTTGGCACCAACCTTCAATCTACATCACAGTAACCATGGCAAACCTGACTTAGCCCCGGTGGGAAAAACCTACATGTCAAACCAGGATCTTGATCTTCTTGATCAGGTCTCGCCCTCCCTTCTCACTGGAGCTGCCTTTTGCTTCTTACTTCTCCATGAGACCAGATTTCCACTGATGAAGGAACAATATCCAGATGTTGACCTCCTGTCACTCACCGATCCTGTATAATCTGCGTTTGTATATATTTCCACAATACTATCACCACCTCGTGAAAATAATAGGCCTTGTCCTACAGTATTCTTCAAATACTCTACAATACGATATGCTGCTTGTAAGTGAATTTCTCTTGGGTCATTCATGAATTGACTCAAGGAACTCACAGCATATGCCACATCTGGTCTAGTATGATTCAGATAAATCAATTTTCCAATCAACCTTTGGAAGGATTCCTTATTAAATGGAGGACTGTCACCTCCTGCTCCAAGTTTCACATTTATATCCACTGGTGTGACTGTTGGTTTACAAGCAAGTCGTCCAGTTTCTTGGAGCAGATCAACAGTATATTTATGTTGAGAAATAAGGATACCTTCTTTCGAGTGTGCCACCTCAATACCAAGAAAATACCTTAGTCTCCCAAGAGACTTAATATCAAACTCTTGTGAGAGGTTTTTACTCAGATTTTGGATTTCATTTGTGTCATCACCTGTGATCAATATATCATCAACATAAACAATTAATATAGTCATACCTCCACACGAATTATGTTTGATGAACAAAGTATGATCTGCGTTACTTTGTTTATATCCTTGACTTTTCATTGTCTTGGTGAACCTTCTAAACCAAGCTTGAGGAGATTGTTTGAGACCATAGAGAGCTTTCTTTAGTCTACAAACCACTCCTGATTGATTGGATAGTGGATATCTTGGAGGTATAGTCATGTAGACTTCCTCTTCTAGTTCTTCATGTAAAAATGTATTTTTGACATCAAATTGATGTATTTCCCAGTTCAACTTAGCTGCTAGAACAATCAATATTCTCATGGTGTTAAGCTTAGCAACTGGAGCAAAGGTCTCAAGATAGTCAATCCCATATGATTGAATATAGCCTTTTGATACCAATCGTGCTTTAAATCTTTCAAGTGACCCATCTGCATTGAATTTTGGGGTATATACCCATTTACACCCCACAGCCTTCTTACCAGTTGGGAGAGGAACTAGATCCTATGTATGGTTCTTTTGCAGGGCTTCCATCTCTGCATCCATTGCTTGGCTCCACTCTTTTCTGGCTAATGCTTCATCAACTGTTTTTGGTACACTTGTCATATTAAGTGAGCTCAAGAATACTTTATACTCTTGACTCAATCTATCATATGATAGATAATTGGCCATTGGATACCTTGGTCTGTTTTTACAATTCCTTACCCCTTTACGCAGGGCAATAGGCCATCCAAGCTGATCATCTTCAGCTAGGCCTACATCAAGCTGTTCGACCTCATTTTTCCCTGGATCATCTTTTTCCAGCTGTATTGGTTTAGTGACATTCTTCACCCTTTCTTCCTCAATTGTGATTGTTGTATTAGGTGACTCTGTCTGAACTTGTCTCCTAAATATTTGCGTCACTTGAGGGCAAGGGTCTTCAGAGCTAGCAACTAAAGGATTTTCTGATCTTTGAATATCAGGCCATTCGGTCCTTTTATAATACATCTCGTATCCATTAAATATAAGATCTGCAGAGATATAATATCTTATGGATGATGGGCAATAACATTTATAGCCCTTTTGAGTGGGTGAGTATCCCACAAATATGCACTTACGTGTTCTAGGATCCAACTTACCCAACTGAGTATTAGCAATATGAACATATGTCACATAACCAAACACCTTGGGAGCTAAGTTCATTTGCAACTTTACATTTTGAGAAGCTTTAGACAGTAACTCAATTGGACTCTGATGTCCAGTTGATCTTCATGATATGCGATTTATAAGATGTGTAGCTGTCAATATAGCTTCTCCCCAATATTATTTGGGTACATTTCCCTAGAATAATAGTGCTCTAGCTGTCTCCACAATTTGACCAATCTTTCTTTCAACTAGCCCATTCTGTTGTGGAGTATCAATACATGATGATTCATGGATTATGCTTCTTTGAGCAAAATAAAGGGAGATGATAGTATTAAAATACTCTTTGGCATTATCTGTTTTGAACTGCTTTATCACTGTTCCAAATTGATTGTCTATCATGTTAAAGAACTGTGGGATAACTTGAGCAGCTTCAGCTTTAAACTTAAGAAGATAAAGTCATATAAACTGAGTACAGTCATCAAAAAATAACATAAACCATCTACCACCAGATATACTAGATATCTGACATGGCCCCCATATATCACTGTGAATTAGATACACTAGTACTAAACTCCTTTCATTCTTAAAATCAAATGTAGATCGTTTGTGTTTGGTCAATTGATAGGCCTCACACATTTTGACATCAACCTTGTTACAAATGATAGGAAACCAATGCTTCATCAATTCAAAAGAAGGATGTCCAACACGATTATGCTGAAGCATCATTTGGCTCCTAGCATCTCTAGAAAGACTAAGAGAGGAGAGACATAATACATCTTGATCTTCCAAATATAGAAGGCCATCTTGACGCCTAACATGTCCAGTCCTCTACTCAGACACCTTGTCTAAAAAACATGCATCATCTTCAAGAATAAATTTGTACTTACAATCTTGCACAAGTTTTTGTAAGGATATAATATGTGCCTCAAGTCTAAGCACATAAAGGACATCTTTAAGTGTACCCAGCCCGTTAATTTTGATGCTCTCAATACCCGCCACTGATAAGATTCCTCCTCCAGCTATAAGGACCTTACGTGGCCTATTTATCTTTACATAATTAACGAATCTAGAGATATTTGGTGTCATGTGATCTGTGGCACCAGTATTAATAATCCAATTTATTTTACTGAGTTTTGGGATAATAGCATTACTAAAAATACTTTGTTTTCACTTGAGCATGCCAATGAGGTAGAACTTAACATGCTTTTGAGTCACTCCAGTTCTTCCTTTATCTTCATAAGGTACTCCCCACGTTTATGAGCAGGCTCTCCTGTTTGCTCCTTCGACTGCCCTTGTTCTCCACCTTCATGACTTTGAGAAGTGACAACATATACCTTTCGATTTTGTTGGGGCCTACCATGTAACTTCCAACAGGTTTCTCTAGTATGTCTTTTGCATTTGCAAAAAGAACACCAAAGACTATCCTTATAGTCATTTGAGGCCCTCTGTCCTTGATCAGTTGAATTCTTCTGATCTTGCTGAACTTCTTGGCTTGATTTTATTTTTTTTTCACGAAAAGTTTTATTTCAATTCACCTCTACACCAGTTTAAATATCAGTTACATCTATAGTGAGCCAAGCCCTCCTATTTTGAAGAAAGAAAGGGAGAGCCCATTAAGTAGTCCATAATTGACTCACTTAAGGGCCCAAATAGAAGAGAGACACTACAATAACGAGATCCTAGCTTGTCTGACAGTACATGAGTTGGCCAACCTGAATAGAAAAACCTTTTAAGAAAAAAAAAATGACACTAAGTGATCTAAGTGGGAAAGATCCACGGTGGTTGAGTGAAATCATATTATGTTGGTGCCCTACAATAGATAGCTATCCTACAAGGACAAGCGGTTTTTAAGGATAAGCCTAGCCTTATCCGACCAGAAGTGTTGTAGAACTATGCAAAGTAAATTGGAACGATGAGACACATTAAAGAATAGCGCTTTCTCTACTCTCTTGAACTTGTCATGTATATATAATGTTATGAAATATTGCTGAACAGTTTCATGATTTGTAGTCAAATAAAAGACAATTGTGCACATAGTTTCTCATGGAATCGGTGCCCATTCAAACAGACATGACAACTATTTAACTAAGACAAACATTTATGTAGATTTGATGACCCATACATGGCACGAAATTCCTAAGACACCGGGGAAATGTGCAAAGAATTTGAATCACAAATTTTACCGGCAGCAATTGTCGTCTTATGGACAACTTCGTCAATTTCATCTGTTGTTACACCTGGTCGAATCATTCTAGCGGCTGCATCTAAGACCTCCCTTCCAATCTGCAGAAAATCAACATAGAAGAAAAATCCAAAATATAATACCTGTAATTCAGGACAAAACAGGAAGGATAATTTTCTAATTTACACACCAATGCCATGAACAACTCATTTTCACCTGACGAGATAAACAAGTCCATTCAAGATAATAAGAGCATCAATGAGAGGTGACACCTGTTTTCTTCTAAATCACCCATTGACAGAATATAAAAAAGATAAAAAATAATAAATGAATACACATATTTTAAGAAAAAAAGCCAAATGACGGGAATGTTGATGAAAATATTCAACACTATTTTGAGATTGGGCATACCGGTAAAAATCAAGTTTCCATCGAATAATACATAGGCATGCAAATAACAGCTGCACTGAAAAAATTCTATAAAAACCTGTTGCTGGATTGTTGGGTTCGCACTCAAGCATAACCGAGCATTTTCAATTTCTAACTTACACAGCTACTAGGACAATAATGCCAAATTAAAATCTGCAATCTTGACCATTTTTTAACCTGCATTATTTTTTGTGGCTGCATACTTTTCACCAATTCGTGTCGTGCCAATCACAATTATCATTACTAACATGACATTAAAGTATGTCTTGCATTTCTTTCACCTAGTTGTCGTCATCTTCAGCACCCTAAAAAGAGATAATAACTCAACAACCTGGAAATTAGAAATTTATATCAAGGGTTACTCATGGACAAAAGGTGAAATTTTATCGACTAAATTTAAGAAAAATTTCAGAGGTCAGTTTGTAACCTCTTTGCGTGTCACCTATTAAATTGGATATCAGATGTATAGCAATTGAGATGAACTAGTTTACTCATGAACCGTGGGTTCCTCACATGTAAGCTATACTGAAGATATTGAGATACTTTCACTTAATTCAAAGAAAATGGATTGCTCTTAGCATGGCCATACGCTGATTGGGTAGGATATCAAAATAATATGATTTCTACTACGGCTGACGATGTGTTAGATCGATCACAGAGTGGCTGATATACAAAGATACTGGATTGGAGCTGAAGCTGTCAGTGAAGTTATATTGTAATGGTAAGGTATACCCATATTACTAATAACGAAGTATAAAAAGATGAGACTAAAGACACTGAGATCGATCACCATTTCATTCGAAGTTCAATTCTGGGGCGTTGTCTCAAGCACGTCCATTCACATAATGAATGTATCAATGTAATCAGATGATATGTATGTTGTACCAGTTCAACACACAATGAACAAACCAAACACGATAGATTATGAGCTCATTTCTATCCGTTCTTCTCATCTTTAATGATTTATTATCCGTTTGACATATCTCTCTTATTGTGCATCCTCTGTCTTCTTCTCCTCTTATCTATCAATAAGACGGAAATGATTAATATGGACCCCTTTCCTCAGGAGAGAGGAATCACGGACTGTTTGCATTCTCTCTCTCCACGTCTAACATCTAAATTACATCATACAAAAAGCTTAAGGAATGCTCCCAACGTTATAACAATTTTCAGAATACTTCAATTGAATACTAGTATTCATCATACGAGCATAGGTAATTACACAAGAATAAAGGATGTTGCAGATGAGGCTTGATCCAACTTTTGCATGCTCCAGAGTTGACAAGTACTTTTTCTAACAATCAGAAACTTGAAGCAGGAACAACGACCATTAGAATCATTGCAGATTTAAGTGTACCAAAGTAAGATAATACTCACGAACCGCCAGAAGGGAAGAACCATTTAGTCACTGAACGTAAACTAAGATTTTTTGGCCAATAGTGCGAATGCCAGCTGATGCATTCCAACGAATATTCGCTGGATGCTAAGATCATTTGGAAAAAAATATTAAAAAACTATCCCACAACCATGTCTTTAAATAGAAAACTAACATACATGAAAAATATTACGTGTAAGAAGATCAGAAAAGAAAGTACATCAATGATCATGAAAGGCACAAAGATAATAAAATCATAGCTAAGTCATCTCAAAACATTCACATGCTCGTGAAGTTCTTAATACAATTTTTTTTGACAGAGAAAGAAAAGCTTGCAGGAAAAGAAAATATTTTGATTTTACTTACGCGGCATGTTTCTCTCATGCGTTCAATCAACTCTGGAGTCTTGATCTTTGGAGTAGTATGGGCGATGCAGAAAATTGTGACTCCACGTAAATTATAATCCAATAATAATATGTTTCTGAAGCAACAAGAAAGGGACGGGATTGGCCTTTACCTCGACAATATTCTGGAAATCACTGTTAGGCTCAACTTTAGGTATGCCCTACGAACCAACAACAGGAGGATCTACTCTTAGATTTATCAAGAAAGGCCCCAATAAATTGAACCGGAGTCACATTCACAAAAATATGAATGTTACACAGCATAAACAGATGAACTTCAGGAAAGGAAGGTATGTAGTGGAATAATATACTAACAAAACAAGCACATAATAATGAAGCTCAAAAATGCCGGCCTTTCAATAATGGCTACCAAGATGGCATATCTGATATAAGAGCAGTTCTTATAGATTATCTTTCTATCTGACATATGGATGATACAATTATGTACCAAAAAATTAAAAAAATAAGGAAAACGATCCTCTTAGGTCTGTTTTGGCTTTTGAAAAATATGAGCATTACTTATAGATTATCTTTTTCTCAGGCAGGTGTATGGAATAGACGTGTAAAAGAAAAACTACAAAAGAAAAAAAACGCTCTCTCAGGCTTCTTCAACGAATACACTCACACAAGATATCTCATTTCGTAAATTGTACCTTCTAGTTGTTATTTTAATATAACAGTGGCAAAAACCAAACAAAAAGAGAACATTAGCAAAATGTGATTTGCACAGGCAAATTCAATACAGCTTGAAGGTTTTAGCTTTCCAAAAGCTACTGGGCAGTGAGACACAACGAGATATTCAATAGAGTGTCAACATTGTCGAGATAACCGCAAAGAAAAAAAACAACCGGTTGACAGAAGAAGAAATCACTAATGATATCATTTCTCTGACATTTTTGATCAGATTGACAACTCAGGTTTTCTTTGAAATTTTTCCTGTATGCTTTTGTGTTGTAGATTCTGTTACATTACCTTAATGGTATATGATAGATAAGTAATCAATGAAATTCATCTTTTCTTGCAACACCGAATCACTGTGGAGACGGTTGTTCAACATTTTGTAAGGAGTTAAGCAGCATGTTCTCTTTTGTTATCTATTTCCTTCAATCACTCTGGGTCCTTAAAAAAGATGTCACAAATATCTGCGTTTGTTAATAAAATGGAATAAAAAGCAAACTATGATACGAAGACTTACAACAAGAGAATGCAGTCAAGTTGCTTAATTTTCTGGAAAGTAATCCTTAGAAGTAATAGGAAATATGCCAAGGGTAATCACAGACTTTATAAGTAAACTCACATCAATGGCCCAATCAGGCTTTTCAATGCCGTTAGGCACCAACCGAATCTTGGATATGGGATATGGCCTTAATGTCCTGAAAGAATATAACACAAAAGAAATTCCATGAAAATGTAAAATGAAACAAATAAAAGGTAGAACAAGCTTGATTCCATTTTCACCAAGTTCTTCATGAGAAAAAGACAGACAAGACTCCATTGCACTGCACTACTAGTCCCCACCTGCTGAGAGAAATTAGTCTAACAACATTTTATGACAACTGTAAAAGCCCTTCTCACAGCCCACGAACTACTAGCTAAGTAACCGTAGTGAAAACAAGCGATGTACGCCTAGCAAAGTATAAGGATGGTTTAAACTTCACATAGAAAACAGGAGAGGTGTGCCCAGGAGGTTCAAACTGAAATCCACCAAGGCTGATTTCATATTAATATGCTTATCAGCTGGTAACTGGCCTGGAAAAGATGGCATAACCTAGTCTCACACTTGCCTCCTTCTATTCCCAGAAAACATATTATTCTCCCACATCCTTAGTCCTTGCCAGCCCAAAGACAGCAGTTCAAATAATTTATAACAATTATATAGGCCTCCGAGCTAGGACCTTTCATTCTTATGATCTAGCATTTGCTTGATGATTTTGGAAATGCACTTCTAATAATCGCACTAACATATGCTTAACAGGTGTAGAAAAAAAGAGGCATTCTGCACCTAGCACAGCATGTGTGAGATTTCCACTTCCCACAATGAAAGAAGAGAGGTGTGCCCAGCAAACTTAAACTGAAATTCAGCAAGCCTTGTTTCATAACAACTGTGTTGAAAACACTCTTACGACGAGTGATCCATAAAAAATGATCTTTTGTGCTTTATTACCTCTTTCTTCTCCGGGCAGAAAGGATAACCCCCATTCGTCATACTAAGTCATCAGCTGGGAATAACCCACTATAAAGTTCGAACTAGTGAGTCATTACGACCTAGGTAACATTGTCACATCATGACTGGAAGACCAGTGATCTGTAGTCTAACTGTGATAAAAAAATAAAACTAGCGGTAAGGTATTTGCGGTTTATTTAGCCAAAAAAATTGAATCATTTCTGATGGATCTACTTAGTTGTCATAACCATAGAATGAAAAAAAAAGGTGAAGCTAGCCATCGTCCTCACTAGCTCCAAGATGTACTTCCAAGGCATCAATGCAAATACTACTCCGATCTTCACAAAATCATGAAAAGAGGGCATTCCTGCCGAATACAGTCCATTCTGCATTGCTAAGTATAGAAAATCATACTCGAAGATAACAGGTGCATAACACCAAGAAGATACACTTAGAAATAAATAGAACTAAAAAAATGTAAAGGGAAAACCAAGTTCCCACGAAGCATGAGCATTACCATCTAAATGATTAAGATTAGTGATAACACGATGAAACTTTTCTCGTCAAAAAGAAAATTAATAAAGTTTGATGGCGATAGAATTTCAGTTTTCAACTTTCCAACGAAGTTTCTCATTTAAATTACCGAGCAATGCATTAATACTCTTTAAACTTGTACAGGAAGTGAGAAAAATTATGTCGAGTGATAATCATAGAATTATTGCATACATGATCAGTCAGTGTTTCATAGAAATTATGTCGAGTGATAACCATGTCGTAATGACAAAAAAATACGGCCAGTTGGTACAAAAATAATTTAAAACTGCATGAGAATCAAGCATCAAAAACGAAATAAAATATGGAGAAAGACAAGCCATATTAACTTTCTAAGCTTGCAGGTTCAGAAAAAGGAAAACAAAGAAATAAATGAAGCATCTAAGTGATGATAGCTAAAAAGCAAGTACCCCGTCCAATCAAAATAAGGAAGAGAAGGTGATCGCTTCTGGCCCTTCCTAAGGCAATATAGCCAACCCTCATGTTCTGCAGGTGTATTTGACTTGGCTTTCAGATGCACGGATTTATGAGAGTTCCATGATTTTTTGAAACAATCCTGTGTACTGAAAGAGGATATTGTTATACACCAGAAATAAAGTCAAGAAAAATAAACTGCATCACTCGCAATAGACCTAAAGTCTCTTGTAGTTCAATAGAAAAAAAATAAAAACACAACACTAGAAATACATGCAGTCCAACTAAACATACTTACAGATACATGAATACAAAAAGTAGAGTCTCTTTTTTTTCATTAGCAAGGATTCATTCACAGTTTCTACATGGAAATTTGTCACCGGCAGGGATATTTGGTTCAGAGAGATTAGCAGGTAATCATAGAAAAGGTAAATAATTTGATCCCGAAACAGAAGAGACCGTTGGTTTTATGGTTTCCCCCAGGTCACAAATAGAGCAAAGAAAAAAGAATCAAAGGCTTACATAGAACAATTATTCTATTGAAGAGGACAGAAAGACTTAAAAAGAACTCAGATGAAGGAGACACAGCATACGAAATTACACATGATAAATACAAATGCAACGAAGACAGAGTGGAATGGAGAAACCGGATGTGCAGAAATAACAAGAGCATGAAAGAGTTCAAGTAGCCACGAAAACTACAATGGACAAATATATGGAGCACTTTCCGAATCAGATAGATCCTTTCCTCTTAAAAATAAACAGCCTCTGGCCAACATTAGTAGTCATAGCTTACTAACCAGAATGAGGCACCAGCAGGAGGAAGTTTCAATTCTATACACTTGGGGCATCTGCAAACAGGAAAAGAGAGCAAGGTTGGAGAGTACAGTGAGAAAAAGAAGGATAGTTAGCTTATGAATAAATATACAGCTAAAAACAGCTACAGATTCCACAATGCTAGCCTAGAAAGCAACTACATGAGGTAATTACAAAAATAAGAAAAAGATGAAAACTACAAGTATTGAAATGAGACAAGACGCCAAATGAATATGCTGACAGCGGGGATCCGAACATCTCGTACTCAGGCCAAAATAGGATAATCATGAAACAACGCACAATGTTCCCAGCAGCATGATAAAAATAGAAAATAGCATAAAAATAGAAATTTTAGACAGGGAAATACAAAAGGTAGTTTACATACTGGAGACGGGCAGGTTTCCCGCAGTGAGCGCATGAGAGGGGTGATTCTACTGACATACTTGAATTTCCATCCATAAATCAACTGTAACGATTCTGCATTAGACAATGAACCCAGAATCATTAATCGATTCACGAGAGAGAGAGAGAGAGAGAACTGTTGAAATGTTGACGAAAAGGAATTTGCTTTCTCCTGACATTTTCTTGATCTGAAGTTTTTGCGGCAAACTAAATATCCGTGATCGTTGAATGAAATGGACTGAAGCACGAAAAAAAGCAATTTTTCTTGGCTTCGAATGTAAAATCTATTCTAATGTACAATCCAAAAGTCCAAGCCAGATCACTTTCACCGTTGCTCGTCGAACTTCAGTCCGAGAGATATGTCATCCCAATGAACAAGCCAATGCACCAGACCCCAAACACTCATACAAGAACAGTCGGATGAAAACAAGTCTTCCATAAACTACATACGGAAAAGAAAAGCAAAAAAACAAGCAGAATCCTTGGCTTCGCATGCAAAACATTCAATTTGTCTTCTTCGACGTAAATTTTCTCCCTTGCTTCGAGAGGTAACAAAGAAATAAAGAAACATCAACTTCACCAATCCAAAGAACATAATGTCCGGTCAGTAGGGTTTCTGTTGAGCGAATACAGAGACGATGATGCTATTACAAAAGGGACGTACCTATTACAAAAACAAGGTGAAGAAGAAGCAGAAGAAGAGAGAGGCGAGGGAAGGAGGATGAGATACCATGAACAGCATCCGCGGAGGAAGAGAGACCACCAGCCAGCGTAGGGTTTTTCCAAATGTAGGTGGCCGAAATAGACCTAGCGGAGGAGACGACCAGGAATCTTCCACCTTGATAGCGGGCCGGGCCGGTCCGGGCCAGCATTGATAATACGGCCCGGGCTAACCCAACCCTGGAGCTTCCTTCTCGTTATGAGCCTGAAATGACCGACCGGGCCCTGGAGAAGGCCCGCGAGAGGCTCGGCGCGTGGTCTCCGGCCCGATAACGAACAAAAGACCGGGGGAGAAGTGGGAGATGGCTGGGGAAACTGCGGGGGGCAGTTGAACGATCTGCCTCTGCGAGGAAGGGCTCTCGGGGAGTAGTAGGGAAATCGCCGCCCGTTCCATCTGATATCCGCCGCCACCGCCGCTCATTGTTGTTGCATGGAAGGTCATCAGGTCGGCTGTGGATTTCCGTGTAGCGATCGGAGAAGAGCCGGGGGGTACTGACGCCGCCGCCGCCGCCGCCGTCTAGGGGACAGGAGTGGGGGGAGAATGGAGGATACGAATTTGGGGCTGCAGGAATCGGGGTGGGAGGAGCTGAGGAAGGAGGCTAGGAAGATCGAGAGGGATCTCGACGTCAAGCTCTCCTCCTATGCTAAGCTCGGCTCTAGGTCTGGTGGTACGTTTGCCTGCCTTTCGTGTTCCTTTCCATTCTTCTTGTGGATTTGTCTGGATGGTTCTATTGGCACTGATGTATGATTGTGGAAAATTATCACGACGCCGATGAACAAGGTTACGAAGATTCCATCGATAAATTTCGTCGATCGTCCCATTGTGTTGCAGCATGTCTTGCAATCGGGCTCGCCTCTTCGTATCCTTCTCTGGGGCATGATCGCTTCGCCTCTCTTTATCTAACATGCTATCAATACTCTATTATACAGATTAGCCTCCTACAGACGTATTAAAAGCTAGAAAGCAGCTGGGAATTTTTTATGCTAGAAATCTGAAGATTTTTTTTCCCGATGAATAGTGCCAAGTCTCCTCACTGAGACCGGCGCCGTGTTTTGTCAGGTGCTGAACGCCACAATTAGTGGCATGCAACTGCCACGGTGGTATCCATTTTTGTGGATGGGATGGTTTCACCTAAATGGATGGAAGAGTGAATTTACGACAGAGTATTATGTATGAAGTAAACCACTGGAAGTAACACATTTGAAAGTAACCAATCTTTGGTTTGACTAGAGTCGAACCATCAAAGCAATATGCCTTCCTGATCCCACATAGTTTAGATGGTTTGTTCATTTAATTTTCGATCCATTCATTTATAATATGCATTTAGGTTGCAAGTAAGGCTGTAATGCTTGTATAGGATGGCTATGGAAGCAATGTAGATTGACAATGTCTGTCTTTGGAAACCTATTAGATAATAATAGGCTGTATACTTTTTTATCGTTTTTTTACTTCGATATTGAATTATATTACTATACCTCTATTGATTTATCTAGTATTTCAGTCTTCGTAGACACTGGATCATCGGCGGTTGGGTCTGGGAGATCATGGAAGTCGATGGAAATGGAGATACAGTCCTCGCTTGAAAAATTGCTTGATATCAACGATGCCATGAGTCGATGTGCTGCATCGGCAGCACAAACCACTTCTGTTACCCAGAAGCTTGCACGACATAGAGACATATTACATGAATTCACACAGGTGCTACTTGTTTGTATATATTTGGTATACTTTACGTCTTAAATTTGTCTTATGAGTATTCTCCCACCTGTATTTCCTAGGTTTGCGTTTAGATTTCCTGTAGGAAAGTCTTCATATGGCAGTCAAAACATAAAAATTACTCCACCACGTTGCCTAATGTTGCAAAGTGTGCATCCTTCATTGTTTCATTTGGTTTTGTTCATTTGACGCTGGCTGTGGTGTCATAAGCTCTAGCTCAATTATTAAATAGGAGTAAATGCATGTCGTTCATTATTGAATGCAAAAATAACTAACTGACCTGAAACATTGGCGAGTAAAATCATTTGCCATGGCTTCTCATCTGGGTTATAGCATGCCAACTTGATGTCTTTTTTTTTTTGTCTTTCACTCATCATGGTGAGAGTGAAGGATCTTTGAAAGGGGTCGGATAAGAACATAGAGAGATAAAAAAGGCCCATCAGACGGCTTAAAATTTTATTCTCCCCATATTAAAGTTACCTATTCATATATTCCTACAGATCCTAAGCATGTCATCTCCATTCGCTTTCTTTATTTTTTTTATAAGAACGGTCCTTTTGCCCCTGACGACAATATATACCCATTTTGTTGAAATTCCTGCCTCTCATCAAATAGTTTTCCAACTCTGTTCCATGGCCCATTCAATCGATGCCTAATCCTGTCAAACCCTTGCTCATGCTGTTGTCAACCACATGCCTAATCCTGTCAACCCTGGACGCCAGATGCCTCTACAAGTTACTAAGCTCCATCTCTAATGTGATATTTTTGTGCATATGATAGCAGTTTAGGAATTTAAACGGTTGACAAAATAACCTGCCTTTGTAGGAATTTAAACGAACCAAGGGAAACCTGAACTCTATGAGGGAACATTCTGAGCTCCTCAGCTCCGTCAGAGATGATATCAATGAAACAAAGGTGAGCCCAGATATTCCCCATTTGGATATACGATGCGGTATTCTACATGTTTTAACGAAGATTTTATTTTGACTTGATTTCTTCGTAGGCATCAGGGAGCATGTCCCCCAGGGTGCATTTATTGCGGGAAAGAGCGACAATTCACGGAAGCATAAGCCAAGTAAGTTGCTCTAGTAACTTACAAAGATGAGAAATCTCTTCAGTACGGTCACTGTGCGATAGAATTTCACCGACCCAGTTTTCCAAATCATTGTGTTTTTTTTTTTTTTCGTGGGGGTGAGGGAGGAGGGGCTGGATTTTTACTTACTAAAGCATTGACATTTTTGGTGCTCAAATGAGATTCTATAATAGGTTTGAGGTTAATACGGGCAGATTTCGGTTGAAAAGTGAAATTTTTCTGGGCAGATTGATGAGGTTATCGGTCAAGCTCAAAGCACAAGGTCCATTTTGGGTTCTCAAAGGACCATGCTTGCTGATGTTCAAGGGAAGCTCAAGTCACTCAGCGACAAGTTCCCAATTATACGGGGCCTTCTCGGTACTCTCTCTCTCTCTCTCTCTCTCTCTCTCTCGATATATACATATATATATATATATATATAGAGATCTTCTTGCGCTTTCTTCATACGGCGGGGGGGTGCCATCTTCGTAAAGTGTAACGCGCTTGTCCCGCACAGGTGCCATAAAGAGGAAGCGGTCAAAGGACACGCTGATTCTTTCCGCCGTCATAGCCGGTTGCACGCTGTTCCTCATCATCTACTGGCTCTCCAAATGAGGTCCTCCCACGGGCCCCACTCCACGTCCCCACCACCAGCCCAATTCAGATTCCTCGGTGCCCGGGCTTGGCCTTCTTCTTACGATTCCTCATCTCCCTCCCTTCCTCTCTCTCTCTCTCTCTCTCTCTCTCTCTTTAGCTAGAGGTGTCGATGGCGATGGATTGACCCAGGAATGTCGATGGATTGGAGGAAGTTGGTCTTGTTTTTTTTCTAATTCCTTGTATATATTATTTCCCATTCGGCGAGAAGAAGAATCAAACCGAAAGAATCGACCCGCCGATCGAGATTACAGATCAAAAGCCCCTTGGGGCGTTGAATTATTGAAGAAAGAAATAATAGCACGGGGGAGGGTCAGCAAACGGGCCGCCTCCCCTCGGGTCGTCGTCATCCTTGCCAAACCGGGGACTTTGTCCAGCTCGCCAGCGACTTGAGAAACTCCATCACCTGGCCGGGGTTGGCGGTGTCAACGGTATGATAAAGTAAAATACTCAACAGGTAGGAGGGAGGAGGAAGGTGGGGAAGAAGAGAGGGAGGGTGGGTCTCTAAGCTCGGTCCGTACACCTACCTCGGAGGGATCTCTCAAGGAGTAGGACGCCTTGGTTTCCTTGGGGAGGGAGGAGACGAGGATGCCGAAGCCGCGCCCGCTGCTTCTTAGCACCTGCCGTCGATATCGTCATCACCCAATTAGCTAACAACAAGAACAAGAGAGAGAGAGAGAGAGAGAGAGAGAGAGGGAGAAAGAGAGGGGTGCACCTCGAAGGCGTCTTCATCGGTCCGGTCGTCGCCGATGTAAATGGGGAGGACGTCATCGGAGTTATCGAGCCCGAGGGACTCAAGGAGGAATTCAACGGCTTTCCCCTTGTTCCAATCAATCACTGGGCGGATCTCTAAAACCTGGGGAAGAGAGAAAGAGAAGGAGAGAGAGGTAGGTCAGCGTCGGTCGAGGATCAGGTGGCGGGGCATCTGGATGGGGACGGCGCTCATACCTTCCGCCCGTAGGTGAGTCGGAGACGTGGATACTGCTTCAGCGTGTCATGGACGAGCTGGGCGATGGCGGCCCAGTTCTGCTCACAGAAACAGGTAATTAACCCAAGGTCAAGGACACTTCTCATCTACATTGACAGAGAGAGGGAGAGGGAGAGAGAGAGAGAGAGAGAGAGAGAGAGAGAGAGATCTGATGGGGAGGAGGGGGGTGGGTGGGTGGGTGGTTCTGAGACATCTGTCCCCACGTACCGTCTCATCTACGTTACGGTAATGGACAGAAACGCAAAACTTGTTGTTTTCGACCTTTGAGCCGGGAATCTCGCTTGCGCTCTCGACGAGGGACCTAAAAACCTGCTTGCAGATGCAGTGGCAGAAGAGCCCATTACCACCCGTACGGACACAAGGAGTAGATGAAGAAACAGGAGGAGATGGCACAGAAAATTACCTCCTCGATCATGGGTATGAACTCACTCGCAGGCTGGAACAGATTCACTTCCTTACCCTGCACAGCACAGGAGGACGAACGAGGGGGGCCTCAGTTTATATATCAGCAGATGAATACCAAGACCATATAAGGAAGTGAATCGGACAAGAAAGAGGAGGAAGAAGAAGGATTTGAGCATGGAGATGCATCGCCGACCTGCTTATCAGTGGACCTGAAGCAGTTGGGATGGCTATCGACAGGCTCCGACAATCGGACAGGGCCCATTATGTCCATCCCATGACTACCGGCGTAGTAAAGATCGGTTAGTCCGACAAATTCGTAGACCTGCAAGAGAGAATTTACGAGGGAAGGATCACTCTCTCGCCCAGGAGGCCGCCATTCGAGGAGAATTTTAAAAAGAAGCTGAGGGAACCAGATGGGGAGTGGGGGCAAGCACCTTATCGCGACTCCTCCCACTGATGATTGCAGTGGGGACATACTTGGAGACATTTTGTACAGAGGCACGCATCTGAAAAGGAGCCCAAAAATCACAACCAGGTGTGAATAGAGCGCAAAGATGGAGTTTTGCTATGAAGATGGATTATTATTGAGGAGGATGATGACCAGCAGGTAGATACTTACCGCCTTGGACATGAAAGCGCGGTCAGGTTCGTCGACGATGGGTGAAAGGGTTCCGTCGTAGTCCAGGAACAAAGCTACGCGCTTGCTGCTGGCCTTTTCTGCGATTTGCTCAAATGAAGATAAAGCCGACGGGTACTTCATCTACAAGCAGAATTCGCACGTCAGAAGAAGAAGAAAAATAAAGATATTTCATCGAAGCAGCGACAAGAAATGAAGCGAGAGTGAGTGCCGTCGACTCACCAACCAGGAACGGTAAGGAGCGTCAGTATCTTCTTGTAAAAAGTCGATGCAGGTATCCTTGCATTGCTTTCTCCGGGGAGGAGAAGATGAGGCCATCGAGTCCAGCCAACCGTTAGAGAGGACATCATCAAACAATCCTGGAGCAGCCCTTTTCAAAGATATTGCAAGGTAGAGAGGAGTCGGAAAGGTGGCCGCCGTTGGGGAGCGCGGTGGCAAATTGGACGGCATGGCAAATCTTGACTTGTTTACAGGCACGGGATCAGGGAGAACAGGAGCGTGTTTCGGGATTATATCCATAGGATCCAGATCAATTGGGAAGTCTATGTCAAAAAAATGCCTACAATTCCTAAATGTGGCCTCAGCGGAACGAGTGGCTGTTCCCGAATCCGTCACCCAACTCTTTTATCAATGAAGAACCACCTTTTCAATGTCTTCCTCTCACTGGTGTTGTGGGTGCAGTCCATTAATCGAGCGCTTCCTGAGATCTGATCACAAAAATTGTGTTAGATCCAAGATTTTTACACAGATCATAGTCTTCTGAAAAAGAGCAACCCTTCGATGTATTCTAAAATCCAAAATTCAGACAGACCTTCCCATTCGCAGGACACCACAGCATCTATAGCAAGTAGCCAAACATTGGTCGAGACCGGGAATATACTCGTGCCTCAGAAAGTACCGATCCGACACAAAAGTATCTGCTGAACAGTACGAACTTACATTAGATTAGCCTCATAATCACAAGCTGACGATAAAATTACATGAAAGCATAAAACTTGATTTCCCTTCTATCTTCTCTTTTAAATACATTAGGAATAGTTTTGGGTAGACGCAATCCTCAATGCGTACTGATCCCTTTATATGTAGATATATAGACTGGAAAGAAAAAATGAGTAGCAATACTGCTACTTGATGGATGAAATGAAGTCATATAACGGTATACTTCATTTTCTGCCAATGTCGGAAAGCGTAAATTATGTGTGGAGATTTATCAGATGTTTCCCTTGTAACGATGTACTCGTCGCACTATGAGGACAGGCACTTCACCTCAACTTTTTACTCGCCGAAATTTACGTTTTCAGGACCCGAAGATTTCACAGACTATTCAATGATAGCTACAACCGGACTAGGCCATACGGTGCGTAGACACCAGACTTATGAGTATAGTTTCCCAAGATGTTACGCCTAGGAGAACTCAGATCCAGGACCTTTTTCCGTTGAAGCAATAGGTATGACAACTTTCGGCATAACACGATAAAAGTCAAAAGAAAGTTCAGAGTCTAGAGGGGTATATCGTACATTTCAGCGTGTAAACCCACACATGAGTACACCTTCAAGTACGCACATTTGTGCACAAGAGGCTATAGGACGAGTGATCTGTTTTGATGAGGATGTTTAGAAGCATCGGAATATAAATGTTTTTAACTCGTCTAGAGGGGTCGTCGCTGGGAAGAGAGGAAGAGATGGTGAAACAGGAAGGTCACATCACGTCGATGCTACCGTCATAAGCGGCTCAACCAGTTGTACCAGAAGTTGGCAGAAGCAATGCATAAAATACCACAACAAGGAGGAAGATAGGCGAAGCAACCGCCCGAAACCGGCAAATTATCGAAACAGAAGCCCGCGTTAACGCTCCTCTCGTCCAAAGTTACGACAGAACTGAGGAGCACTAACATAGAATATGATGGTTACGCAGTCTTGATGTGACTTTTCGCTAGGAGACTAGACTCCCAACACGCAACAACGACGAAATAAATTCTCGATAGTAAACCGAGATCTGAAGGAGTCACCAAGAAGCTTCCCCCAAAGAAGAAAACAAAGAGCGCAAGAACACTAGAACATTACTGTTTTCCTCGATATAGCAAGCACCCGATCTCGCCAGTCAAGAACAACAATCTGGGCGTCGAAACAAACCCGAGGGAACCATATGGAAAGTTACGGGGGCAAGGCAACCACAGGACTAAGAAGAAGAGAAGAATAGTTCTCGCATACCTGCCTCTCGAATCCGAGCAGTCGATCAACCATCCTCAACCCAAGCAGGCCAGGATGACAAGATCCTCCGTAATGCAGAGGCCACAAGGATCAAGGGAGCGATACAAACAGCACCCGCGAGGCCGAGACCGAGAGCCGCCGGAATCTGAAGCTCGGACAGGAACCAGAAAAACCAAAAAGGAGAAGATCGGTTGGCCGTCAGGGAGGGGGACGCTTTGCCTCAGAGATCCGGAAGAAAAGAGAAGAAGGAAGAAGCTGATAGCAAAACTTCAGGGTTATTTATAGATGGAGGAGACGTGAGGCGCAAGCATAGAAACTACTAGGAAACCTCCGATGTGGGGACCACACACCGACGAGCATTGCCATGCCATCCTCTAATAGGCCGACACGCGTTTTTTTCCAGAAGCCCGTGCGGGGCCCACGCGCTCAATCCCGTGATAGCGGCTCACGGAGATCTCGACCCGGTCGGCCTAACACGCCAGCGGACGGTCGGAATTCCGCCGAGTGGACCCCACCATTACGGTTGGCGGTTGTTTACAGTGTCGTCCCTTTCCACATCATTAATATAATTTAATTGTACGAAAATTCCCCGTATGTTGACGCAAGCCATTGTCGTACTATCCACGTGGAAAATAATATTTCCCGGTTCAAATAATGGAGGAATTCCGACAGTCCACTTTCTTGGAAACTTTCATAGCGTTCGAGCGCGGGGGAACTGGCAGATATAATCAACAAATAAATAATTTGCCGTGCTGTGTCGGTGCCACGTGGCTATAGGCCCATGGCCCCACCATGCAGTCAATGCGTGTCGGTGGGGAGGATCTGGAGAGGGACCAGTCGGTTTCCGACGATAAAATATTCCGCGGCGCAGTTTGCTAGATCAGGCATGAGGCCCATAGAACGGCACGCGTCAGGCGGGGCTTTGGCAGTTTCCCACGGAGACATTGCGAATATCGCTGGCGCTTAATGGGGACCTTTGACTAAGCGGACCCGCCAACCCCGGAGAGAGAGAGACAGGACAGACGACAGCTGGCTGACAGCGAGGCAACGCGTCACGGGTGCCCCCGGTCGCCGGGTGCTTAGTATTGTGGATGGTGCTGCGTCAGCAATCGACAGGGCAATGACGAGCTTCAGGGTTGCGTGACGCGGAGCTGACGAGGTCAGCGGTAAACCGGGGGGCTGGCGGCTGGCCGACCCAGATGGAGAGAGAGAGAGAGAGAGAGAGAGAGAGGGGAGAGGACCAGAAAGGGGCCAAGTAAGGCGGACTGTTGGGCTGTTTCAAAGGTACGAATAGTCCATGTTAACTGAGACAGAGAAGTTTTCAACCTTCAAGTCAACAGGACCCCATGAAGGCGCAGACTCGGCTCAGATAAGAAATGCCCCCTGCACAGATGTTGACTATTTCATTGGTCTTATGTTTGAATTTCTGGGCTGTCCAATTACGAGAGAAAGAGAGAGAGATAAGAAATGGATCTAATCAGTTAGCAGCCGTTTCGCCATTATTAAGATTGAATCCTAGAGAGAGAGAGAGAGAGAAAGAGAGAGAGAGAGAGGTGTGGTGACAAATAATAACTAAATTACAACAGGTGTTGTATGGTTAGATTGAATCCAAATCTAAAGGCAAGTACTTAATAAGGGGTGAATAAAGGTTTAAGAGAAATCCTCCCTATTCCATATATAAATTAGAGATAGAGAAACAAATGAAAGAAAACCTCTTTTTTAGATCTAGATGATGCATGTTCTACTCTCCAAGAAGAAAGGAATACCAACAAAAGAACGATTGGAACCCTCCCTCTTCTTCTCTCACCAATCCCCAAAATCTCATCTCAAGCTTGTCTTACTCTTTAATAGTCTCTTTGTTTGATTTATTCCTAACTATTGCCAATTCTATTGTGTTGTCTGTCATCGAAGAGGGGAGAGAACCGTTGAACCTTAGTTTCTAGAGAAGGAATAAGAACGAAACAGAAAAATGATACTTGTTAATTAAAACCAAGATGTCCACACACACACACACACACATATATATACATACATACATACATAACTAAGTAAAATGGGTCAAATTCATCTAATGGGTTCACTTAAATTAGACCCAACCCATCACTTTCTAACATTCCCCCTCAAGCAGGTGAATATCACCCAATCCTAGCTTGGACACAAGTCAAATGAGATATCACCAAGTTGATCACAAGTTGAGACATATGGTGTACATATGATCCCATGCTCAAGCCTCTCCTTAATGAGATGTCAAATCTATCTTGACTTGCTTTGTACAATCATGCTTAATTAGATTGTAAGTTATATTTATTACTAACTTGTTGTCACAATATAACTTGATGGGTTCACATCATTTAATCTACAAGTCTTTTAAGATTCTTTGTACTTGACCTCACCACAGTGTATTGTTTTTTGCTTTGCCAAGTGATGCAGACGTCACTTAAAAAGGTACAATAGCTTGAGATAGATCTCTAGTCAATGATATAATCTGCATAGTCAGCATCAATATACACCATATCTAATTTGTCTTGCTTCCTATATAAAGTACCTTTTTTAAGTGTACCTTTCAAATATTGAAGAACTCAACAAATAAGTGATTCTCCTATGAGTTATGTATGAATTAGCTAAGGACTCCTATAATATAAGATATGTTTGGCCTAGTGTGAGAAATGTATATTAAGTTTCTTATTAGTCTTTAATATGTGTCGTTGCTACTTTTCTTAACCTCACTAAGTTTAAATTAACATCAACAAGTGTACTTATAGGTTTGCAACTTAGTTTTTCGATATCTCAAAGTAGATTTAGAATTATTTTTTTGTGTGAAATAAATATGTTATGTTTAAAGTAAGCTACTTCTATTCTTAAGAAATATCTCAACTTTTCTAGAGTGTTAATCTCTTTCATAATTATTATTCCTAGTCATTATTATATAATCTATATATAATAGGAGAATTGTGATTATCCTTGAACTTGAGTGTTTAATAAATAATGTGTGATCTCCATTAGATGATTTATATCCTAACTCACACGATACGTTAGAAAACTTCACATAAGCCCAAAGTGATTTTTTTAAATCCATACAAAGCCTTCTTTTAATTTATATACCACACCCCTCTCTTTTAATATTCTTATTATATCCTTGAGCAATATATATATACACATACATATCTTCATCTAACTCTTAGTATAGGAATAAATTCTTTACATCAAATTATTGAATGTCTCATTTATAATTTACCACTAATGAAAGAAAAATTCTAATAGTACTCCTTTTTATAATCGAGGCAATTTTTTTAAAATAATCTATTATATAGATTTGGGTGTATCTTTTACCTACTAAACAAGCCTTGTATCCTTCTGTCATACTATCAACATTATATTTTATTGTATAGACCCATTTACCCCTCACAATCTTTTTTTTCTTGTGGTAGTTTTATTCATTCCTATGTGTAATTTATTTCTAATGCCTCCAATTCTT